ACCTTCGCCTTCGTCCAGCGCCTCACCCTTCGAGGCGACTGCGGAAGACCTAGGTAACAAGTTCGCAGCGTTGAATGTGGACGACCCTTCCCAAGCGTTCATCGATGATTTTGTCAACACGCCGGTCGAGCGACCCAAGGCGCAAGAACAAGACCCGATTGCCTACACTGCTGAAGAACAAGTCTCTCTCCATGAAATGCTCTTCTCCCTGACTCTGTTGATGAATGACCTCATGAAGATCCGCTCGCGCATTGAGTGGATTTGGAGCAACCACCGAGACGGCTTCTTCGACCTCGGTGCTGCCGCTGTCGCGACCAACGTTGCCGTTTCCCTAGCCCGTGGCATGATTGATGAGGTTGAACCAATGCTTAACCGTTACGAAGGAGGAGCCTATGGTGTCCTCAATAAATTCTTTCTCGTCCTTGGCCACAGAAAAGGATACACCCTCGATGAACTGGTTCTCGATGGCGACGACAATTTCCCCTACGACCTATATGAGCTGACCGACGAGACGTACCTGGTTGCGTATCGACTCCTACTTAGCTGCGCCGATGTGCTCCAGCCTAGCCAGCTGCCCTTGATCAAGGAAGGCCTTTTTGGCCACTACGACGCCAAGAGCGACCGTACCAAGAAGTCGGGCCGCCAAAAGTTTCTCGAGGACCAGATTATCATCATGGAGATGTTCACCGAGTTCATAACGGTCATCCGCTGCGTGCCTGGCTACCCAGCCGAGGACGAGGTTCTCCGTGGGATGCGAGTCCTGGAAAAGACCAAGACGGTTCCGTTTTCTCTAGTCTTCGCAGTCCAGATCCTGCTCGACATCAACCACACAATGAGAGACGCCACCCGGAGTAGTTTCAACATCATGGTCCAGCAAACATCAGCCGTAGAGACTCACCTCAAGTCGTACCTCGAGTATCACAAAAATCTCCGCATCGACAATTGGCCTACTTCCAACGACATGGCTCTGAAGCAATTTATCCAGAGGATCCAATGGATGGGCTCCGACCCTGTTCACAAGGTCAAGTCCAAGTTTATGAAAAGTATGGGTGTGCCAGTCTCGCCGCAGATGGAACTTCATCGTATCCTGATCTACTCACCCGTCCTCGCTGGCCTGTACCTCTACCGCACCCGTTACGAAATGTGGGATGCCGGAATCGCAATTGCCAATGCCTGGGGATCAATCTCGTATACAGCACATCTTTACAACGCGCTTCGACACCAGAACCTCGTTGAGGGTCTGTGGCCCGACATGGATCTCACCTTGTCTCTGCTTGGAGAGTCCAGCGTCTGGGTTGGTGGCGAGAGACCGGTGGGGATCGGCGACTGCTTCCAGAAGTTTTGTCTGCAGATGGGCGTCACAGCCTCTGCCTTTACAACCAAACGCCGCAAGAAGATCGGCACCCTCCATTCTCGGGCAGGACCGCAAGGTATCAAGGACGGCTGCCCCGTGTCTTCGAAGTTCACGGCCGAATTCATCTCTGGTCACGAGTCTGAATTGAACTGGACCCCAGAAATGGTCCAAGACATTCTCGCGCGAAGCAGATCTCTCGTGGAGGAGCCTAGCGACAATAGAATAATCATGTCTCAGCTTGACGACCCCGTCAAGGGCAAGGGCAAAGGTCAGCAAAAGGACAAGACCGATATGCCAACGGCAGAAGAGTTGGTCAAGGCTCTCGTTCTCGCTCTTCACTTCGAGTCTCTGGAGATGGCCTTCCCCTACACGCTGATGCATCGCTGGTGCTGGAACCTCCTCCGGCAGGTCAAGAACGAGTGCGATCCGCTGCTCCGCGAGCTGTATACACCCGCGTACTTGGAGCGGGAAAATCAGCTGCCGTGGATCATCGGGTATATCCTGATGGCGGCAAGTGGGATCGATGGTGGAGTCCAGGACGGGAGACTCTTGGAGGCAGCAGCCGATGTGTTTAACGTCATGACGGAAACGGAAGCGGGCATGGTTTCCATTGTTGTGATGAAGAAGCTGGGCTTTGATATCGGTTTTGAGGTTGAAGGGCCCGGCCCTGAGGAAGAGTAGCGTGGGAGCGAGTGGGAAGGCGAAGCGGTACTATCTTTCCGGGGACGAGTACTCGGATCTGATATGTACTTCCAGCGACTGACATATTACGTGTCCATAAAAGATGTTGTTCTTAGGCGAGAATCAATGCTTTAATTTTCTAACGAAATTTCTTTCTTCCTCCACTGCTAATTTCCAACATAAACAATCTCATCATCATTGATTCCAGTCTATTTTGGATTCCGAGGCCATTTATTCACTACTAAACAGCATGATTTCATAAAATCACTCTCAAGAGGATGAAAGCATCATAACTATACTATGCTATGATCAACGCGCGAGGTCGAACTCTCGTCGCCAACCGGTTGAATCATGTTATCCGTCCCATTAGATGGCGGCGTGCCTGTTCAAAGCAGCAAAACCATCATCATACAAATCAACACAAAATGAGTAATTGTGATACGTCAAAACATTGTGATACGTCAAGAAGAATATTTACTCTACCCCGTTCTAGGGCATCCTAGTGAAAACACTACTAGGTTTAAAAAGGCGCCGAACCACCCAATAACCCGTTGCCACGTCATAAGTTCCCTACCTACATATGCATACAACCCTCAAGAATCACAAATGTCAAATATTTATGCGCAACACTAGCCAATCAATTGCTTTTCAAGAAAGGTAGTAAGTACCTTTCTACCTACATTAACAGATAGAATACTTCGTCGTCTTACAAACGCCACAAATCTTACTTGCATTGGGTGCTATTTTCGATAGGCCAGTAGGCCATTACATCTTAATTAGCCAAGCAAGAGCTGAGCTGATATTTGCATAATATTCTTTCCTCTATTCCTCTTTCAGTAGCACGGCATCTCGATTTTTTATGATCCCTGAGGGTTGTATGCAATAAAAGCAAGCTATTCATGCCGTAAAATCGGAATGAAGAAAGAAGAGCCTTCGCATGATTCTTCTGACCTACAAACTATCGTTCCCACCAGATACTTCTATTAGCAGCTAAATCTTGTCTTGATATATATTTACGATGCCGCCTTCTGAGGCATTGGGGTTCAAGCATTTCCGAAATTCTTTTGAAAAGCGTCTTATTAAACTTGTATATGCGATTGCTGGGAAAGATGCACCCGAGTCAGCAGGGGAAGGGCAGGGGGTCATACTTACATTTGATGTTACTGGAAATCTCATATTTCACAAAGGAGCTCAGTTGAAGCTATCCTTCAAGTCAGGCGAAACCAAAGTACCAGTTTCCCGGACAACCATTGGTTTTTCGGATCACAGATCGCATGGCTCGCTCTCTCTACCAGCCACCAACCCCTTCGATGAGGGCTTGCTGGGCGGTGATGCTCGACTGCCCCAGCCGCTTATCAGTATTCAAGGTCTCCAAGCCGGCCAGTCAGGGTTCGTACTGACCATCGAAGACCCTGAGGCGTCGTCGAGGTTTCCACTCTCCCTCTGTCCTCGCTGCATCCTCCGTATCACGGTGGTTTTGAGCAAGTGGCCCAATCAAGTCGATTTTGAGGTGTCCAACAACAAGTACATGAAAAATGGCGTGCAACTTTCTATCCCGGTTTCGCAAAATCATCTTCCAGAAAATGAAAATAATCTACTGCTGTGGGCTGCGGCCGTTGGAGACGCCAAACTTTTGGATACACTTCTTCGCCTTACCAACCGCAGCGTCGAGGACATAATTGATGAGGCGGGCTGGTCTGTCTTGTTATGTGCGTCTTTGATGGGCCGGGATGAAGTCATTAAATTTATGGAGGACCGGCCAAAGGTGAACTGGAAACGAACTGACAAGAACGAAAGAACCGCTTTATCTTGGGCAATTGGGAATGGGCATATCTCAACGGCACAGCGACTCTTAACGAAGGTCGATCTTAATCTTGCAGATAAAGATGGGCTTACAGCACTTGCTTGGGCTGCAAAGAATGGTCAAGTCGGCACAGTGGTTCTCCTTCTTTCGCTGAATAAGGATCAAATGCTAGACCTTAGAGTAAAGGGCAACGATGGGCTGACGCCCTTGAATCGGGCTGCTGCGGGTGGCTATGCTGGAGTGATCAGGAAATTCATATCTAACATTCCTGATCCTGAAGAAAATGAGGAATATTCAGAGCTTCGAGCTAAGGATATTAAAACATCTCTAAACCTTGCTGCACAACATGAACATCAAGAAGCAATAGAGACCCTAGTTCGGGAATGGATATTCCAGGTAGATACTACACAGCATTGGCGGAACCAAATGCTCTTTGAAGCAGCCACAAAAGGTTGGCTCAGGTTAACCGAGTGTCTCATCAAGTGGGAAGCAAAGATCGACCATTCCTCAGCTGGGAAAACCCCTCTCGGGGCCGCAGCCGAAGAGGGTCACATAGACGTGGTTCGGTATTTGCTCTCCAAAGGAGCAAATCTTGAATGCGCAACGGCTAGGAGAGAAACAGCTGGAGGCGTGGCTACTGCGGGAGATACACCCATCTTTCTTGCTATAAGGAAAGGCCGTGATAAAGTTGTCAAGGTCCTCCTCGATGCAGGCGCGGATACTGGAAAATCCAACGCGGCGGGAGAAACGCCGATACACCTTGCTAGATGGCACCCTCTTATTCTCAGCATGCTTTTAGAGAAGGACGATAATGGGAAGCTAGCGACATCCACTCAAGATTTGCATGGTGAAACAGACAAGCTTTTCAATGCCACTATTGTAGAGTTTAACTCTAGGCTCAAGTTGTCGACGCAACTTCCAGAAGTAACTGTTCATGATCTTCTGAGCGAAGAGAGATACACTAAGCTACTGGAAGATAGTCCTGGCACCTCTTTCCAGTGGTATCATTTGCCTGCAAATAACGTAAGTCCAATTCAAAATCCTCTTCTTGATGTCTGAGCGCCCTCACTGATTCTTCATCAGATGCGATGGGTAGAAGTAAGAAGAGCAACAAATGCATCCAGGAGCCCATGCTGTTTATCCCGTTAACTTTTTAAATAGGTGCTGATTCATAAACTCTACAATAATAATTTCCCATTGAGTTATAGAATCTTAAAGCCGGATCGATGGGCCAAGCGACAGCATAGTGGACCGACTGAATCTCCGCATGCTAGATTCATGCAACCTCTGTGCGATGTAGTTCCAAACGAATTTCATAGTGAGTAACATGTGTAGCATTAAGTACTCATCTGGCTTCGGGAGTTTAACATTATATATCACAGCGCATTTGACGCCAATTCCGGAACAGATCAATGCAGACAAAGATGTCGTACTATTTGTCAGTTGTTCAATGAGGCAGATATCAGAGCACTCCACTAAAATGAAATAAATGCCATACTTGCATTGGGATGAAGAAGAGGCATATATCGAAAGGAATACTGTCATTGAAAACCGCGATAGACGCATAAATGCTACCTGGACTAACGAACAAAAACTACTACATCAATATGTCTACGCTGAAGGAAGTCATCCTCTTCACTTAATGCACACTAGAAGAACCTTGGATCAATTCTACTACCACTCGCTAAAAAGTACGAAGAAAAGAGACCGAGACCAAGCCGTCTCTCGATATCAAGCCGCCAATTTTCCAACCGATCCGAAAATTATGGCGGTGACAGACCAACTATGGCTTTGGGTTCTTGTAGGTCCTTCAAAGAGAGCCCAGGCAGTCATTTCATGCTTCCCGAGCAGGCAGACTTTGGAGCCTCGCACCAATAGATCTCTAGATCCCAATGGGAAGACCGACATCTTGCATAAAATCAAACTTTATCTTCTGCAAGAGCCTCGAGCTGTGAAGAATCCTTATGACCTGGTCGGAGTGATTACCAGCAAGTGCTCTGGAGCATTCTTAGACTCCTCCAATCCCCCTAGAGGCTTACAGTTTGCGGAGGTATATGAGAGCTCTATTAGTAACATTGTAGGTAATCTGTCCTTTCTTCAATGCGTGATTTGATCTGCGGGTCGACGGCACTTGAGAATATTGATCTAACCTGTGCTCAGATGAATGAAGAGGCCGAGCTCTTTGATGATTTCAACACCGCATTAGACTTGCGCTCCACGGATACGGCCGTGACTCAAGAAATGTTAGAAACGCTGAGAGAGTTGCAGTCCCATACTTGGTTTAGCCAGAATCGTACTCTTGAGCTCAGAGAGACGCTAAGAAAGTACTATGATTTCACAGAAGCTCAGGAAATTGCCATGGATAAGGTTATTAATACCATGATCAAAGATCCAGGGCCAGAATTCGCCGTCAAAGCCACCAGGTTCCTACAGAAGCTCATTTTACCCAGCATTCTTGATATTACTCGAGAAATAGGACTGTTACGCCAAATCAAAGACATCCAGGATGAACTCAACATTATGTCTATGGTGTTCGAGAATCAGAGACTCGTACTAGAGAAAATGGAGAGAATAGGTCGCTCAATGCAATCATCGACTTTGGAGCCAGCGCCCAGAACTGCCAACGACTTGGCATCGACCGACCCCAATGAACAAATTCATGAGAATAAAAACCTTGAAAAGGATTCGGATTCGGATCTCTATGATGCACCGGATTGCACGGATGATCGATTAAGTCTCAATCTGGAGAAGTCAGAGACCGGAACGCACAAAGGCCACATTCACATTCAAAGACCCAATTCACAGGGCAATATAAACCTTATGAGCAACAACGATATACCTGCCACCCAATCAGCCGATAGGGACATCTATAATGGCGACATCTGGGGGGCCAGCCATAGTCCACCAAATTCCAGTTTTCCGTTACGCGTGGTCCTGCAATGCGCTGAAGACGTAGAGATGATGATTCAACGCACGGAGAGGACTTACAAAGCTGTATGAAACCCCAGTACCCTTACCCAATTCAAGAGGAATTCGGTAATATGTTATCTGCTAACTTCCATTACTTTGCAGCTAAATTTCCTTGTTGACTTGAAGCAGAAGCAGAGTAATGTGATAGACGCCCGAGCAACTCGCATTCAAGCACAAGCCTCCTTCAAAATGGCAGTAGAGTCTGAGAAACAGGGTAAGACTCTGATGCTATTCACGGTTGCCACTATTGTTTTTGTAAGTGTTGCGCTGTTGTCCAACTATCCCTGATGATGTAGCCTGGAATCTGGGTAGAGTGTAGACCGGTACTAATTTTTGTAGCTGCCGTTGTCTTTTATGGCTGCATTCTTTGCTATCAATATCACCGAGTTCGAGCGCGATGCGGGTGGAACTCTAGGGCTGGGCTATGTCTCAGCGACAATGTGTAAGTTCCTCAGGATCCTTGAGTGTTGGAGGCAGAAAATGACCAAACAATCTGTAGTCCCGGTTTCCTTCACGATCTCCGCTATTTTCATTACTATTGCGTTTAAAGCGCATAGCTTCAAGGGAATCCTGAAATGGCCAATGAAATAGCTGTGGGAAAGGAAGGAGCGCAGGAATAGTAGTTTTGTCTAAGCAGTTATATGGCCCTAGGTAGTCAACTTGCTGGCCTATAGCTAAGCGATACATAATAAGCATTACACTGACCCAAGAGACAAGAACAAGATAGTTGCATCTTCACGATGTTGTATTTTAATTTTAAGTTTCTAAGAGAAGAGATTGTGAAATTTATCACCAATAATATCGTACGATAAAGTGATTGCTCTTTTTCCCCTTTGCTATCTCAACTGGAAACCACTCCGGTGGGCGCTTTCATCTCCGTCTCAGGAGTTCTCTGTGGCGTTGGGATACGCTTGAAGCCATTCTTCCTTTGTAAAGACAGTTGAATTACTGGTGAGAAAATGAGTTACTCTCTTGTTGAAATCTGGAGCCTTGTTAAGTGACTTTTTGACATTCCGTTAGAAGCAGGTGGCTTACGCTCAAGGGTCATTGTAGTGGCTGGCTGGAGAGAATAATGGTCAGAGCGTTCATGGACCAAGATAAGATCATTGGGAATTTCAGTTCCTCACAAAGATGTTAGCAGATTCGTGTTACGCGCAGGCTACGCGTCAAACAAACCTTGAGGGACGGCATATATACGAATATCTTGACCTCGAAACCTCCAAGACACCAATGACTGCTGGTACGGTGAGTTGGGGCGCAGTGATACTCCATTAGGGGCTATTGAACACATTTCAGTACGATGAGTCAATGCAACCACAGACAGTGAATTTATACAAACCAGTATAGGTCATGGGGTCGAGCGCCTTGGGTATGACCAGGCCACCATCAGCAATAATGTCATAGACGCGACGCTGGGGTGACCAGGCACGTGCTTTCACGGCGACACCATTATTTACACGGAAAATTTCCTTGGGGAACTTGTTGAAGGTTTGGATCAATTTGAGAGCCCCCATTTTGAGCACAATGTTGGAAGTGAGATTTCGCCAGGTATCTCCGGAATTCGTTGTTAGACTGTGTTTTAAGGGGAGAGGATCCACTAAACTGCCATTACTAATTCGGAATAGCTCGTCATCCGACCAGATCTTCAATCTTAGCACAACATTGTCTTCATGTTCAGAAATCAGTCACAGAAGCCGACTTTCCAGCCGTTGTCATTCGCGTCACCATGTTTGCCCATAAGGCAAGAGGGCTATTAGTGCGTAACGGGCCAAGATTCTCGGCTCGGCACCTTTCCATAAAAGCGGCTTACTCTGGCTCGTTCCCTACCACACTACACCATTATCGCCCAACTCCAACGATCCTTTACGACAGAGCAGAGCAAGGAAGACGACCTCATGATTTATTTGAAGACAGCGTGGTCGTGAATCAAGATGGGCTAGTCTATCCGTCGCCTTCCAAATCTACTGATTTTGGTGAGTCCACCACTCAAGTCATCATTCATAAATCTCTGCCCGTATCGTCATTTGTTAATCATGATGACCTTCAGGCTGCAATGGTGCAGTAATGTATCCCAATACTTTCAATTTTCAAGAAATGGTGCGACAATACTATGATGAAATGCTTGATAGAGAGGATGAGGGCATGAAAGTTGATATCCCATACATATTCACCATACCAAAGGGTAACAATCCAGCGTCCCGTATAATCAATACATTGTAAAGAGACCAATCCTTACATCTTGCAGGAACGCCAATTCCATCTTCTCTAATCCTGAGTCTTATCTCACTTCCGCATTTCTCCCTGCAACCATCTTTTGGCATGCCCCTCCCAGGTAAGAAAAGATGCAATCTCACGCCTGATGCCACAGTCTTGTCTGACCTTTACTTCAAAGACCTCAACGACCGCCTCCACGATTTCTTTGCTCAGTATTCTATCAAGGAGAAGGCAGACTGTTGGCTCGACGAACATCCTTACTCCGAAGCTTTCCCAGATACAGAAGTTGATAGATGGATGAGGGAATAAAAAGTTGTTGTCTTTGAGTCTATTCTAATAGCACGATGTTACGTATTGTAAAGTGGTAGGACAGGGTGACTGGCGTGGTATGATTATTGGCGCTTCAGATGAGTAATTTCAGGCAACTCCTAAACCGCGATGGTTAAGACCAGATAACGTGAAGGCCGCAGTCTGTTCACAAAGTAGGTAGGTATGCTACGAAAGCCCATCACTAGGACTAATCAGGTGGATATCTTTTGAAACTTCAATATAATGCACCAGATTTCGCCTTTATGATTCTTTGAGTAGTAGGACAGTCAAATGATTTACATATAGACCCAAGCATGCATGCTCACAATGATTATTTCGAGACAGACATTACATGTCTATAGGATCATGTTTCAAACTTCATACTCAGTGTTTTTTAGGTTTTGATGGAAAGTAAACTCTTGCAGAATATCATCATTGAATACCTAGATCACAAATGGGGAAAGATTTATTCCGATCTTGTGTATAATTTCAGTAGTCCACTTTGACAGTGTACTTCAAGGATTGACATATGGAGGCGGGATGGCATCATAACCGTCGATGTGTGTAATCTTCAGTTGACTGATATCGACCCCATTCAACAGCTTCAAGTTCAAGGGCAACAAATGTTGCGCATCGACAGTCCATTCCCTCGCCGCGGCTGGGATATGGACAGCGACTTCATCAGGAATCGGAAGGGGTCGCCTCACAACAAATACACCACATTGGCTGCAAAAGGCTTTTTCCCAGGCTTTCAGCATACCAGAGGCGTATGTGCTCAGGTGCTCCGAGCCCTGGATGACGACTTGGTCCTTGTGCGGCCATATCGTCGTTCCGCCGTGCTAGTTGAAATGTTGAGCAAGTATACAATGCCAAAGTGATTCGGAAGAGGGGAGGGGCGACAAACCCTGATGCAGGTGCTACAATTGCATTCATATGCAGCACTTTCAAAAGACTGGTCAAGAGGCTTGCTCCTCAAGCACACCGTGACATTTCCGCAGTGGCAACTTCCCGTGTAAACTTTGCCGTCTTCAACCTCCTTCGTGGGGAGAGGGCCAGTGTATACGGGAGTCTCGTAAGGGGAACCGAGGCTTGCCCCGTCAAAGCTAGGTTATCCCGTCGCAGTCAGTAGAACTCAATAAGCTCACCTCTACAGCTCCCCGTGATTCATATCTTACGTGTTCGTGTCCATGTCCCAGATGTCCGGAACCAGTCCGCGCTGAAAGCATCGGATCTATGCCAATATAAATAACCATGTTCGAGGGCAATGACCTGGCGGGAGTGCCTACATTCACACCCATGTGTTCCTTCTCGTCCCCTGGCAGGTGCCCGTTGAAGAGAAGGGCTGTTCCGCAGGTTGGGCAAAACTTGTGGCTAAAGTTTTTACTAGCAAACCTGTAGTCTTTGGCCTTGTCCAGATCGCCCTTGGCCATGGTGAAATTGTCTTTGTTAGGGATCATGGCCCATACGGCGCCTTTCTTGTAGCAGTTGCTGCAGTTGCATAGCTCCGCCTTGGTGATCTCGGGGATAGTCACCTCGAAGACAAAGGCAGCACAGTGGCAGTTGCCACGATACGTCTTGAGGGCCATGGCGATGATGAACTTGCCAGTAAGATGCAGAAAAGTTTAAGGATCCAAATTGATTGATGGCGGTGAGATTTATTCTTCCCCGCTGCTGACAGATCTCTAGGGCTGATCTGATATTTCTGTCGGAGATAAGTCCATTGCCCGCGGGTACTACGCTCCGGGGTGAGTATGCAGCCAATGTCAGCATTTTTAACCCGAATGGGATACTCTGACAAGGGTCAACGAAAGTGCGCGTAATGGAAGCGACCGAATGAGCAGGTGGTTACTGTTCGCTTCGCTATGTACTCTGAATGACTTCCAGCCAATCTTGGTAACTCCGCACCAGGCAGATATAAATAGCATATCATGAAAAACTCAAAAAATCGGAACTCTTGGCTGATTGAAATGTGGCTTCGATCGCAGCCTAACGCCACGCCCAAACATAAAGCCAGTACCAACTGTCAATGAATCATAGAACAAAACTCAAGTGCAAGAATTATGCTATCGAGTCTTATCGGGATTTCTTATCGGATATCGGCTAAACAGCGGTCAATACATATCGGAGCGGAAGATAGAAAATCCGAGCACATGCCTTGATCATTCGCCCTTCCTACCCTACACGCTGTTACACATAATCTGCGGAAGCCGTCACTGATTAATCTTATATGCATTTACATTGATGTAGGTTCGCTTTTAGTGGCGATTAATTGCAATTTTACGCTTTTTCAAATAGTCATGTACGGGGAATTTTTTTTATGCTCGGCTTGATTTATATTCAACATTCATCACATCACTTTGACCCAGCAAGTGATTCCATCAGGTATCCAGTGTTTGGCATTTCGCTTGCCCCCACAACGATTTAGCAGGCATGCTACTGCACAAATCCGAAATTTCGTTATATTGACCATTGATATTCTCATTTACAGACTCGCAGCAAGAGTCTGACAAAATGTCTGACGCGTCGCGTCGCGTTTCTGGGATGCACTGAACTGAACTGAGGAAAACAGAGCGATAAGCCAGCCCCACCATCTTCCAGCAGTTTCTTGCCATGTTGCTGGAACCGGCCTTTATGTTATTCATGTGCGAAGATTTTATGTCTTTTATGCGGGGTGATGGCGCTAGCTACTTGATAATGGTGGGCTTGAAGAGATTTAGATCCATGCTTTCCAGTTTTCGTGTTTTACTGCACGTGCTATTGATTTTGTGACTTGACGACTTCAATTGGCGATTGAGAAAATAACATGGATATGCTCGCTCGCTCATCAGGCTTGTGGAGAGAATTTCTTTTCCGCAACATCTCCATGCCATTCCACAGTTCCACTTCTCATCCTCTGACGTTCTTAGGGATTGGAACTGCTACCTGAGGCTCAATCGACTCAATATCCAACTGTCAATTGCACCCTACACACCAGGGATGGTGGGGCTTTGCTGGTCAAAGCAGTCAACCTCGGATTACGTGTAGAGGTGCGATTGGCGCCTTGAGTCTTGTCAAGACCCGGTCTGAGGAAGCCATACCTTTAGAGGGAAGATGAGCCTTTCGCATTTTTGCCCTCCAAAGGCAAGGTCATACGCATCAGCCATGTACACCGGCCCGGCGACACATTTAGCGTACAGCTAATTAGTGATGCGCCGCTTGGGGTGTGGAATCTGTGGATCTTGCCAATATTCAGCGGGGTATCACTGTGATGGATATCTCTCTTCCAGCATTCATATCGCCCAAGACTCGTATAAATACCCTTCAAATTATCATCAACTGATATCCTTCGTTCAACCTGCTTTCAAGAGTTTTAGTCCGCCCAAATTCAGACTATTGGAGGATTTTATTAGACTTCTTTCCCCTTCAATCCTCAACATGGTACTCCACCCGTTCGACCCCCTCACCCCTGAGGAAATCTCAAAGGCAAGTGATTTATATTGGTTGGTCTGCCACCGTTGAGGTTGAACCTAAGACAGAATGGCTAGGCTTCACGCATTGCTCGCCCTCACTTTGGGGGCCGCAATCCCAACTTCCGAGTCATCACCCTTCTGGAGCCGCCCAAGAAAGAAATGATCGAATATCTGGAGAAGGAGCACCGGAAGCAGCCCCACGGAAACATACCAGCTCGCAATGCTCGGGTTGAGGTTGTCGTTAAAGGTCACAATGGACAGAATGAGCTTTTTGAGCTCGTGGTCGACCTTCATACAGAGAAGGTGGCTAGCAAGAAACATCAGAGAGGCAAGCACTCGTACATTGACGCCGAGTACATGAAAGCAGTGGAACAAGCTTGTTTGGCCAATGAGGAGGTCCAGGCTGAGATCCAGACGTTGGATCTTCCTGCTGGGTCAACTGTCGTCGTAGAACCCTGGGCATACGCCACAGACGGCATGAATGATATGACAACTCGCATTAGCATGGTTGGTATTCCCGTGCCTTTGTTTCTCAATCAATGCATTGACTAGTGATGAAGTGTTGGTTCTACCTGCGCCTATTAGAAAACGCCGATGCCAACTACTACGCCTACCCTCTTGACATATGCGCAGAGGTATCAGAGGTTCTTGAGGTCACCAAGGTCTACCGCCTGCCCACAAAGCCGGAGGAGGGAATCCACAATGAGAAGAAGAAGTTTGATCGCAACCGAATCCACTCCACAGCTGCAAGCGAATATCATCCCGATCTCAGACCAAGCCCAAGAACAACCACCAAACCCTACCAGGTCATCCAACCAGAGGGCCCGTCGTTCCGGATCCATGGCAACTACGTTGAGTGGGAGAAGTGGAGCTTCAGAGTCGGCTTCAATTATCGTGAAGGAATGACCCTGCACGATATCCGCTATGACGGTCGAAACGTCTTCTACCGTCTTGCTCTGGCAGAGATGTTTGTTCCTTATGGTGATCCCAGGGCTCCCTATCCTCGCAAGGCTGCCTTTGACTTAGGAAATGATGGCGCTGGTATCAATGCCAATAACCTCCAACTCGGGTGTGATTGCCTTGGGACCATCAAGTACTTTGACGCTTACCACAATACTCCCGCAGGCGAGCCATTGAAGATGCCCAATGTGGTGTGTTGCCACGAGCAGGATGATGGCATTCTGTGGAAGCATACCAATTTCCGCACACAGAACCCCGTGGTGACTCGGTCTCGGATCCTTGTGCTGCAGATGATCATCACGGTTAGCAACTACGAATATATTTTCGCCTTTCACTTTTCTCAAGACGCATCGATAAATTTCGAGGTGCGCGCAACTGGTATCTTGTCTACCGTGCCCGTCGATTTGAGTGTCAAGGACAAGGTTCCTTTCGGTACTGTTGTTGCTCCTGGAGTTCTGGCCCCGTACCACCAGCACTTGTTCAGTCTCCGCATCGATCCTGCAATCGATGGGCATGCCAACTCGCTCGTTGTGGAGGAATCAAAGGCCATGCCTGTCAATGATTCATCCGTCCATAACCCGTTCGGCAATGGCTACATGACAGAGAGTCATACTATTGAGGAAGAGGGTGGATTTGATCTTGACATCACTAAAAACCGCACGTTCAAGATTGTCAACGAGAGCAAGATGAATCCCATTACAGGTACTCCTGTCGGGTTCAAGCTTATGCCTCACTACAGCCAGATGCTGCTTGCTCACCCTGACTCATATCATGCTAAACGGTCGGAGTTTGCTGCTCATGCCGTCTGGGTGACCCGCTACCAAGATGGTGAAAACTTCCCTTCAGGAAAGTACACCATGCAATCTACTGGCGGTGATGGGATTGCTTCCGTGATTGCCAGGCGAAGGGAGTCCGGCGCTACCCAGGCTGTGCGCGATCAGGATATCGTCATTTGGCATACCTTTGGCTCAACCCACAACCCTCGGATTGAGGATTGGCCTGTGATGCCAAGCGAGAAGCTCATGGTTGGGCTTAAGCCTGTTAACTTCTTTTCCGGAAATCCTGGCCTGGATGTTGCAGTGTCTACACAAGCCAAGAACAAGAGTGTACTCCACGCTGAAAGTCATGGGGAGGGGGTAGGATCCTGCTGCCACTCCAAGTTATAGGGTCTAGGCTTCAGTGAATACAGGATCATGAAATGGGAAGAAATCAGAACTAGCATCTAAATCACTTTAACATGACAGTGGCTGACACATAGCCACGCTTTGAAAATAGAACCTAAGTCTTCTTTTGGTCATCAGGGAGAGGTCCGGTGAATTGTTTTTCTGTTGATACAGTATAGAAGCTACCGTAATAAGGATCAAGCTCACACAAGGTCAATGCTCACACACCGTGTATCATCCCATGCTTCACCTTGCATCACACCATGCATATATGCTGGCCCAACTAGCTCCCATTGGTTCCCCTTTTCCTTCAAGACCAGCGGCGTTTTGCAACCCTCGAATAAGGCCACGGGATCGCCAGGGGAACTCTCTGCTGGAACAATCGCAAGATATCCGAGCCTCGTCCTCGCCAACCGCCTATACAGCGTGAACTCGGTTGCGGTCGAAAATGTGCGGTCCCCTCTGGCCTTCGAAGTCAGCATTCCCAGAGCAGCGAGGGGGATCTTGTAGGCTGCCCCGAGGTAATGCGCGCCGACATATCGCAGCTTCATGAGCTTTCTGGGCCAGCTTAGAGTCGTACGCCACGCCTCGAACTGCTCCAATGTTATCGACCCATTCTGTATGCTTCCGATAGACATGGTTGATGCAAACGCTTCCTCGGCCGACTCGCCTGTTGGATATGGATCGTACCCTTTGTCCATGGCTAGATGCTCCCACTTTACCAATGTCTCGAAATAAGAACCAAGACCAGTAAATAGCTTGGTGATGAATGAGCTTGCGCCGCGGACCGAGGTCATGTTTTCTGCTAGAGCCTCGCTGTCACCTTGTGGGACGGTAAGGACCGCTTCCATCTTGGTGATTGAATCGAGGATATAACCAGATAGACGAAGGGTTCGAGTACCAATCAGCTCAGGTGTGCAGTGGGTGGCGGAGCCAGAGGCGCGATACTGCCTCGATAATGGTTCAGGCTCAGATTGTTCATCTACCAGCCAAGACTCGATCACACCAAGGATCCTAACCGGAGCTGGTGATGAAAGATAGCTCCAGTTAGGCACCCAACTTGGCAAGTCCAATTGAAGATGCGGATTCTTCATGCGATCGGTTGTCAATATGTCCAAGGTTTTGCTCTGCCAAATGATCTTTGTGGCTGCATGTAGGTAGCACTCCTCGACAGGCGCAGCGTAATCGGGCACCAGACTCATGGCATCCGCTTCGTTCTCCGGGATAAGGCCAAGAAGCGAGTAGACCTTGTCTCGGGGGTCTGTCGCTTCTAGAGATCTCGTCGATAACAAAAGGCCTAGTAGATCTGGTAGATCCACGCTTATTGTAGAGTCGCGGGCTCGAGTAATCGCAAGCCTGAGAGATGTGGCAGCCAGGAAGTTACCGCGTATGATCTGCTCCGGGCGGCCCGTGAGAGCATTCTTACTGGTGAGTAGACACAAGTAATATCCCGCGAAGAAGATGTCCCAAGGCATGGCCCTGGGGCCGCACATGGCAACGACCTCTTTGGCAAGGCATAACTCTTGGACCACCCAACAGCGCTGGAACCAGGGGCGCCGAAGGAAGCGCAGAAATATGTGGAATTCGGTGTCAGTGGCAGAGCCGTCGTCGTTGTCATCAGTTTCCGGTTGACTGCCATCTCTGGGCTCTTCAACGCCATCTCCATCACCTGCTGTCCTTAGGCGGTGCTCCTCTAACTTCTGTTTGATCCGATCTTCTCTGTCCCGCCCCCATAGCATCGCATAATCCATTTCGTTGTACAATTCGCTGTGCTCCTCATACATTCTTTGGCACAGAGGGAAGACAATCTGGCTATCATGTTCGTCTTTGCCAAGCCAGACTATTACTCTGCTGGCGTTTCGGTATATCGACCGCATGAGGAGTACTTGGGCGTTTCTTTCGGCGATATCATCCTGATTGATGCACACCGCGTCGATCCATAAGCACCGGTCATCGTCTTGGTGGCGGAGGTGTCGCAGCGCCAACTCTAGGCTACGCGTGGCCGCGAAATGCTGGCCATTGCAGTAGATGGGCAACTTATCGGTGACATCGCCCCAGCAATAAGAAAGGGCTTCATACTCGTCGCATGTGAGGAGAGCTCGTTCCACGACTGTGCAGCGCAACGGATCGGTTGACTTCTGGGCCGGATGGAGAGTTAGGAGACGAAAAGAAGGCCCTTCAGGTCCTTCTTTGAGCGGACTATATATTGTCGGCCCAGCCATGTATGAAAAACAATACTTGTTCAGTGATTGATGGCCAGGGAATCCTACACTATTTATTAACGTCTCATGGGTGGCAAGGAGCGGGGTTCTTATTATAAGTTAGTGTCACCATCGATGAAACGATACCAATACCAATGTGGATAGTTACGGAGCGATTCCCCCTTTCTTGGCGTCTGATTTGATTAAATCAAAAAATAATAAGATGGCTAAGATTAACAATAACCGCCAAAAATAACTGCTTTGGCTAGGTAAGCTGCATAGACATCCTAACCGATTGCGCGACTAGCGTGGAGAAAGGCTGGCTGAAGACATAGTATCATTTATCATTTATTATAATAGTCCACAACTTAGATCCGCCACAAAAGGACTTGTACGTTCGCTATTCTCTTAGATAAGGGCTACCACCACCGCCACTGAGAGGGTTGGCCGCGAGGACTCCGAGGGGGCTCGTTATACTTTCGACGAGATTTCCAATTGTTCTAGATAGGCTATGCTGGCAAAGCTTCTAGTACTAGCACCTTATAATTGTTGGAGTTGTTCACTGCCAAATCCCAGCTGCTACGTTGATCCCTATACCACAAAGTAGATTAACGAAGCGTTGACCTATCTTCCTCCTGTTCCAATCACTGTTGAAGTCAAAGATCTTGTCATCAGCTAGCCACCATCGTCATCAGCTATGCACTAGGGTCGATCTTTTTCAGCATCCTATTGACAACAGAACCCGGAAGAGGCAGATATCGGCCTTCGCGCTGGACCTGATCCTGACCTTCTTGGCTAAGGATAAACTTAAGGAACTCATATACCATGGGCTCCATGGGCTCACCGGCCTCCTTATTAGCAAAGAAGAAAATCTCGTTGTAGAGTGGATACTCGCGAGCCCGGATTGTCTCCAAATTGCGTTTTACATAAGGCCCGCCATTGAAGCCTTGAACGGCAAGCTCCTTCATTCCGGGCCCAACCACCTCAGGTGATCCAACGCAGATCGAGTACGGGTCGGCATTGCCAGCGGCTAAGACTTGCTTACTCCAAGTAGCCAGGGTATTGTTTGTCATGGCATAGTTGGCGAACGTGCGCAACCCCTCAACCCACTGGTTGCTTCCCCACAAGACGAGATTTTGAAATACATCTTGGATATTGGCTTTCGTTGTCTGACCACACGGGTGGATGGGTGCATTTACCCACTCACCCTTGAGGCCAAGCTGCCCCCAAGTACGGATGTTATACTCAGGTCCACGCTTGTAGGGATAGCTGGTCATCCAAGTACTCCTGTTATACCCGCCTCCACGAGCAGTGCCAAATACGCCATCCAATTCTTTCATGGTGATGTTTTCCAGAGGGTTATCCTCGCGGACAACAATTGCGAACGCTGGAGACCAACCATAAACGTCGTACGAGCCGGTTGCGGCCACAATCTCAACAGGATCATGACCAAAGACTTGTTGGTAGGTCAGATAGTCCATGAGGGTTGCGGGGCGGCCAACACCAAGGTCAGCAGCCTTCACAGCAAGTGCCGGAATGCCAATCGCAGTTGTGGGGAGAGTGTACTCGATTTTGATCCCCGGTTGGAACTTATTGAAAGTCTCCTGCCAGTATTGACCGAGCTGGCCATCTTTGAGGTAGTTACTGCCCCAGATACGGAGTGTTCCATTAAGAAGGTCTTGGGGCTTATAACTGGGCATGTCCGACAGGTCCCAGGACTTGTTATAGCCACCCTTAACCGAATGCTCAGTGCGGAAGCTAGTAACATTGAGGGTCCAAATGCTTCGATTAGCATTCAAGGGGGCATAAGGACTTGTGTAATTTATTGAATTGCAAATTGGGGGGGTTACGGCTTGAACAAAACCGAATATACAGGCAGCACCGACGTAGAGTGTGTTGAAACTGATGTAGACCATGTTGAATATTGCTTGGCAATAAGTTCAAGTGGTTGGATTATGTTCTTTAGGAATGCTGTCTAAGTGTCGTCTAGCTTTATCAGAAGAGACTTGGATTGTAAGATATATATACTTAGTCTGGTTGCTACACCGACAAGATAATAACGTATTTTTGTGGGCCGGCTTTTACAATGGTCCGATGATTCCAACTCGAATTCATAGTCTTCGACGTCAAATCCCTAATGAGGTCATTACGTTAAGTTGTACTCTTACGTGGCAAGGATAAGAAGCTCAAGGAGTTCTGCAAACTCCCGCATACCTCTGTCATCTGAACAACTCGGGCGGTCTAGCCGAACATTCGCTACAACTCTAGTACCTGGATCAACGCTCAGAATCACAGGATTTACAAGGAAGGTAAAGTATCTATATGTCCCTTGATGATCATTGGGATTTCCACTCTTACCTTACGTGTGAGTCGATGGCCGCTGTTCGTCTTATTGGCTCAAGTCCCCTGTGATTACGGTTCCACTGTCTTATAGGCAGCTGGGAAACTTCCATTAATCGGGAAACTTCCGAGTTTCTTGAGGAATGCGGGGAACCATGTTGTAACTGGAGCAGGCCAATATGCATCCCGCCCTACGATATTCGTGGACGTGTGGTAGTAGATGGATATAATCCGGATATTCCTATGCCGTCGTATCCCACATTCCAAGCTCGGATTTATCCCACGTTCTGGGTTGGGTTACACTGACTGAGGGTAACATCAACCCGAACGTCGCTTCAGTGTAACGTCAAGCTTCCAGGTTTAATGTCATCTGATATTGCCGGTGTATCTAGAAACTGGAAATCATTATTTTTCGGACTGGAGCTAGAAAATTCTACGGTCCGGTATACTCAAAGATTGCGGGGTCAGGGAGGACGATGGTGGTGGTTTACAAGCCCCAGCTAGGTAGTTAAAAACAGCGATGTCAACTCTTTTTGCACCTATGGTCTAACTCGTGCGTCCGAATCATATCATTACTTCTCTTGCAGAATTCTCTTTATGACACCTACTTTGAGTAAATTTAAAACTAATTCTCCTAGTATTTGAGAAATAGTCTGTCATCAAGATGGTGACTGGTTTGAAAAAAGGTTATCAAGATTATTGCGTTATCTTTCCAGCTTAGAACGATCTCACTGACTCGGTTGAAGCAGCTTTATACGCCGCAACCCTTGGTGCTGCGTCTATCTTTGCTCAGGACTTGCCTCGCCGTGACTTGATTGGCTACCCGGACTACAAAGTCGAGTTTAATGTGTCAGGTATCTTTAGAATCTTTGGAAGTGACCTGAAGGGCGCAATCCCAGCACTTGCTGCTGGCTTTGCAGAATACCAGCCTGGGGCCTCCATCGGTATATACAATTATACTAGCAGCGAAGGATCCATTGCTGGTCTTTACACAGGCCTCTCCGAACTTGCCCCGGCTGGCGATGATGCAAAACTGACGGACATGATGCCGTTCTTTAACAGCTACGGGTACCTTCCCACGGAGATTTCAATTGCTACAGGTGGCCATGAAAAGCGTGGTACTCTATGGCCGGCAGTGATTGTGGTCCACAAGGACAATCCTTTGGAAAGATTGACCATGGATCAACTAGATCGCATCTTCAGCTCCGAGAGGATAGGAGGGTGGAAGCTCGGGGCGAATGACAACCTCGCTTCAGTTAGTGAGGGTGATAACATACTCTTCACAGCCGAGTATGCCCGAAATGCCAGCACCAACATCCGCAAATGGTCCCAGCTCGGCATTAAGGGCGAGTGGGCAGACAAGGAGATACAGACCTACGGCTACATTGCCCCCGGCTTTGTTATTTACATGCAGAGAAAGCTTTTCCACTGGTCACAGAAGTGGAATCCAAATTACAAGGAATACGTTGAAGAGAAGCAAGCAACTGCGGACGACGACGGCAAGATAGTCTCCAGCGACCGCATGCTCGAGGAGCTATCCAATAACAAATATGGCATCGGCTGGGGAGCACAACTGCACATCAAGGACTACCCCAACGTGAAGCCAATCGCTATTGCGCAAAACAGCTCCGGACCATACTTTCAGTTTAGCCCACAGACCGTCTCGGATCGCAACTACCCCTTGGCGCGCGATGCTTACATCTATCTTAACCGCGTCCCGGGCCAGTCCGTGGACCCTAAAACTCGTGAATTCCTGCGCTTCGTCCTAAGCAAGCAGGGTCAAGAGATCATCGCCGGACTTGACAAGTATTATGCCTTGACCCTTAGCGAGCTGGAGTCTCAATTGTCTAGACTTGAGTGAGATGAGTTACTTGCCCAATGCTTTACAAAGATGAGCGAAGGGCAAAGCATAAGCAGTTCCTCTTGAGACCTGTTGAAGTCTTACTGCTTCATACGATTATCATGCAGTATAAGCTTAGTTGGTGTGGCGAGCCTAAAATCAATATCCCATAGGCAATGGTAAATTGAAAACGTGCTCTAGCTAGTCCGTAACAATTTAATTCTCCTCTGATATCCAGAATAGCTATAGTTCATGTGACTCATGTTTACTTTACAAGACATGTGGTATCTCTTGACTTCCTACGACATGCTTATTCCCCTAAACTCCATTCTGACAGTTAGCAAGTAGCCTTCGGAAAGAAGCGGTGGAGGATAAATCGGCTTTTCCTTCACTGGCTTCTCAGACTGGAAGAGCTGGGCAGTGCAACAGAGGATTTTCACCCGATGGAGAATCGCATCTTCCACCAGTGGGCTTCAAGCATCACATTCCGTGGTCCCAGGGCTCGGAGATTGGCCGAAGGAAACTCTTAACCGAAGGGTATGGCATCTATATCCCCGGTTTGACGTCGATCACGGGCTCAGACATCCTGAATGACGTCCTATTCTAAGCCCAGAGGTGCAGCTCTTTCTAAGGTGCCCAAGGGCTCGGATGGGAATTGGCAGTCAGCTGCTCGGACCTCAGATGATTCGAAGATCGGACCGAATACTACGCAATTCCCCCGCATTCTAGTAAGTCATTGACTTACCAAGTGGTCATGCATATGTGGACGGGGGTCGGCAGGCTCCATATGTTGGGTTGGATGCCTGTACCAGGCCCTCGAGTTGAAGCTGACGCTTGGCGATACTACATGGATAGCGTCACTAACCACGGAATCATGACAACATTCACTTGGAACGGGTTCTGAATGACTGGCGTGACCCTAATAGCAATGTTCCATTGACATTAGTTCACTTATCTCTGAACCCCCTGACACTCATTCCCACCAAGTTCCAGGGATGAGGAAGAGGAACTCTCAAGGTCAATGCTCGGGATCCGAGCGGAAACTGATGCCGTCCAGGACCACGAAGACTTTATCTGACCAAAATTTGAACATGGTTGCAGAAATCGTGGCGATTTACTGCATCATCAGCGCTGATTCACATTTATGGTTGGTGGAAACGTCTTAGCACCGAGTTCTGCTTCGGTTTCCGACCCCCCTTGACGCCAAGACAAGAACCATCCATGGCAGAAGCCGGAAGGCCTCATAAGAGTCCACATGCCCGCCACATCACAAGTTGATGTATGTAAACAATTTTGCCAATGCGATGCTACGGTCATCGTCCGAGCATATCCTTGCTAAGAGCTCACCGCCAGCGGAACTCGGCACCCTCTAGCCCTGGAATCTAACAATTCAGATACCATTGCATAATGCGCGTGTTTACCCCCGAGAAAAGATCAACATACAACTATAGCCGCAGGCCTTGAATGATTGTTGGTTAGGAAAATGACATAGGCGGTAGCGCAATCCCTGCAGTTGAGGCGACCTTGATCTCCGAACACCGAGAGAAGCCTACCATCTTCTCTAGCACCGAGAAACTTTGAGGTGGACATAGCCCGACGATTAGTTACGCAATTCGTTATCACTCAGAGTGGGTTGCAATATGTCTCCACGGCAGAGAGGGTGATGATTATTATCGAGCGAAGACGGCACCGTCATATTTTGTGCTCTATCCTAAGGCGTCGAGCCCATCGGTTCAGTTTTAGTGTTTCCCTTTCCTGCCCACTCAAGGTAATGAAATTATTTAAAGCAGCATATAATAGAATATGTTATTAGCGATCCTTATTATTAGTTCTCTAACATTGAACCTGAACTCCACAGAAGGTATATTATGATAATAGTTCGCTCAGTTGTAAATTCACCCCACGGTATTCCCCGCATCGAGAGCCGGGTTTTAAGGCCCCATTTCCAATCATACGTCTAAAATTTCCAAGCATATATAAATCCTCCGCTCAAACCCCGCCGCTAAATCCAGTAACCCGTTGCACTCCCCATGGGGGTCTCCAAGTCCGGTGGGGGCACACAGCCACGGCAACCCGCAAGCCAGAATGGATATACTGGGCAAGGCTATGGGTTGGAATATGGCTAAGACTTTTCATTTAGTTAGTGGAGCTTCGGTCAGTCACTGACGAGACTAATTGCGTTGTATCTTGACTTTTTGTTGGCTGTGTGCGATATTCTTGATACTTGGGTTTGTGGAGGTGAGGCTAAACCATCTGAGCTCTAAGGTACCCAACAAGGGGTTAAAAGGTACTAGGGTTATGAGGAAAACGTGTGGAAGCAAAAGAGGAGTGAAGTGTAATAACTGCAATTTAGATTCGCCACGAGGGGCCGACCATTAGACGAGTATTAACTCTATAGTGATTTAAGCTTATCTACCGCTGATGCGGAAGAGCTCTGTCCGGAGAGATGTGTCCTTTTGAAAGGAGAATCCGATGAGGATTTCTAGGAGAGAATGATGGTGAATCGCTATGATATGGGGGCCTTGAATGAAAATCAATCTGTTTCCTCTGATATGATTCATTTTCCATTACGAGAACAAGAATACCAAACCGAATCCGGCTAAGCCAAAGGAACCGGGATGGCCTCGTGCTGACAGTTTCAACAAGTGCGACAGCTGTCGAATCTCTCCCCTGGCTAGGCGGCATCATCAGCCCCAAGTGCAGGAAGTAGGGTTCCGTAAAGCTTATACTCCGGTGTGCCCGTAGTCCATGGGATCTAACATGGAACTTTATGGAGACAATGCCTACATATTGATCCGATAGCATGTAGGTTCGTTCGGCGCCCCTCTGAATAAGCATCTCAGGCATCTCTAGATGCTCGTCAGCCGAAGCAGCCTGGACAGCATCACCATAATCGCCACCTTGAACAGGGTAGAGATGGCCTACTCGATCCTCCGGGGAGAGCGTTAAGTTATTGAGAACTGTGCTTCACCTTGAGGGCTATCCCGAAGTACTAGTTATACAAAAGGTGGCGTTTCTCTATATTTTATCGCTTCAGGATATCTCTCAGCGAATAATACAAGGAGATTCTCTAGAGTCGCTTTATAACTTTCATATCGCCACGCCTCTGCATTGTGCGGCAGAGAAAGGGACGAATAGGTAGGTAGGCTGCTGGTTAAGGAGGGCGCTGGTGTCAACACGAAGGACAGGCTTGGTAGGAGGCTACTACACGAGGCGGCTGAAAATTGCCACTTGGGCTGATATGAACGCTACCCAAGTTTAACGAGATGGAGATGCCGGCCGTTTTACCAGGCCGCCGGAAACGGCCATTTGGACATCATGGGGGACTGCTTGTCGATGCGGGGGGAGCGAGGACGCTAAAGATGAGAAAATGGAGGCGGTGCCACACCGGGCCGGAGCTTATTTCTTAGCCTCTCGTATTCATTGTGTCGAAATGTCGGGGCAGGCATCTTCATGGCTGTTTTTTGGCTTTCTAGTCGAACTCTCTCACCTGTATCCGCTACATCGGGCCGCCGAAAACAGCCACTTGGACATTGCGAGGCTGCTCGTGGACGCATGCGCCGACAAGAACGTGAAGAAGGGGAAGAAGAATGTGACTGCTGTGTGATCCACCGGAAATGGCAAGTTGGATGTGATGAGGCTGCTCCGAAGACCACTTTGTCTTAGAAATTGAATGAATGAATGAATGTCATGCAGAGCTCGGAGAATACTCGTATTAAATCGGGCCTAAAAGAAGTACAGTACTTTGGTCTATTTTTGCTTCCAGCCGCAAATGTTAATGATGCAAGTATCACATAATTTTGCTAGTACCATTCGCTTTAGTTGGAGTTTGCCCTTTTGAACTACTCCTCCCCACTTGGATGGATGGACGCGCATCTCGCATCTCTCAATTTGTTGTTATTCTTTGATTTTCTGTCGTTATTCTCTGACCAAATAGATTCTTCCCTTTGTCCTTGCTTTCCATCATGGAGAAAGATACTCCGACAGCAGTTGCTCGCTCAAATGCTCAAATCCCCAGCTACATCATGTTAGTAGCTGTCTCACCACCATCTTGGCTAGACTTTCGCTAATAGCATCTTGCTCCAGCGCCTGGATCGTTACTTCAAATGTCACAATTCTTGCCAACAAATGGATAATAAGCTCTGGGGGATTCAGTGAGTGAGCTCCCGCCACTCAAGCTCCCCTCTATAAACAACATACACACGAGCTAACAAGACATACTCAGGCTTCCGTATGTTGTACACATAATGATCACGCCGTGAGAAATGCTAACCATTGGTGACAAAAAGCCATCCTCCTCACATGCTTGCATCTCACATTCGCCTCCATCGTCACCCAGATTCTCGCCCGCACAACAAATTTGCTCCACCGTCGTCACAATCTACCGATCGATAGGAAATTTTTCCTGCGAAGAATTTTACCGATGGGAATAGTCGCGTCAGGGTCCCTCGTCTGCTCGAATCTCAGCCTCGTCTGGCTCTCGGTCTCCTTTCAACAAATGGTCAAGGGCTGCAGTCCCGTTCTAACACTGTTTGTTTCTTGGTTGCTGGGGGTAAGAAAAGTCACCAAGAGCGATATACTCAATGTGATTATTATTGTTGGTGGTGTTGTATTGGCCAGCGCTGGAGAGGTTCACTTCACTGTGATTGGTGTCGTATATCAGCTGGCCGCACTACTCTTCGAGGCGACCCGCGTTGTTCTCATCCAAATTATGCTCACAGGCGAAGATATAGCTCTAGATCCCATCGTCGGCCTCTACTACTATGCGCCACTCTGCGCGGTAATTAATTTCTGCATTATGTGGGTGGTTGAGGCCCCTCACCTCTCTGTTGCTGAGGTGACTCCGATGACTTGGGGTATGATCTTTGGGAGTGCCGTTACTGCATTCATGCTAAATTATACAAGCATGGCATTGGTTAGTGACAAATAATACCGCAAGTCATGTTTCATTTCTAACCTCCTCGAGCAGATTGGCAAGACATCCGGCCTTACCACGACTTTAGTTTCGATCTTCAAAAACATTCTTTTGGTCGGAGTATCAGTCCTTATTTGGAGCACTCCAATCTCCCCGATCCAGTTCCTAGGCTACTCAATCAGCATTGTTGGGTTGGTGCTTTACTCCTTTGGTTTTGGCCAACTGTATGCAGGTTATAGATCACTTATATCGTGGCTCGGGTTACAATGGAAAGATGAGGCCGATATCTTGGGCCAGACGCCTTGAACATCATCCCAGTAGCTATTCTTAATGTTTCTCTGTCCATCTTAATCTAATGCCGCGACAAATATTCGCACAGGTCAAAAAGGCCTTCTTTATCATCGTGGACTTTTATTTTCATCAAAATGTTGTTCACTAAAATTTTCGGCATTTGTCTTCCCGAAATGTGCTCGCTCGCATAATTTCGGTAGCCAACTTTTTTTTCACTATTTTTGTGTCGTATTTCGTATGTCGTATTTCGTATGTCGTATGTCGTGTGTCGTGTCGTGTGTAGTGTGTCGTGTGTAGTGTGACGTGTATCGTGTGTCGTATTACAAACAACCTCCCTAGTTGTGAGTATCGTGGAGAGGATCTTCTTTGGGATAAGCTGGAGTGGCATAGCGCATTTTACAAGGATGCTTCCTTCGGGAGTGCTGCAAATAGAATGCGAGGCTTTTCTCGACCGTTTCGTGAGCTTGAGGCTGCCATTGCAGTCTTGATGCCGTCAAAAAGATTACGCTCACGAAGCCGCTCCTCAGTGATCTTACCATACATTGTCTCGGTATCACATTTGTCGAATTCGCTTTCTTGGGGTCAGGGAAGTGGGAAGAAATGCACATTTGTTTCCTTGGGACTCGAATATCTAACCTGCTATGGCGTGGAAGTCGATTTATTCTACAAACAAGATATGCAGTACAGTTGCTTCCATTACAAGCCGCGTACAGAAATGCTAAATTAGACAAGAGAAAATGAATTCCAATCACCAGTCGAACTGTCCATGTTTGATGGATTCTGTGGTGTTGATCAGAGGCATTCCACCCAACATAACCGGCAGATCGTTCATACACGCGATTCGTGCCGCGGGATGCGCCGCGGAGGTGCTGATGGCGATGGCGGGGGCTTCGTTTGAAGGATTCTTGAGCCCATTGACCTGCAATGGAGGCTGGCAAGTGATGGCCGAGACGAGCATGTTCATTGCTACATCTTCGCAGTTGGTGAGGTTATCGACGAAATCACGGATCTGCTTCATGACGGGGTCTTCTGTCCAGTAATACTCAATAAAGGCAATGTGGACAAAGACCAGACCGGTCATGACGACGGAGTAGGCATCGCTGGAAAAGCCAAGCTCCCATACGCCCTCGGAGTTCTGGACATGCATGCGGGCGAATGCACCGACAACCCGGTCCTGCGCTTTCTTTCGCCATGTCTGGAAGACAAACTCCATGTCGCGAGGGTGGTAGTACACATCGTCGTCGTGGAGGAGCACGGCCTTGGTGCGGTATGCCTCATTCGGACGGAGCTTCTCGTTCAGACTGTTCTTGGTGGTCTGGCGGTAGATAACAGGTACGCCGTGCTTGGAGAGAAAGTTCTCGGGGGCGGGTATCTCAGGGTCATTCCAGATGATGTGGACTTCGAGTAGGGAGGGGACATGTTCTCCGAGAATCGCATCCAGTGTTCTGCCCAGAATGTCGGGCCGCCTGTAGGTTTGAAGCAAGATTCTGCGCCGCAGAAGTTAGTCTCATGGATCGATTTACTCTTCCGTAACAGGTAAGGTATAATGTAAACATACGTGAACTTGTCGTCGAGCAAAGAATCCGTCTTCTTCTTGATCGAGTTCCAAAGCTTTGCGTCAATCTTGGTCTGCTTATCGGGACAGTTCGTCACCTTTTTATCTGGCGAGGACTCCAAAACGGCCAGAGCTGACTTTGAGTGGGCTGAAGATGCATAAGTGGCAGCCTTGGCAAGCTGTCGATCAAAAGCTGCTGGGTCTGGAGAAAGGAAAATGAATGAATATAAAACAAGGGCAAGAAAAATGCAAACGGTAACCGCCTTGCGCGGCATGGTGAAGCCGCTAGGCAGAGTTAATGCTGTGTTCTTCATGATGTGCTTTATATATATATGTATTGACAAGGACAGATAAGAATTTGGAAGAGGGAAAACGGTCACTTATAACCGACAGGGTGGACAAGAAAAATAAACAAAAGGAGTGAGGGGGTTGGCAGATCCAGCAGACGGGTCCCCGCTGCCGGAAACGGCCACTTGGGTGTTGCCGGGCCGCTCGTCGAAGCTGAGCCTTGGGCTAGCAGAGCTTATTTTTTAACTTTTCGTATTTATTTTTAACCCTCAGTAGGCATTTTTAACCTTTCGTATTCATTGTGTAGATGTGTGGGCCCGGCATCTTTTGTTGCTATTTTTGCTTCGTACTTCGTACTTCGTACCCCAACTCTCCTCCCCTCGTCGACGCAGGTTGCCGACAAGACGCTAACGACAGTTTCGGGAGTCTTCTTTGGCTGTAGCTGTGCCTGGGCACAGACTCTTCCTCGTCCCATGAGCATCGATAGCCTAGATTACATTGTCGGACTGTGATGGGGTCTCTGATCAAAACCATATTCTAGATAATTCATTCGGTAACTACACCGTAACGTTTTCAAGTTTTACTCGATTATAACAACTGGGTTCAATAATGCCCAAGCAGGTTTCCCTCCTCAGTGTAGAGCTTGAAGGCCGCCCCTTTCATGTCTCTCACTGTGTCTGGGCAGCCTCGCTCCTCAGTAATTGTAGAGAAGCGAGCGAAGAGACGAGTCTTCTTATTGCCGTTAGTCTTGAGAAGAAACTTGGCATCGGTATACTTCTTAACAATAAAGTTGGTAAGCTCGAACTCGCTGAAGGCGACCACTCCTTTTACGTAGATATATCTATAAATAATTCATTGGCGGATGATCAGCCTTATAGGAGCTTATACTTTAGGTTCTATTCATTGTGTTGATATGTCGGGTCTGGCATTTTTCATTGCTGTTTTCAACTTTATACTCGAACTCTCTCGCCCGTATAAATATTGCAATAGTGATATTCTCCGGGGGTTGGATATACTCCTTGTGTCGTCCGGCTCCATCCGCACCTCGGGGATGATGACCTCAGCTCTGCAAACATAACCGTCTATCACTCCATGTCAGTTCAAGAATGGTTTATCTCTTTTGTTCGGATGTATCCTAGGCGTTTACCCTGGCAGCTATCATGAGATAATCGTCCCGACCAACAGGTTTAATCATGATCGCCCGAACCCAGATCCGGATCGCCACAAGGATCAAGGCCAAGGCAACAAGGGATCCGCAGATCGTGAGGATCTCCGGCCCTCGGCCCACATCGGAGGGATTGGGCTCGCGCCGTTGTTTATTATGGGCTTTCTGCAAGCTGGTTAAGGGTCCACATGCTTGCATCGATTTTCAGATCAGAGTAGAGGGAGGAGATGACTGATTCTTATCTTGCAATTCTCTCTTAATGGCTAACAAACGGATGGGGAAATCCCACGACTCTCTCATTCTCCCACAAAACTGATGGCGTCCACCTGACTCCCACGCCAACCGATATGCTGGATTATCCTTGGCCGAAGCCGTCCACGAATTGCTTCTTCTAGCTAGCCACATGCAGGCATAACCGGTTGGAAATACAAAATAGATATCGTGGTTCTCCTGACCAATGCATTGCACTAGTTAGGTCCAGAAATGCAAGCGAGCTGCATCCAATCTCAGCTGGGATGGTAGGAAGCAAATAAATTAATTAATTTGTGGATTCCTCAAATCAGAAGGACCCTCCTGTCATGTGTTTTAATGGGATCGACATCCCTCTGATCCGAGTCCTGAAAGCTCTGCCTGCCACATCGCTTTCTGTTTCTGACATCCAGCGTACCTCCGCTTAGCGCATTGTCCGTCTCCTGTGCCATAGCTAAGCTTGTTTTGGACAGTGACCGACGAATCAAGCAGGATGCGCGTGTCATCGCTTCTGACCGCTGCGTTGGCGTCTCTGGTGCTGGCGCAGCCTCATGTTGCACCTCGCGAGGGAGGCTCCGAGGAGCAGCAAGTCGCCAAACTCATCGAGGAGATCAAGGCTGATGTTCTGCAATCTCTCCATCAGCGCGAAGAGACGATGCGCAAGCGGGGCGAGCAAGCCTCTTGCAATGCAAGGAACATCGTCTTCCGCCGCGAGTAGTGAGTCTCCCCTCCCTCCCTTGCCCGGCAGTCCTCCTCGATCAACTACTGATCTGTCTTGCACTTGAATCAGTGGCTCCCTCTCTAAGCAGGAACGGCTAAATTACATCGAAGCCGTCAAGTGCTTGCAGAAGCTTCCGACCCGGACTCCCCAGAGTGTCGCCGCTGGTGCCAAGTCTCGTGTAAGTACTTCGGTTCTCTGCCACGTTGCTACTCCTGATTTGAACGGTAAATGGCTGGAGAAAGCAATAGCGGTCTCAAAACTCGGTGCTAATGCAGCCAACCCATGCTAGTTCGACGACTTTGTCGTGGTCCACATCCAGCAGACCTTGGACATTCACTTCTCCGGCGTCTTCCAGCCCTGGCACCGTTGGTTCCTCCACAGATACGAAAAGGCGCTGCGGGAGGAGTGCGGATACGAGGGTTATCAGCCCGTAAGTTTATTTTAATTCTCCGCTATCCAGGCTATTAACCCATGTCGATGGTCTGGGGTCTCTGACACTCGCGATGCCCGGTATGTGAGGCTGATCTCTTTTCTCTTGGCTAGTATTGGGACTGGGCCAAGTACCATACCGCGCCTGAAAAATCGCCCATCTTTAACGGTGACGCGTACAGCCTGGGTGGCAACGGCGACTTCATTCCTCATCAAGGTCCAGTCATTGTCCCTCCTGCTGGAGTGGGCGGCGGCAACATCCAGCTTCCCGCGGGAGTTGGTGGCGGCTTCGTGACCGCCGGCCCTTTTGCCAACATGACCATCAATCTCGGCCCCGTTGGTGGTCTTGAGGGCACCGCGCCCGGCCCAGATGGAGGCCTGGGGTATAACCCTCGTCGCTTGAAGCGTGATGTTGGTCCTGCCATGAACACACGATATGCCAACTACACTACCGTTCTCAGTAAGATGGCCGGCAGCTGGGCATTTGGGACTGAAGCTAACACCTCTTCTGTAGATCTCCTATTCAAGCCGGACATTGCCTCGTATCGACTGCTCTCGGAAGGTGTCCCCTACACAATTGAGATTGGCCCTCACGGCGGCATCCACTACACCATCAGGTAAGTGAACCGGTGTCCCTCCTCCTCAACGGTCAAGCTACTAACATTGCACTCGGTAGTGGTGATCCCGGCGGTGATCTCTTTACCTCCCCTGGAGATCCCGCCTTTTGGGTCCACCACGGTATGATGGACCGCATGTGGACTTTCTGGTACGTTTCCTCCTTCTTAATCACTCAACTCCATTGCAAATTAAACCATTTCCGAGAACTGATTCTGTATTCTATCACCATAGGCAAGCACTCGACCCTAAGAAGCGACACTCAGAGCTTAGTGGCGGCAACTACGGCCACATCACCTGGGCCAACAGCCCGCCCTCCCGCAAGGCCCTCCTATCTGATCCTATTAACATGGGATACGCTGCCGAGTCTACTACTATTGGTGAAGTCATGGATACCCTTGGCGGACCACTTTGCTACTTTTACATTTAACCAGCAATCAGGTTGCTAATGCTTCGCCTTATGGATTTGGGTTACCTGACCTAATGCTTATTCGAAATAAGTGCTGCAATACCTTGTTGGGATAGATAGCTTAATTTACAGAGCTGCGCGCATGCGTCAGACGCCGACTCTGCTTTGGTTTCGATGATTACCTCTGCCGCCTGCACTGTGATTGGAGCCAGATGAAACACAATAAGGTATGGCATCAAGTTTAACTAGGCTAGCTCCGGGGGCTGTAAACCTACCCACGTTCCAGGAGCCGGGTACGTGGCGCCGATGAGTTCCTTCTCGCCGAAAAGGAAATGCCCATCTTTGGCCAGATCCGCGATGACATGTCTGTCGGTTGGTGGAGGGATCAAGGAGGTTCCTTCGGGTGGGGGTTCGATGAGACAAGCACGCCCATCGACCACTTCCATGTGGTCGGCATGGATTCCGGGACTGGTCCAGAACGTCATATTCGGGTCGATCTCGGATTTGATCCCAGACAGGCGCGGGTAGTTTGTGCCCCAAAATGCCGAAGCCCAGTGCTCTTGTTCTGTACTCGCCTGGAGAGTGGCATGTAAGCATTTTGTTCTGATGTCGCCTAAGACGGTAAGGATATCGCCGTGGGGGAGCCCGACAAACCTCATTGATATATGTGCCCATATCGGGAGCAAGAACCCGGAGCCCGTCTACATTGGTCGTATTCGTCTTGAAGCCAACGACGAGTGCGACAGCCTTCCGCCATCCCGGGTTATTTGAGGTATCGGATCCATCCCCGAATCTCCCACCGGGCGAGCAAACCAGAATACCATAGCTGCCTCTCGTTTCACGCAACGCAAATGTTATGTTGGGACTGCGGAAGTGCTCGGCGCCGAGTAATCGACTGTCAAAGGGGACGATGCCGCGGTTGTAAGGCGAGGCGGGCTCATCTCCTGGGCTTGGAAGCGGGCCGTAAGTCGTGTCAAAGAAGTCCTTGTAGTCGACAAAGTCATAAGGCCGCGACTGAAAAGGTTTCATACCGGGGAATGCCTGCATCTTGGACAAAATCGGACCCCACACGGCGTTTGCATTCGCCACGCCAGAACGATCCGCTGGATGAATAGCGTAACATCGAACGCTGTTCGGCCCGGCATAAACGTAAGCCGTGATGCCCTTCTCTTGAAGGCCTGGTAACTCAGAGAAGAGGTACTCCATAGCCTCGCTCACTGGTGTCCGACCAGTTTCGTAGTCAGTCGAGTTTGGACCTGCAAGGGTTGAGTTCATCCACCAGTTGAACCCGGTCAAAGGGACTGTAGGATAAACCTTCCAGGTGGCTTCGACAACGACACCAAATGTACTGCCGCCACCGCCACGAATAGCCCAGAAGAGGTCCTTGTTTGTTTTGTTATTTGCGATACGAAGCTGTCCATCAGGTGTCACCACTTTGGCTTCCAGCCACTGATCGACGCCGAGCCCGTACTGAGAGGTGAGTGGCCCGTAGCCGCCATTCTGGCCCCATCCTCCGGCTATAGCCACGGTAGCTACACCAAATTAGCCGCTAATTCTACTGGAATCAAGACACGGCACGTTTTTGTAGGACTCGTCCTGCCCTTGGACTTACCTGAAGCTCCGCTCATGCTGAATAGGCCTGACGGATCGAGTGCGTAGTTGAGATAGAGTCCAGCTGCTGCCGGCCCAAACGTAGCAGCAGCTTGAACCCCCGGAAGTGGAGTAATGACATTGGCCTCCTCCGTGTGGTCGAGCCTGTCCGTACCGCTCTTAGTTGAAATGAAAGATTCGTGAACCTTGATGCCTCTCAGAAAAGACAGATCGAGTAGAAGACCTGACCCAGCGTCGCTGCGGCCAAGTTGGTCATGCCCCGTAGTGACAACGGCAAGGCGGACGTTGTGTTCGGTAGCAAAGTGTACGGCAGCCTGGACGTCTTCAATAGACTGTGCGCGGAATCGATAATTTGGGAGAGGGCTCGTAGGATTCTCCTCGATCGGGGTCACACCTGGCAGTGCTGCCTCCCAGGTTTCAGGATTTGGCCAATCTGGGTCTTTGGAAAGCTTGCGGCATGTCTTGTAGGCTTTGGTAGCGGCATGGCCTGGCGAGATAGACCAAGCCGAAATGGCAATACATTGCAGGAATGTGAATAGTTTCATTGGAACGAGCGCAAAGATGGACGGTAAGTCTTTTTCTCGAGAATATCTGATGATTGCTGCTGGCAATAGATGCCTCGCGAGGACGCGTTGTCACTTTGACAATGGCATTGACACCCTTTTACACTGCTCAAATCCGATGTGAACTATCCACAGCGGCAACTCAAGGCTGCTCTGAATAGAATGGAGATATAAACTTTACCGGGTGCGAGAGCGAAAGCGGATGTAACATTTTGTTTCATCATCTCAAAACCTGACACTGTAGATCACAGGCTTGGTAGTTCCATCAACTAGAGACACAAAGACGAACATTGCCCTGTTCTGCTCATCTGGGCCTTGATCGGCAGGACTAGCAGGGGTTAAATGACAAAGTTCCGACGCGTTTACATCTTCGGCAATCCCTCAGTACCGTCCTGCACCCTGACTGCCGAACCTAATCTCCGAGGCTACAGTGGAGGGCAAGTCTGAATCCAAATTTAAGTCTACGTGTACTCAAGAACCTAATCAAGCAGGTAGTTTATTTCATACGTAGTATTTCCTGAAATAGGGTTGCAGGTTGATTTATCAACTGAGCTATATACCTTATCAAGGAATCTAGAATCTCGCCCGTTGGTAGCCATATCAAACAAGGGATGCTAGAAGGGAGCACTCAGACAAGGCACTTTGGTACAAGCTGAGGTTCAACTTCCAGTGGTGTGTAACCGACCGAGTCATTCCTGGCTTGGATGTGATTCGGCAACGGAAATAATTACAAGAAACCTTAGACATCGCTCATCCCACGCTACCAGTGCCGTTTACCTTTCCCCGCCCTTGCTGTCTCCGGCTGTTACCAGGCTTTGAACCAACGGACTGCTTGAAAGAAGGCCTCTTCCTTGCCAAACTTTTGTTCCGGAATGCTGACATTGCCTCGGGTGCCGAATCCATGAAACGTGCCGGAGTAAAGAGTAACTTGATATGGATGAGCGGTTTGATTCAACATGCTCTCAACCTCGAATCGACGCGCCGGCTCGAAAAGGGTGTCAATTTCTATGCAAGAAGAACCCGATGTTAGTGTGTGCATGCGCCTGAAGAGAACATGACGAGAAAAAACAACGCTCAAGGCTCGATCTTGAAGGGGGATTTGTAGTGACTCACCAGCCGCGGCGATGCTGGCGGGTCCGTTGATAGCAAGAACCTCGCCATCCTGGAGGAAACTAGGGTGGGCGGCGAAGCCTATGTCGGCGCCTCGACCCTTTTGTAGGAAACGGAAGGCATATCGACCACCAAAGCAGTAGCCAGTTACGGCGATCCGGTCAAAACGAAGGGTATCACGCATATAGCGGATGGTTGTCTCGATCACAGGATCAGTCACGTTGGTGGTGTGTTTTGCAAGGAATTCGTCGGCATCAAAATATATGTCATGAGGCGCGGGATCGCCTTGAAAGATATCAGGCATGATGGTTGTGAATCCAGCCCTCGCGAAACTGTCGGCTAACCTATGGCTGCGTTAAACTGGGGGCCCCGAATTTCAGGTCGAGTTATCTCGATTTGACACTCACAGTTTGTTTTGTAGAAGTGGAAGTCCGAATGCGTCTGTTAAGTATAAGACCCCTGTCTTAGAATCGCTGGGCCGAGATGCTGGGCTAATATACATGGTGACTAACTGAAGATTAACTTCTATGAGCATTAGACAGAAGGTGGCGAGACATACCTCCGTCGTGAACATGCTCACTTCCAACAGGATTGCCTACATGCTGGATGATGTCGTCAAGACTTGACTGTGAAAGATGCGCTGCGGAGACAAAGCTGCAAAAAGCAAAAAGGAAGTGAAGTGAAAGCATTTTCGGATGACGGGATTATGTCGTTTCGTAGAGAATCGGCCCGTGTCTTTGATGGTAAATAAAGACAGAGAGGATAAGCTCAAGGCAGTTCCTGGTCGTTTCCAGGCGGGCGAAGGCAATACATGAATCACATCAGATCATTGGATATCTACCAAACACCCATAGCTAACGTAGCATCGAAACAGCGCTAGTGTCTTCTGCCAGCTTGGAGATATCCCACTCCTTAGGCGTGCCTCACTTAACAGTGGGGTAGATTACGTCGTGAGGTAACCATCTATGGGGCTTGGACGGCGAAATTACCGTGTCTGGCAAGTGATATGGCACGGTTGCACCCATTTTCCTAATTGCCGTGTTGATCAGGACCTCGGTTTCGGTTTCGGCTTCAACTCCAAAGCGAATCAAACGCAAGTATGTCACCGCAGTCTGCTTTAAGCTTCATAGTATTAGCCCTGTTTGATTATCACTCTTGTCACTCTCAATGCGGTCGAACTTGGACTGCAAAATCAACCTAAATGCCTGTACTTGCCGGGGTGAAATCTAACAGGGGAGGTATCGTATGTATAAATGGAGATCCTTGCCCTTCTCCCCGCATAGACGTGTGCTAGTACTGGTTTTTGAGGCAGACAATTGCGCCTGCAAGATTGCTACCGGCAAAAGACTTTGGGAGGTTTGTTTGTGAGATTAATTGTACGCTAAAGCGGCCGCTCTGCCAATAATTCACCATAAGCTAACTTGACAAGACTTATAATTACACATAGAAGGTGGATTTTCTGGCTTAGCACCCTATTAACATTGATTATGATCTGGGAAGTGGGCCTATCTTGAGCTGAGATAATTCTACCATCATTGGCAATGTCGCCTCCAACTCGGCCTTGTCTAAACACAGCCTCGTTGTGATCCACCTGTGCTGTCTCTCTCGCGACTATCCTCAATAATCAGACGAAGGCCCTGGCGCCGTAACTGGACGGAGCTAACACCCATGCCATGGCCATGAGTCCCGGAGTGATGAGGTCTGGATGGTGTAGAGCCGGCCTCCAATCTCACCAGCGGCTCCAAGTATCGCGGGGTCGAGATATCCTTTTGGCTTGAGATGGAAAAAGGCCAGGCTGCCCGCCGGCGGAAGATAACTTGGAGTCTCAATGCGTCCAATCATGTGCCATTCGTCGGGCGTAGAGGGGGTCCGGACAAAGTGAAAGATGCCTCCGGCGGCTGAGGGGACGAGAAGATCTAGCTGACCCTCCTGGAGTTTCTCTTGAAGCAGCACCGGGCTGCCTGTCACCTCGCCGGGGTGGCGAATCCTGTCCGTGATTACGCCCTTCCATCCACCAGGGGTGAAATAGAGTAATCCAGTCTTTGGTTCAGCAAAAGGCCCCTCAACCAAGTGCAATTTACCTTGCGCGATGCAGACCGCGACAATGTCGACCTGCGAGTTATTGTAGCCTTCATGTTTTTTGAGCGCCGCGGTCGTGACGGCTGAGATGACACCCAGATGAGTGGCTACATGGTCAACGGGCTCCCACTCGGTCTTAGTCTGACCTGAAGAGTACCAGTAGCCAGACCTCTGCTTGGGTCCAGTGGTGGACGTGTGTAACAGACCACCAGATTGGCTCGGGACAACCAGACTGTATCGCTCCTCAAAAGAGCCGTACGATTCCTCCTTTACCGTGGTAATGGACGGCGTGCCGCTAACACGGTACGTGACTAGGGGTGGGGATGGGTCCGCAACAAACAAGGGTGGTGGTGCCGTCGCATCTTTCTTGTTGGTGGCCCGACTAAAGGTATACAAGTTCCCGTCGGCGACGCAGAATACGTCTAATCTCTCGCCGCTTTTGCTCTCACGTAACGCAATACCAGAGACGGACGAGCTGCTCAGAGGAGTGTCCGGAAAGGGGCGAGGCTTGGACCATGGCTTGGAAGCGTGGTCATTTACGCGCTTGAAGGAGAAGAGGCCACTGGGGCCCGCAGCGACCACCTCCTTCGAAGCCGTCATGGCGAATTGCCCAATAACTGGATAGCGCGGGCGCCCCGAATACACGTCCAGTGATCTGACGAGAACTGGACAAGGCGGCAGATCAACGGTGAGCGGTTGCGACGATGACGATCTGCCCGGTCCGACCAATGTGCTGCTGCCAGAGCGCGACGTCACCATGGCTCCTCTGATCGTTTCGCTCTCGGATGAGGCGGGAGTTCGAGCTGAGCTCCAAGTCGAAGATGTTGTTGGAGAGTCCATCTTCTTCCAAATGCATCGGGGTGCGAGGTGACAGGGCGGTGATCAGCACTTCTTTTGTCCTTGCGAGAGGCAGGCGGGTTCTGATGTTCGTGTTTGATTGAGGTGGTGTATGCTCTTTGTGGGATTTGTGTGTCGCAGTCAACCTTGTTTGATATATCGGTTAGCTGGGTGGGCTGTAAGATTAAGGGCAGGTTCAGGGAACTTTGCTGTTTTCATGCGAAATAGGCGAAGCCAGAGAGGATAGAAAGCTTCGGCCCTCCTTCGAAAGTGGCAGAGTGAAGATGCCTCGTCAAGAACATGAGTAGGAGAAGGTGCAGCCCACACTCAGCTTCGTCAGTTCTCCCGTCACGTGATCCCATATGGCCAAACTTTCAGAACAGAAGGCGCAATGCTGTCCAGAGGGAGCCTTAAAGAGCGAAACTGGGGCTGGGCTTAGAAATTCTGGTGTCGAGCCGAAGACTGGAATTTGGGGGTGGATTTCGGTCGGATGTCTGGCTTGCGTACACCATAATTTCAATTCCATCATCGTTGGAGCTATGTGTATTTTCACCAGATGTGAATACCGGCTATTCAAGCTGTTCAAGGTGAGAGTGTTTAAGCCCAGATTCTGCCTCCCATTCCAAGTGTAGGGCCATGAGCCCTGGCGTATCACAAACTTGTTAACCATAATATAAGGTAGTGAAAGATCGTTCTACCTTTAACTACCTTGGATCCTGGACTGAAAGTCAATTGTGAAATATCTTTCTGGAGCAATCAATGAGAGGGGCGTGGAGGCCCTCATGCATATGAATTAGGCGACTTTGTTTCCATGGACTCGACCTGTCACTTTCCCGAGACATGCATCGATGCGCAATTCTCATCTATGGCCACTTATTGGATAGGTGCATCAGTTGCGAAAGGCCTCCTACATGAAGTGGCTAAAGTGGGTAATCTAATGTCCATACTCAAAGTACTCAAAGTACTGAGACTACTCTTCTAATACATTATTATGAAGAGATTTAGTACAGAAACTTCAAATGAAAGATGTAAGACACAAGTGTGCTACGAGCACTTATGGCTACCCAATCCCTAGCATTATTCCTGATCAAGTGACTGAGATGCATGAAATGATAAAATCTCTGTGACTGAATATTTATAGCTTCATCCTTCCTATGTCGGTATTCAGTAAGTTTTCAAGTTCGTCTTCAGTTGACCACCTAGTAGAAAACTACAACCGCTGGTACCAACGCTGTATTTTCTTGATATAACCCTAATCCCTTTTGCCTTCTCATCATGCAATCTTCAGCACCCTTGATTGCCTCTGGAAACATTCAGGCACGGGACGAGGAGTTTTCGGTCGATCTTCAAACCATTGAGACAGAATCCGCAGCTGCCGCCCACCAGATCGTTACCGAGTACTTACTAGAACGATGTAACGTGTTCAAAGAGCTTTCAGAAATAAGGCGAAGAGTATGTGCATCCGTTACCGATTTATCCTTTGGGCTCCAAGACAATGTACTTATGTGCGGTCACCCCATACAGGGATGGGAAAACCCTGAAGGAGATGAATACTGGGAGAAAAGACGTCATACTGCAGACAATCCAAGTCCAAGAACCCAACAAATTTTCTTCGAAATGACGAAACGTATAGGGGCCGAAATGCAGGGCTCGACTAAGGCATTCACCCTCCAGTTGCCGGCATCTACCAACCCCGGGATTCTGGACATGGGATCTGCCCCAGGCGGGTTCCTCACTGCAGCAATGAAAGCAAACCCCCGTTCAGATGTCGTAGCTCTAACTCTGCCGCCTTCGAGTGGGGGCTACGAAATTCTTGCTCCCGAGCATCTGAGACTGTCCGTGAAGTTGGTGGATGTGACAATGATGGCGGCAGACTTAGGGGTTCTAGACATTCCGGCAGAACATCCGGATGCACTCCAGTTTCACCCAAAGCAGCTGAAAGATGGACAGAAATTCGGGCTTGTGATTTGTGGCGGCAGTACAGTCCGAAATCATAAGGTAGCAACGTATCGCCAGGGGCGTGAAAGCTGCCGGCTCATAATGGCTCAAGTTGTTCTTGGCTTGGAGCGCCTGGTCCCCGGGGGAACGATGATTCTGCTCCTCCACAAGCCAGAGGCGTGGCCGACAGTTAAGATCCTATACACTTTCAGCAAGTTCGCCTCCGTGAAGCTTTTCAAGCCAAAATCAGCACATGGGGCGCGCTCGTCGTTCTACATGGTTGCAACCAATATTCAAATCCAGCAGGAAGGCGCTATGATTGCTCTGGCTAAATGGAAGAAGATATGGCATGAGTGTACATTTGGGACGGAAGAACAGTATCGAGAAGCCTTCCGCGAGGACCAGCTGGACGTCCATCAAGTGTTGGCGGAATTTGGACCGGAACTCATCCGGATGAGCAAGCGAGTTTGGTCCATTCAAAAGTCCAATCTATCTAAAGCGCCTTTCATTCGAGGTACCCAAGGTAGACAAGCTTTGAAATAGCCCATGGTAGCTGTCCTCTACGAGGAGTGCGGGCCACCTGACCGTCATTGTCTTTTGGGCTATTCAGTAGTACAATTATAAATGTCATACACTGTTGCATTTTCTAACATTAAGTTTTCGGACTTATCAGTTTGAGCACAAAATCAATGAATACCAGTGGCCGTGAAACGTAAGATGATGATGAGCAGAAAGCTTCAGCTTCTATTGAGAACATTGACTAACAGCTAGATACATTCTGAATGCGGACAAATGACGAAAAAGAAGCAAGGAGACTTGTAAGACTTGGTAAGTGCGGTAGAACTTATCCTGACCTTCGGCAAACTTAGAGCCACCGGCTACAGATTAGTGGCATTGGGAGGGAGGACTATCGCTTTGCTGTTCCTGTTACTCTCCAACCACTTGCTGATGAATACTTCCGTTTGGATGAAGCCTTGAATTTCGAAACTTCCATCTGCACGAACTGAATTAGCTCCCATACCCTGCTTCTGTTGAGCATCGACGGTTGGGAAACTAAGTATCTCCGGCTCGTCAGGTGGAATAGCTGACGCCACGTCCAGCCTTTCGCTTGACGGATTGTCTCCGCTTCGAAGAACCAGGCTCGATCGCCTCCTGGACAAAATTGGCGCTTGTAGAAGACTTCATCATACAGGATTGGCAGGAATGCACGACATCCTATTCCCAGAGAGAGAACATCCCGTGCAGGAAGATGATCAACTATGGTGTCTCGAATTTCGGCTGGAAGACTACCCAGAGGGCTCACACACACGGTGCTGTATTCTCCCATCGAGGACGGGACTCTTCGCACCAAATCGTCATCAACAAGCCAGGAGCCTGCCTCCACAGAACCTAGAGGGTCAGATAACTCACTCTCATTCGCCCTTCTCAGGTCGTTTTGGCCCTCATCGCGCGGGTGTGGCGTTTGGAGAAATCTCGAATAATCGTGACCCCAGTCAATGAGTTTATTCGCGGTATCAAACTTCATGGATCGACAGGTATGGTACAAGTCTTTCAAGGGGACTGGAGATGGCGCGTATGAACGCTCAAGCAGTGTCCAGCATGAATCATGGAATAAGTAGGCGGTCGAATTTTTGAGGTCGACTGTTTCATACGCGTCGTTGTTAAGGAGTCTAAACGGGAACTCGAGTTGATTCGTATAGTCTCTTGGAGCATAGATGTAGTGATAGGAGGGCACTACCTGATTCATGCCTATCCCAGACACCTTGATATTTTCAGTCACCCGAGGCTCATGGGCTCTCCGACCATAGACTGTAATTTTTGAGCGACGACAGATTAGCTGTACCATCCTTCGAACTCGATTTCAGGCATACATACGAACACGGTATTTCGACAACCAGACCAGGTTGTGTTCGGTGGGTCTCTTTCTGATACGCAAGCCGCAGATTGCGCAACCAGGGAAAAAGCACCTATTCGAAAGATCCATTTTGTTTTCTTGCCAAGAAACTTCCAGGGATTCGCATCCGATGCATGAATTCAAGGTATCATGCGGATCTTTGGGATGAGAGATGGGATTTATATATAATTTGAGAATGGTATGTTGAGATGCTGAGCATAAAGGCAAGACAATAGTACAGAGTCTCCAGAAAATTCTAAAACAAACACATATTAATATTCACCCATATGGATTCCAATAACCACGTCCTTTTGTGAGTGTGGCTGTTTTGTACAAGGAGGCATTGTGTAGCCTTTGTCCTGGTTTTGATTCAAGGCCAGTCACAAAATTTACACCAAGAGCTGATTAGAAACATGGAAGCGTGGTAGCGTGATAGCCAACGCATAGATGACAATAAACCAACATAGTTGTGACTGTGGTGAAAGCATATACCGCCTTTGCATAGAGTGAACGGTAGGTTTCGTCAGGGTTATTACTTTGTCTGATATCCAAATTCCTTTGGATAAGGTGATACCTAAGACATACATGCGCACGGCCCCTAATCCCTAGATTGACAGTGAGGCTTGAACAGTTATAAAAACGTCATGAGGAAATTCCGTGTTGGGTTCCGGGTGGCAACATGAAGTAGACGTCGGGCAGAGCATCCAAACTGTTTCATCAAATTGGATGTTGGGATAAGTCTCACTATCGTTACCCAAAAGGCAACGCAGGCGCAATCACAGCACCGAAAAGACGGAAATAGCAGTGGGAGGACAACCCTTCGATCCCTGATGCTTTTAGCATCCTAAAACAAAAATATCTACAACCAAACAGACATTCCTGATAAACGAAAGTTAGGCAAGCTTGTAAGGTTGATCTGGATGCATGTTCTATCAGCTCCATGGTTAAGAGTATGATCATTGCTAGATCTCCTCTGCCATAAATGCACAGTTATATACCCACTCAAGATCGGTAGATCGAGATACACACATGACTCCTTTGTGTTCTTGGATGTGTCGTAAAGGTGCCTAAAATGGGAGGTCGCAGACAAGCCAATGGGAATGTTCAAACTCGCAGGGAAAGCTTTTGTCTGACGCTCACCCCGCCTCACTAGCTGGGATATTTGTCGCAGATGGGCGATCGTTATTTTATGCTGACCGTTTCAAAGAGTTCTACTTAAGGTTGCTGTTCTCACGTTCTGGGCTTGCGAGCTTACCTTTGTCTTACTTCTTCCAACTCAGTACAAAATGCCTTCTGTTAAATCCTTGATTGGCCTCGCAGCCATATTCCCAATCCTCACGTCCGCAATTAGCACGTACAATGCGACATTTCATACATCACCTGGTTGCGGAGACTCCAGTATGTGAACTCCTAGAATCTGCATAAGCCCAATAGAGGCACAATGCAATGTTCAACATCTAACACACGCCTTAGCGCCGTATTCGATGAACGGTTCGCGATATACCGACTGTGTATCTCTAGGCAAAAAGTACAATTCAATCAGTGCTATTGAAGATGAGGCAAGCGATGAAACCTGATTTGCTCCCGTGGTTAGCTAACCGACTGTGTGCGCAGCCGAATGGATATTGCCACTTCTTCCTCTTCAGTGATACGGCTTGTGCCGTCGAGATTACTACTGAGGATAATTTGGACGGCGTATGCGAGAATGTGTCGGGAATTCAATCTTTCCGCGTAAGCTGTTACAGGTAGACGGCAAGGGTGGGAGATGGTTGGACAAGGCAAACGCGAGTGTTTCATCACGTGGACCAGACTCCGTCTGGACTATGCCTGGTGCATAAATGTTGTGAAAACAAGTTGTGAATTATGTAAATGGAGTCTCCATGAAGAAAGATGCGACGAAACGCTACCTGGAGTGATGTAGAGGAGACATATCGCAAACTTAGCCCTCAGACTCTGCGGAAGCTGGAACTCGTATTGACGGGCTGCGGTTCGAGCATAAATAAGCTATCCTCTCAATTGTACTTCGTCTAAGTTGACTGATGTCTGATTAGTGAAATTCTCGCCAGAACACTCGGGTAGCATTAGCTATGGAGTCTGCGATCCTGAGCAGGATAACTCAGCTCTGCCAGGGCTTGAGGCTCGGCCGATCTTTGCCACTTTAGCACCAATAACGCTGCCAACTCACAGTCGTGCTGTCCGCTCGGACTGCCGTGACACTTCCCCTCCCGAGAATCTCTCCAGTAGTTCCCTCGCTGGGCTGAACGAATCTATCCGATCATTGCCTCCCCGAGGTTTTAAGCTGGCTCTTGCCGCTGTTCATTGCTACCCCGGTTACCCGGGCCGCGTGATTTGAGTTGTCGCTAGCTGAGAATATGCATGCCTTCCTAGCTGAATGACACATAGTATTGCTCTTGGTGGTGCTTATTGGTCACAATAGTTTCCCTGCTCTAACCATTCTGGATGGTGATGCATCAAAAAAAGAGACTATCCACGGGCCGCGCGCGGGCCGAAATGTCAAGAAATCAATAGACTGTTTGACATGTAACGTTTCAAGTTGACTACTTGCCGTGGTTGGCAAGCTGCATTCATCAACCTAATTGATTTACATGGGACAGGCGGGTAGCTACATACTAGCTACATGCAGACACTGTCGACATGGACTAACGGCCAATCCCTTGTTTTCTCACTCTAATCTCAGTGTACCCTGGATGCAGGTATGAATGCATGCTCGTCGACTTGGGTAAAAATGACCTAAATGTAAAAGTGGCTGGCTGAACCTGGCTGATCTTGGAGCCCTGGGGTTAGCTCAAGTTTCAGACACGTAATCGTACGTTGTAGTTCGTGATGCTGAAGCTAGGATATGACAGGCCGGGTGATCCCAGCGGAAAGACCCGCCAAGACCATTTCTATCTATCTGCCTACCTCAAGGATGATATGGAGTCGGTGTTAGGTTATGGTACGCAAACGCTAAAGTTGGCCCCTGGATTTGAGGGAAAACGAGTTGCTAATAGTACGTCCTTACACTTTAGTCTCAGCCCAAAGAAGTCGCCACAGACTCCCGTTGGGAATTTTGCTCAATTGATTACTCTTTGGGAGAAGTTGAACCCAAACAATACTACCCTATCCGTTTTCTCAAAATAGCTTAACACTGGCAAGGAAGGGCAACACTTGGCGAGTGTTTCGAGAACTCCTAAACGGTAACTTTCAGCCGCCCCACTGCCAGTCCCGTTACCCAATAGACCAAACTGGATGAAAATTTCTGTCCGAGACTTTCAGCCTCTCACATGGAGACGGAGGAGCCCAAATGCACTTCCCTGATCCTGGAGTGGAGGGAGTATAGGGCACGGTTGACGTTCATGTTCTCTCATGCTTTTGCTCTATGCACTTGATGCAGCCATAATCAATCACAAATTCAAGAGGAGCCCAATATGATATATCAGAGCCAAGCCTTGCCCCATGTTAACTTACGTAAATTATTTCTCTATGGCGAGTTGAGAGCGGTAGGTATCATCGCAGCTGGATCCTTGCCCATCGTCCGAACTCCACCAGGTCTTGGCCCGGATATTGAAATCGACTTGAAACCAGATGTAACTGGAAAGTGCTACAGATTGGTGGCTAGCTGAGTATACTCAAAATGAAAGCCTCTTCCCGTTCAAGTTAATACATTGAATATCACCGTATGAAGGTAGAGCTGAAAGTCCTGAAGCGTCGTGATCGACTGGCCGAACATGACATCTATACATCATTTTCTATCCCCTTGGTCTATTCGCTGGGATGGATACTATTGGATTTGGTGAATGAGCTGGGTTTTTTGATAACATATCCCGAGCTATTCCTCACCTTCACGTCGTTTCAACACATCTTCCGTTGATCATCTTTCAGCTACCCCACATCTCGCCACAACTACACACGACTGGATATGACGCCGGTCTGGAAGATAGATCCATCCATCGCGTAGGCGCTTATGACGGTTGGGCTCGTATTAGCCTGCATCCTGTGCATGATCTATTTGGGTCTTCTGGTCTTCGCCTTGTGTATGGGCTGTGTGATCCTGGAACTATTGACAACGAGACTCTACTCCTTGTCCGGCATCCTCCAGTTGTAGTACAAGCGCGCCCCGAGTCGTCTAGATTGCACCTTGGAAATTTTATAAATACCTTCTTTGATCCCCTTCAAAGCCTTTACAAAGCAGCTTTCAAACAACTCACTTCAGAACAATCTTCACATCGAAACCCACTCAAACCACACCCATCAACATCATCCACCAACATCATCCACCATGTCTGACGGTCCCTCTTACCTCCAGGTATGCACCTTGCTTTAGCGTCCATACATGTGATTTTGCAATTTTTAACTGTCCCTTCAGAACAACGTTGCTGTCGCCACCCCCAAGGCTGGCCAGGACATTATCTTCTACGTCACCAAAGACTACGCGATCAGCTACTACACCAGCCGTGACCCCGACGAAGTTCATGGGCAGCAGTACGACAGATCCACTCTCAAGGTCTCCGGGAATACCATCAGGGTCAACAAAGCCCTGCCTATTATCGCGGCTGTTGCCTATACCAACCCTAACCCTTGCGCCGCTGGTGGCCTTGGAGACGATGAGGTAAGAGCAGCGCTCCTTGAGTTACGTACAGAAACTCCCAGACCACTGACGTGTCTTGTCCAGATTCGCGTTTACTATGTTGATGCCGACAGCTTCACTCTCAGGGAGCTCAAGCGTTCTGGCCCTCCCAGCCCCAACACCTGGCAGTACGGCCAGGAGTTCATCGGCAAGAACCTCGACATCTACCAGCACAGTGGCTTGACTGCCAACGTCGTCCCTGTCAACAATAAGCACCAGCTGAAGGTCTACTACGAGAAGCGCGACGAACAGCTCAGCGTTGCTTACCGCGTCCTTGGCACCGAGGACTGGTCCATCCGCAATGACGTTACTAACTAGCTCGATGACTCGACTGGTGATGCCCGAGGCATGATCTGGTGTTGTCACTTACGATTCCTGAATCCAAGGTGCTTATGCGGGAAGAGGGGCACGGAATAGCAGCCAATACATGAACCTCATTATGGTAGCTTTTCTACAATTCTCACCCTTCTTTATGAGTACGATTTACGATGGCGGTGGAGGATATAAACGGAGGGAAGTAATCGACGAATATGGGGGGCTCAGCTTGTTGCTTGGGATTCCATCTTGTAGCTAGTTTTGCAATCTAAATACATCAATTCTTCTCTCAAAATTTTCGATTTCTCAAAGCACAATACTTCGTGGAAGCTGATATTATCGTATCAATTAACTGTCATCCCTTCACACGGGCCCATACATCACTTATGATGTCTTACTCCATCCGAGGGTAGCCGATGGGCTTTCGCACTGCCATTCTTGCTCCCTGAACGTACCCAACCCCAAGAGCCAGAAAACAACACCTCTCTTCCAAATAGCCAAAATAACACCGTTGCCTTAATTATTTTCTCCTCAATATAATATCACCTAGTCGCTACACCCAATTTGTTCCTCAAGTAAAAAGAAAATCCTACTTGTTGACAAGCAGCTTCTTCAACTCTGCAAACCGCACCGGCTTGGGCATGAAGAAGTCCACTCCCACGGAATCCGCATTCCGCCGTGCGTCAGCGCTCGCCAGACCTGTCAGGGCAATCACATATGACCGCGGCAGCTCGAGCTCCTGTTCAAACTCTCGTATCTTCCACGTCGCCTCGACCCCGTTCATCACGGGCATGCTGATATCCATGAGAATGAAGTCGAAAGCCGGGAGTGTCAGACCACCTGCCCCTGCGGACGCCTTTTGGTAGGCCTCCTTGTATTTGTCTACCGCTATTTGTCCGTTCTCGGCTGCTTCATACGTGAAGCCGCATTTTTTCATAAACATGACGAGCAACTGGAGATTTATTGCATTGTCGTCAACAACGAGAACGTGAGGAGCGCTTCGTTGAGTGGCCGGGACCGGATCTTCTAACATTGGCGCGACGGCACCTAATAGAGACGGTGTTTCTGGATCCAAGGGGGGCGGCGAGACGGGAGATATTGGGCCACTCTGGTCATCGGATGTGATTTGCGGGATTGGTTTCGGTTGCTGGCCGTTTGAATCCACCTTAACGGGTCCTACCTCTGTGACCACCCCTCCTTCTATCGGTGGTGATGGTGGGAGAGGGATAATAACACCGTTTGTCCTTTTTCCCTTGTCGGCCACTTGTTTTGCCTTTGTCAGACAGTGGCTGATGACTCTTCCTAGCTTCCGTGGACCGCATCTACAGCTAAATGTCAGCATTCGAACGACTTGTGAGATTCTATAACTGATGGAGGTAGTCGAGTACTCACGGCTGAGGGATAACTTCGACTACTTGTGATGGCAATTGTTTCGTCAGGATTTGGGTCTGCTGCGCGACCTGGACGCTTTCTTCTGTATTTGGACACACAATAAGAATCGGAGGCCTATGACCCTGAGTCAAGTTCTTGGAAATGCTCTCCAGGCGCGCCCTCAATAATGGCTGCGAGGGGGGCGAATTGTAAAGGTAAATGTCGGGCTCCTGCGTGCTCGTGGCATTCTCCTTTGTCACGTTCATGCCCAACCAGGTCGTGCAACTGTAAGTAAGCACCTCGTTTAGTTTGTGGTGTTGCTGTTGAGTGTCCGCAGGTGTGTCCAGACCACCCCCTCCCTCGAGAAGACGCACTTGACGAGACTTCGTCTGTTGGAGTACCGAGTCCAACGACTCCTCTGGCCGTGGCGGCCCCTCCTCTTTGACTGGAGCAAGGCGAAGACGAACGTCCACTTCGGTTCCTTTCCCCTCTTGAGATCTGACCTCGATCCTCCCGCGCAGGTTGTCGACTATCTGTTTGACAATACTCAGACCCAAACCAGTACCAGGTTGGAAGGAATCTTCTTGACTGAATGGAACGAAAAGTCGGTTCCGCAGAAAATCTTCAGACATCCCCTTCCCAGTATCCACGACCCTTATAAGGGTCTCTATTTTTGACCCATCTTCGCTTCTTTGGCCACGCAGAGACACAAGGATGAACCCAGAGCTGGTGTATTTCAAGGCGTTTCCAAATAGATTCATGATGATCCGACGCAAAGCGCCCGGTTGGGTACGTACCCTCCCACATGTCTTCGGGCAAATATCCAACAGGACAGACACCGGCCCACGGCTCACCGCCACCAGCCGACCACCATCCGTATCGGGCTGGTCACTTGGTATTACAGAATTTTGTGATATACCTGTCCCGGGGAGCTTGAAGGTGTGTCCAGCTGCGATAACATCAACTACCTCCTCGAGAAGAACGCCCAAATTCACCACATTCGTCATATTCAGGCTCTCCATCGAATCAGGTGCAAAGTTGCCCATCTTCTGTTGTCTCGTACCTCTCCTCATCTGGACCCGGCCGAGCCTGTTGATTTTACTGTAGTCGAGGACATGATTCAGCGTATCGAGCAGCGTTTTGCCACAGGTAGAGATGGATGCAATGAGCCCCGCCTGATAAGGGTCAGCATTGGTGTCCCTGAGAAACTCGGCAGCCCCTAAGATCCCGTGGAGCGGGCTGCGCAGCTCGTGACTCATGCTGGCAATAAATGTCGTCTTCGCGGCCTCGTTCTTCTGAATCGTGATCCGCCCAACTTGGTTCATTATGCTGTTACCGAAGGCCCTAAGGTAGCTGAGATCCGATGTCAGTGTCATGAGACGTCCCGGTACCGAGGCCCAGAGAAAGCATCCGCCGGCGAGGGTGTCTTCAGCGTAGTCGAATAACGGCACAAAGACGACCACTTTGGCGCCGGGTATCTTCTTGAGCAGTTCTCTATGGTCCATTTCCACCTTCCGTCCTCTATGACCGCCCTCTGCGTGATCAGAAGCGCCGACGTCACTGGCACTATCATCCTCTGAAGATATTCCGGCACCCTCCTCAGTGAATGAGAAGGTCTTACCCTTGGGAAACAAGGCGAAATACTTCTCCAAGGTACCCAGAGACAAAGCCGTGCCCTGCTCGATGTCGGCCCGAGCCCGCTCATCAGCCAGAGAGTATGCAAAGATCTTGCACGGCCGGGTAGTGGGCGACGTGTCTGAATCAGAACTATCCACTCCGACGCTGGCCTCGGAACCTGAGGTCGACTGCAGATAGTGTTCGTTGTCGTCTGCTGATTGGAGTCCGCCCGATTTCAGTGCTCGTACCATCTGTCTAGACGTGGTGGCCGTTGCGCCAAAGAGGATCACTCCATCGGCGAGCGTTGACTGGCGCATGAGCTCGGCTGCTCGATGGTACATTCGCGACAGACGATCTGGCCCTGGTTGTTTCGTCTTCTTTTGATAGGGTGATGACGAGCGGGACCCGACTGGTGTTACAGAACCTGAGGCTTGCTTGGGTGATGATGAGAGGTGCTGATCTGGAGGCTCTAGTTGATCAGAGAAGCGGGAACTGATGCGAGTCAAAGGAGGTCTCTTGGTCGTGACAGACATATTCGGCGGACGGACAGTCGAAGGGCTCCGTGATGAGCTTCTTTTTGGCGGGTTAGCCTCATCATCCATGCCAGAGCAACCTTCTATAAAGGCAGCTAGACCGCGAACAATACGTTCGCCCTTGAAGCGGTCAACTCGATCGCGCGCCCACTCCAAATGCTCCATGATGGCCTGGCTGACTCCCTGCATGAATTGGAGCTCGTCAATCGTCAGGCCGTGGCGGGTAGACTCGTCGGACACGGCATAGGCGCCGATTTTATGGCCGTGACGGGATATGATGGGTACACCAGCGTAGAATCGTATCCCCTGCTCAGAGGCCACGTAGGGACGGTTCTCAAACCGAGGATCAAATCGGAGATCCGGTACGATCAGCCCCGGCGCAGTGTAGGACTGGCCATTTTCGTCGCGCGCCGTGCAGGTATCTGTCAAGCAGTGTTCACAGACTGCGTCCGCACGAGTGATGACGGAGGCGCCCACTAGTTTGGTTAGCGGTTCTTGCCAATGCAGTGAGATGGGTGGATTTATCCACCAAGTCTCGTTCAATAATAAGAGGCTGAAGGCAGGGTGTCGCACTGGAGGTCAACTATCTACATCACATACGCCATAGGTCGTTCTCGGGGACAGGACCGTTGATGCCATTCTGGCTGTGACCGCTGGTGCCGTTGCCCCCGGCAGCAGCAGAATTATTCGACTCAAGGGGCGCCTGTGCCTCGAGGTCGCCCAGCTTGAGGTTACGCGTGGCCTCGGCGAGGATCGTCTGGTGTTGATCGTCAATCAGCGACACCATGGCGCGCTTCACTCCGAGACGCAGGACCGCCAGCTGGGCAAAGGCCGTGAGGGTCTTGTCGCGGGATGCCCGTGGCGTGTAGCCTTTGCCGTGAAGGCTCTGCTGCTCGAGGCTGTCGACGTTGAGGGCCACGTTGAGCGACGAGCCCTGCGCGGATTGCCAGCTCTGGACGAAGCTCTGGACCTCACGCTCCCGCTGGAGCCCAGCCGAGCGCGACATTGGAAGCTGAAGCGAAGCCCTCGTCTCTCGCGGCGATTTGGTCCGGTGGAATTAGAGGTATGTAGGATCGTCACTAGCCGATGCAGGCGGTTTTTGTCTGCTGTGGAATGTTGAGTGGTTTCTTTCCCCGTCCCCTTTTCGTCCCGCTAGAACGGTGGCTACTGAAGCTCATTTTCCAGCGGATTCGATGGCCATGACGCTTCGATCGATCGATTGCATACGGTCTTCGCAAGCTTGTGTCAATAAAAGATGCATTAGACCCGCTTCAAATGGTGCGGTCGTTCCTGGACGCGGTTAGTCTGGTGGGGAGAAGAGCGACATTTCATTTGGAACAGGGGAGAAGAAGCTCACTTGGATCAATGTGGCAGTCCGTCATTCGGTCTCCAGCAAGCAGGGAGGACCTACAGATCGTGGCTGGTGAGCTAATCGGCCATGACCTTCCAGAGTTGACTGGATGTCTTTCTCATCAAATAGGGGTCATACGCTCGAACATCATCCTGCTATATTTCTAGTCTCTGTATGGCATCATCATATTGACAGCAAGAAAAGATATTAAAAAAAATCTCATTCCATATCGCTTTGGGCTGATATATTATTGCTGCTCTTCAATTTCATGTCTCGTTCTTCTGTCACCAATCGCATCTATTCCCCTTTTGGTCATAAGCTCCTGTCAAAAAAAGCCACCTGGTCGTACCCTGGTCAGCCGAACACTTTTCCCACCTAAATAGTTCATCTAGAAACGCGATATCAAGGCAATCGTTAATAAATATAGTAAAATATGCTCGCATTGTTGCCACTTTGCTTCATCAAGTCATGTACTTCATCAAAGCCCAGATCGAAGAATGGGAAGATAACGAGAAATGCCTGAGCATAAAAGTGACCTACTTTCCTCCTGTAACGACTGAAGCGCAGGCGAAGGGGCGGGTAGGCTTGAAGCAGTAATGGCCCTAATCAGAAGCACAACTGAAGGGTCGGTTCAACGGGGAGCATTAAAAGAAGGACATTTCAAAATAAACCAGTGAGGTTTGCCTCAAGTCTTTGATATACCACTCATGATATACTACTAAGGGCTAGTTCCATCACAAGTTAACCTAATGTGGATGATTAGAGAAGCAAAGCCCCTCCTTTAATAATATTTATGGTTCATGTGACGAAATCATTCCGCATTATCGTTAAAGAAAAGTGTCGGCAACATCTTTAGGTCCCCATACCCTGACCAGTGTGGATGCACTCTTTACGGCTCCTTTCCCTCCCCGATCTACCATGGCCCGGTCAAGCAATTCCGTTCCAATTGTCCTCAGGGAGACCGGATTCACACGGACCGGCTTTAGTTCTAGGGGTGACCTGTATCGTTCCCGACGATCTGCGGACTTTTTGGTGGAGAGACCCCAGCAAGCGGGACGGGCCCTACCAAGAACCCGAACTCCTGTATTCTCTATTTTTGCAAGGAACAGGGCGGAGGGCAAGTTTGATGCCATCAGTGTCGAGACAGTTCAGGTACTTGGATTGTGTCTACGCCGGCAAATGCGGTTAGACTCCGCAACCCAAGAATCTAGACGAGGTGTGAGGCATTTCTACGTGGGGCGGTACTGTCGACTTCGCAATAAGTAGATGAAGATGGTGATTTTAAAGACGAGCTTGCATATTAGGTGAGCCAGCCATAATAAATCTGATGTTTGATTCCTCTGGCCCCCATGCCTCCAACAGTTGCTCCTTCAGAATATTGTGGACAGTGCGAAGCGATGTCTACCATGGATTTATGGATAGCGCTTTGCTCTTGTCTTGCTCTAAACCGACCCTGGCTCAACTAGTAAAAGTAAGCTTTCCTCATACATATATTATGGGGTGGAATCGCTTCGGAAGCTTGAGATTTAGCTTGGCAGAGTATCTCTCAAAAGTATTGCAAGACATGTGTTAAAGCCAACCAGGCAATACCAACAGTAGCCCTTTAATGTGACGCTTGGTGGTAGTTCACCCAATGCATGCCCAGGTACATAGTACGTTCTTATTCTACATTTTCGTTCATACTTCTCTCCGCACCTAGACCGTACTAATGTCTGCAGATGACTATCTGCTCGTCCATATGATGGCTTGTGTTATTACGCTGTGTGACAGTGACATCCAAACTCCGCAATCAGCTACTGAAGTCCGCCAGTACGACCTACCGACCATAATGGGCACTTGGAAATATATAAGGGTGAAACTCTTAACTTCTATTTCATGATCAAAAGCTGGGCGAGAGATATTTCAAAGCGTACATAACTGATTGACCAACTGAAAACCCGTTCCTAGCGCTACCGAATCAGTTGCGACTCTTGCTTCACATTGCACAGACGACATGGCGGCACCCAACAGCGCTGCTAGCCCGGTAAACGTTCCTGACCATCACAATGCTCTTGTTTTGGACGAAGTTGGAAAGCCAATGCACCTTGAACTGCGGCCTACACCGAAACCTGGCCCAGGGAGCGTACTCATCCGCATCCTTGCTGCGTCGATCAGAGCCAATTCTCGTCACGTCTACCAAGACCCCAATAGCGGCCACCCCTTGCCCACACCATTCGTTCCCGGTTCCATGGCTATTGGACGAGTTGCAGAAACCGGCCCAGACGCAACGCGCCTACAAGGGGGTCAACTGGTGTTTTTCGACCCTTACATTATAGGCCGCGATTCACAAGACGCCAAGTATATCAGTGGGCTCATGGAATGCGTCGATAAAGAGAGTAGAAAACTCTCTCGCGGGGAGTGGAGGGACTCGACCTTTGCAGAATTTGCCAACCTGCCCCTAGAGAATTGCTTCCCTCTCGATGAAGCACGGCTTATAAGACCTTCTCAGGAGGGAGGGTTGGGGTATACAGTAGACGATCTCACACACTTATTCAGCATGCTGGTCCCTTTTGGGGGTCTTGCAGATATCGACCTCAAGGCCGGCGAAACTGCAATCATTGCGCCGGCAACAGGGAGATATGGTAGCGCTGCGGTGCATCTTGCACTGGCTTTGGGGGCGCGGGTTATTGCCATTGGCCGTAACAGAACTATCCTCCAGCAGCTAGCCACCATACATCCTCAACGCCTGAGTGCCATTCCTATTACTGGAGATGTCGATGCTGATACCCAGGCGCTTCGCGCAGCAACGGGCCCCAGCGGTGCAGATGTTTTCTGGGACATGTCACCATCAGGGGCTAGCTCTTCGACGCATTTTACAAGTAGTCTCAATGTCTTGAAACAGGGGGCGCGCATCAGTTTGATGGGGAGCGTCCTATCCGGTGTCAGCTTTGACTACATGCAGATTATGGTTAAAGGGCTGACAATCAAGGGGACTTGGATGTGCACGAAGAAGCAGACAAGAAGATTGATCAGTATGGTTGAGGCAGGGTTACTGCCACTGGATGCTCATAGCATGGGACCAGTTCGAAAGTTCAGGTTAGATGATTGGGCAGTTGCGTTCAACACTGCTGCTGAGAAAACCGAGCCTGGGGAGGTTGTCATAGTCCCGTAGGGTGTGAGATCGCCGTCCCCTACTGCACATCGGGACGGCTTGGTCGCGTTATACTTGCTAAATTGGATCTGAATTTCCCAGCGAGTGTCATTACTGAAGCATATCATAGGCAATTACTAGCGTGAGATGAGTAACACTTTCTGGAAGACCATTGCGCCGCGTCCTTGCCGCTGGGGGCCCAACCAAATCGGCGCAGGGCCACGCGGAAAGCCAGCCACACATATTCATCAGACGAAACGCACGCTGAAAAGCCTCTTATCTAAGGGGACGCTCAAAATCGGGAGCTATTTTTATTTTGGTACTAGCATGGGAATGGAGATGCCTACCAGGGAAGCTCTTGGCTCTATGTGCCAAAACGTGCCCGTGTCCTCCAGCTTAAACTAACCACCTCATATCAGGACCAATCACCTTCGTCCACCACGGGAATTCCACGTTCTGAGGCTTCTAGAAGCTCCTGAACCGTCCATGGCTTGTACTTATACCCTGGTACGCCATTGGTATTTTTGAACGGAGTACCAACAAGAAGAGAGTTGACGCAATTGCCATAATTTTCATACACATACTTCTCCGGATCATGATTCAAAATCCAATCCCCAACTGCCTTTCCTAGGATATCGGGTTTTTTTGCCACAGCTTCCCAATCTGTCTTGTGAAAGGCTTCACGTCTTCGGAAACCTGTTTTCTGTGCGCAGACCGCCCGCTCGAACCTGTTGTCTTCCGTTAGAAGCTTTTTACGATAGTCGGAGAATAGCAACACATTCTGCGCACCTGAGGTGATTGTGGACTTTGACTCCAAGCGGAGCGGCTTGTTTCCCGGAGAGCTGAAGACAAGAAGCCAATGAGTACGCATCTTCTAGAGCCATCGTCGCCCCACTGCCGGATGTTGGAAGAAATGAATGTGCCGAATCCCCTATCTGGATAACTCGACCCATTGGTGATGCCCATGTAGGCTGTGGATTTCGCCACATCAACTTCCAGTCGGTAACCACATGCCCAGGGGTAGCATTGATGAGCTCCGTTAGGAAGGGTGTCCAACCCCTGACGAGCTCTACCGCCTTATCACTGGACGCCGTCTTCGTCCACTCTTCATTCGCACTCCCGTCATCCTAAGTCATCGCGTTAGCACCACACCCTAAATGCTCCAATCACATATGTAGCAACTTACTTTGTGGGTTAAGACCCAACATATTTCTTTCTCAGATTTGCCGATTACAACGTGTGCATCTGGGCCGACATGCACCGACACTCGGTCTTCATAACCCTCAAACTCTTTAGCGATGATGGGATTTTCCATTACTGGGCCCACCGGAAAGCTGACGCGGTATAGAGCAAAGCCCGAGCTTATGGGTTCATTCTTTTCGCCTAAGATAAGTTTCCACGATTTGGAGCCGACTCCATCAGCAGCCACCACGATGTCAGCCTCCAGCTTTGAGCCATCCGATAATTCTACTCCCCCTTTTTTATCGGACTCGAAGTAAGCAACGGCATTTGACGAGAATTCGATAGAAATATTCAGCGATCGAGCATACTCCTCAAGTATGTTGTGAAATTCGAATCGGTTGAACACCAAAGTTGGATCATCGGGAGTGCCGAGTGGAAACGTCCCAACCAGGGAACCGTCGTATTTCTTGATGACCGTTTGCGGAGTGAAGCTGGATGCCCGGAGGCGGTCCATGAAGCCAGGCCATTGCTTAGGAGTGTGGAGGGCAGGTGTCTGAATGGCTATGAGGTCACCTGTTATCGACGCGTCAGTATTTATAGTCATTACATTGCGATGCGCACCGACCAAAGTCGTCGAACGACGGACGCCGTTCGATCACTCGGACGTTGTGTCCCTTCCGGTGGGCTTCGATAGCGAAAGCGAGGCCTGCGATCCCTCCCCCTACGATCAGGAGGGACAGTCCCGACTCGGGATAGCGGTTCATTGACTCGGGTTCAAACTTCTCGACCATGGTTCTGGTACAGGATGATGGACTACTCGCACCGCGCTGGATCTGATATTGTTCTGAGCTGATCCTCTTATACCTATACGATATAGGCAGAGAGATGATAGTTACTCAGGCGCTTGATGCTGTCGGTCTCCTGTCGGTGTCCGTCTACAGGCCGAAGCTGCGGTCTAGTGGATATGATGAGACGCTGATCATTGAAGTAAACCTGGAAGTTTGAATATCAACTCGTGATTGGCTATGATGTGAAACGTTTTGAGACGCCTCGCGTGCTTGTGTGAGTTTAGCAGGTTTGTCCATGTGAGCTGATTTGTCATTTGGTGGACAATCAAATGCCGCAGTCACGATCACGCTGTCCTTCACATCATTAACATGAAAAAATGACTGCATATGCTTGCTATATTTACTTGCCTTATGGTTTGGGTCAGTAAGCATTTTCGCTTTAAGAATCTTTGGCACAGTATTAGCCTTGAGTAGAGCGCTAGTAAGGATGACTGAACACAGAGCTTCCCCAGCTCCAGTAAATGAACACTGCGGTGCCCCGCCAAACCCAGAGACTTCTTCATTATACTAACAGAGCTCCGCATACCCATTTTGGTGGCTATAAGGCGCCTTACACCCTCGCACAAGGAGGCGTCTAGGAGGCCGTTCATAGCTAGGAGCAGCAAGAAACCGGCACTGCTAACGAGAATCATGGAGATAGTGGAGAAACCTCATCAATAATAAGTGATAATAAATGTTAGGAGCGGCAGAGACATGAATTTAGGGGTCGAACGATCCCCAGCTGTACAGCCTAGACTACCGCGTAGCTCCTCATATACCGGGTCCGGCTTGTGCTCCGAGCAAGTCCAACGGGCCTGAATTATACCCCGAGCCTGTACAGCCACCCTCTGATTCTCTTCCTTTCTACCAAATTCTTATCTTGCCAGGACCAGGCAATCCTCTCCCCCGAAAGAAAGAAAAAAGTAAAGCTAAATAAAATGAACTAAAACAAAATGAAACAAACCGAAACAAAACAAAACAAAATATCGTTCTTTGCTAGCAAGAGCATTAAGTTCAACGCCGCTGCTGACACACCTGCGTTTCTTGGGAAGATCATACTTATGACTAGAGGAAACAGCGGCTTTGTCAGTCAGTTTATGACCAAACTTCACCGACAAAAACAAACACCTATTCGGTTTTGTGATCAACAGCTTCGAGAACAAGGTGAAATCATATCTCGAGCATATAAAATGAGAGTTCATGACCTGCCATCGGATTCCATGTGAGGTTTACATACATTTACGGATGAAGTAGCATCGAGATTAAAGCAAAAAAACAAAGTCTTACCTGACTGGATGAATAGGTCGGTTTTACAGCAACTTCAAACCAAAACTTAAGGGTCTAGGGTAGCATCTTCATTTGCGGAACGCTGACTAATCTATCCCCACAGATTTTTACTTTCTTCTCTACCACGTGATTTGGATGATCGATAAGATCTATGGCAACGGATTTTCTTACCTAAGCAGAAAAAGGAAGCAAGGGAGGGACAAGGAAGTGTGCCAAACCGGGCAACCTGCATCTACTCATCAAGTAATTAACACGAGCAGCTCGGGTGAGTTTCTCGCCTTTACTCATCGACAATATCTACGAACTCTGTGAGCTCGATCAGCTCAGTTCGGCTCATCATGCTTGCTGCCGACTTCCAACCGATGGTGACGCCATTGGCAATCGCAATTGCCATCGCGGTTTTCACCGCCCTGGTTTACATGTTCAACCACAATGGCCTCTCCAACTTACAAAGGCTTGTTAACCGCAAACCCCTCGCAGAGGACGAAATCGTCAGCATGCGTATCTACCCTATCAAGTCATGCCGTGGCTTTGAAGTCCAGTCCGCCAAATTGTTGCGCACTGGACTCGACATGGACAGGAACTGGATGTTTGTCACCAATTCCAATGGGGAGTTCATCACGATTCGTACCAATTCTTACATGACGCTCATCCGCACCGGCTGGGACGAGGAGACCGACAGCCTGACCATTTCCATCAAGGACAGCGACGTAAAAGTCACCATCCCGGCCCACCCGACCCCGGAATGGCTCGACGCAAACACCAACTTGCGCAAAGTTGTCATCTGGAAGGAGGAGACCGACGGATGGGAGTACAAATCCGAGATATCACAGCCATTCGCAGATCTCCTGGACATGGATATCCGCCTCGTCTACAAGGGCCCTACCCGACGCATCCTCAAGGGTTGCGCCACCCCGGAACGCCTGGGCAGGACGGAAGCGACCAAGTTCGCCGACATGATGCCTGTCTTGGTTGGCACCATGGCAAGCGTCAACGAACTCAACGAGCGCCTTCGCAGCCAGGGTGAACCCGAACTCACCATTGAACACTTCAGGCCAAACATCATCCTCCGTGGCCAGCAGCCTTGGTCCGAGGATAGCTGGAAGACGCTGCAGATATCTGGCGAAAATTCGATTATGTCGATGAACGTGGTTTGCAGATGCCTCCGCTGCCAGGTCCCAAATGTTGACCCAGACACAGCAGAGAAGCATCCCCGACGACCATGGAATGAGCTCATGAAATACCGTCGTATTGACGAAGGTCTCAAGTTCAAGCCTAGTTTTGGCATGCTCTGTGCGCCCAAGGATGAGGGGATGGTCAAAGTCGGGATGAAGATGTCGATTATGGAGACGACGGACAAGCATTTTTTCATTAGCCCAATGAAATAATGCTCCCAGGCTTGAGATGGTATGAGCCCCTGTATGTGAGCGCAACTTATTTTCGGTGAGGTGAGGGAGACCTGGGCTCAATGAAGGGACTATGAAGGCTAAGTGGAATTAAATACTTTTAAGCGAACTTCAACAACGGCTTGTGGAAGGCAGGATTCTACATCCAACCTGTAAATAATCGGCAATAGGTGTTTCATTTGTCGGGAGCGGGGCTTTGGGGAAGCACAATTTGCGACGTGTCCGAGTCAGAAAAGACAAAGGGGGAAGAAACCTTAGACTTACTGACCGCAACCATATGTATTATCTCTACTACCTTTGCGTCTCCATTCTCAACATGTTTCAAGCATTGTAGAAAGGGCGGGATTCTATGACGCGTGACTACACGATTGCCGGTGGTCTTCGCCTGTATCCGAGTAGAAGCGTAGATGTAATGGACACCGACAAGAGCAGTCTTCTATCGACCTGGACTCTTATCCGCCAGATTATAGGGAAGAAGAAAGATACTGGTCATGTGATATATGTTGGGATCGGTAGTATGTAAGAAAATGGAACACTTAGAAACAAAGCTTTTTTACGAGGGACATTGCCAGGTGTGTTGGGAATCACGACAGAACATGGACAAATCCAAATTAGACTTTAAGTTACTATAAACTAGATTTAATTTTTACTCCTTTGGATAGCTGCAGATGGCCCATGTTGCAACAGAAGCATATGAAAATAGCGCGATGATATGCCAATAACGGTCACGACGGATGTTATCCGAAACGCTTCTTGATTGTTGAGTAAAGAGAGAATAGATTAATGTTATGCAAGCGTTGTTGAGAAATTCACGCAGGGGAATTGTTAGGATCCTGAAACAAGTATGCAAGGGAGAAGGTGAGTGACATTCAGGCATTGGTGAGTTTTCGGTCTCATGTAAGAAGATCCCGGCGTGTGGCAAAAGGTCAGCAGTCGGCACAGCCCGAGATCGCGCCACATATGAACGTCATGTAGGTAACCACCAGAGACAAAAGAACATGTAGGAGAATGCTGTGTGGTATTTGTGTAGTTGCATTTAGGAAGGTCCCTTGCACGGCTGATCGGCTGGCTGCTATCGGTCGGCATTTCCAATTGATTGATATGGGAGAGCTCCGCTCATGACAAACTTGCTGCGATCATCAGGGATATTGGCTGATTTGGGGGTTGCGAGTAGATCCCGTATCAGAACGAATTAGATAGGTGGTATTCCTCTAATCCAGAAAGGCAAGTAGTCTGAGGACTTTATGTCCTGGATTCTGGCCGGGCAGAAGTGTTAGTAGAGAAGAACGGATACAACGGCACTTGGGCTTACCTTTTGACAGGGGATGGGGGCGAAGAAGCTGAGGCGGGGGTTTGAGATCCCCACCAATTATGCCTATCACAAAGAGAAGCTTATAAGAAGAGCCGTGTTTTCCGCTCAGTAGCATGGAAAAGGAAGCACTGAATGAAGGATAAGTTGAGACTGGGAAGAAAATCTGATGAAATATCATACTTGGGATGGAGTTGGCTGGATTCCTTCGACAGATAATTTAGTGATTCATTGCATATAGCTCTGTCTGTAGCCTTGGCGAAGTGATCATCGCCTGGGTTCCCTTCGTGGAAGCTATACGGGGAGCTCTGCAAAAGGCCCTGTGGAATCATCCGCTGTCAACCAATCTCCACTTACATGACACTTTAGGAAGGTTTCAATTGATAGATCCTGACAAGGCCGCCATGAAGCATTTGCGATGACGACAAAACGCCGGCTGCTTTGCTATATAAGATGGGCTTTCCTGCTGACCATGATGGTTACCACTTTGATTCCAAGGCAGACCTCAGGCCCCTTTAAAGTCCATCATGCATTTCTCTACCTTGGCCCTCGCTCTTGGAGCAGTTGCATCTGCCACTGCGCAGACTGGCAACGTCCGAGAAAGGGATATCAATGATCGCCTCAAGCCTCGACCAGATAGCTACTGGGACCACATTGTCAACGGTGCCGATGTCGCACAGGCACAGGCTGCGGCCAGGAGCGAGGACAGCACCGACCTGTCCAACTTCAACCTTCGCGCCAAGGCCGTCGATCCTTCTTCTCTGGGCATCGATACTGTGAAGCAATACAGTGGTTACCTTGACAACAACGAGCAGGACAAGCACCTGTTTTACTGTAAGTAGAAGAACTAAGCCGGCTAACGGTGTGGAATCTGGCGAATCTCTTTCTCACTCGCAATTGAACAGGGTTTTTTGAGTCAAGAAACGACCCTGCCAATGATCCAGTTGTCTTGTGGCTCAATGGTGGCCCTGGGTGCTCCTCCATGATCGGGCTTTTCAACGAGCTCGGCCCATCTGCGATTTTGTCTAATCAGACGATTGTGCGCAACGAGTACGCTTGGAACAACAACGCGTCGGTCATCTTCATTGATCAACCGGTCAACACTGGTCTGTCATACAGCAAGACAAATGCTACTGGAAGCACTGTCGCTGCTGCTGATGATCTCTACGCCCTCCTCACTTTGTTCTTCACCCAGTTCCCTCAATACTCGACGCAGCCTTTCCATATTTCAGGAGAGTCCTATGCTGGTCATTATATTCCTGGAATTGGCCACAAGATCATCTCTGAGCCTAACTCAATCATAAACCTGAAGAGTCTGTTGATCGGAAACGGATTGACAGACCCCTATACCCAGTACGCCTACTACCGCCCGATGGCCTGTGGTGAGGGTGGCTACCCATCTGTCCTCTCATCCACAGCTTGCCAGCGAATGGACAGCAACTTGGCCAGCTGCCAGAAGCTGATCCAAGGCTGCTACGACGGCACTCTGTCATCGTGCAAGAGCGCCTTCAGCTCCTGCAACAGCTACATGCTCACCCCGTACCAAAACACAGGCAGCGACGTGTACGACATCCGCCCCGACACGCCCGCGCAGGACACCGGCGTGGACCAGTGGCTCAACACCCCCAGCGTGCTCGAGGCCATCGGCGCCGAGGTCACCTCGTTCGAGGAGTGCGACAACAGCGTCTACAACGCCTTCTACAACAGCGGCGACTGGATGCAGCCGATCCACCGCCTGGTCCCGGACATCCTCGCCAAGATCCCCGTCCTCATCTACGCCGGCGACGCCGACTTCATCTGCAACTGGCTCGGCAACCGCGCCTGGACCAAGGCCCTGGCCTGGCCTGGTAAGGATGCCTTCAACGCTGCTCCCGTGCAGCCGCTTAAGCTTGGAGGCGGCGGCGCTCAGTGGGGGAACCTCACGACCTCTGGGCACTTTGCCTTTATTCAGGTCTTCCAGGCGGGCCATATGGTTCCCACGAACCAGCCGCAGGCGTCTCTGGATATGATGAACAGATGGATCGCGGGAGAGTTTTCGAGCTAGAAGGCGTATATAGGATACAAATATAATTTAACGCGAATGAACAAATATTTTGATTTCCAATCTGAGATATAAAAAGTGTTTCGTTAATTTGGCACTGACCGCGTTAAGGAGGCATCTCATCTTTCAACAGGGACGAGAGCGGAACCCGACAAGGTCAACTAGCCGTCTCCCCGTCAAGAAGACTAGAGTTTTCATTACAACGCCTCTAGTACGAGCCGTATTCGAAGAATAAGCGGTGAGGATCATGTCGAACTCTAGGCCTTCCAAGCAAGAAATGCAATCAAGTTGAGGCTGTAGTGAACACTTGCTAACACGAACGAAGAGAGGAAGGATATGTAAATGTGTATTTCTAAAATTAATAATATTCATAGGCCGCTGTATGATACTAGAGTCTTACGCCGGGCTTTGGATCCGATCACGTAGTTTATTGACGCCAAAGTATCATGCTCCTTCGCAGACGTTGAAAACTGTTCCTTGCACCTCACCGTGCCGAGCGACTGCAGCCGCGCTCCAAAAAAGGCCGACAAGACCCAAAGTCAGTCACCGCGGGTATACCACTCTTGATCATGATGTTGCCCAGGTTGGTGTCGTTGTGCGCAAGGCCCAGGGACTGTAAATGCGCCAAAGCCGATTCGACCGCGTCGATAAACTTGATCTTATCTAGCTTGTCGAGCTTGGGGGCGACATGCGCGAGGGTTTTGTCCAGCAGCTCGAGGTAGATCGACGTGATCCGGCCGCGCGTTACGCGGCACCCGTAGCATTTGACAAAAGTCGGTTGAGGCGACCTGGAGATCTTCTCCATTATCAGCTGCGGGACGAATGCAGTGCCCTGGAAGCTGTCGTAGGATTAGGCCGGAGACTGAGTCTCAATTGGCATGAGACTCATGATCTCGAACATGGGAATGTTTCCTGATGCGGACTCATCTCCTTTCTGCAACATGTAGTCGCCTTGGCGGAGAGAAGAGGCCTGTGCATACATTCAATTCGTTATTGCTTAAGTGTTGTTCCACCAAACATTTGATGCGGGTGCGCCGGTATTGGGCGACATGCCTCAACAATTAGCTGCAGAAGATGCTGCCAATCTTGTCGTTGTGGGTCGAGACGTATGACGGGTGCTCTTTGGAGAACGAAGGACCGGCCTCACCAGTCCCGTCGGTGCTCTTAAACGGCGTGCAGCTAACAGCCGCAACGTCGGCACCGTACGCGGCGTTGAGCCAGAGAGTCGACACGGCATCGAGAGAAGCATGGCCGGCGAAGACGTGACCCAGAGGCACCAGGATTCTAGTATCGCTGTGGCGGTCGCCAGCAACACCGCCCATGTTCCGCCGGACGATAATGTCTGCCGTACCTGATGCACCGCTGGTGTTGATCGGGGCGGCCAAGGCTAGAGGTGACAGGGCAGCGACGGTGGCGGTGGTGGACAGGCGCATTGTAACACTGAGTGAGCCGTGCCGGTTTAGATGCGGGGGGTCAGATAAGTTGGTGTTTCGCAGATGAGATGATGCGGCTCATTTTCCTGACGTAGGTGCGAGCAGGTATTTAATCATCTCTTTTGCGGCCATCTTCCATCATCGTCACCGGTCGATTGCTGTCACGAGTTAGCTCGGATAGCCATTATTGCTCAGCTCATGCTGACCTTGCTGCTGGCTCTTCGTATCAGGGGGAGATCCATTTCGCTAAGCTGGAACGGAAGCTTGGCCGAAAATTCTGCCGTCACAAAAGCACCGCTTTACCGCTCCATTGACAGCTCGTTTAGCGCTGTCAGTGTCATGTGCTCCGGTGGTCGGGCAACGCGGATACCGGCAGGCTAATGGCCCTCGTATTCATTCCAAGGGAGATGGGCTAACTGCGCCTGTATCCAAAAATGGCACAAACAAATTCGGCCGGCCTTGGAATAAGATAAATACGGTTTGCGCCCGGGCCGATTTTACGGGCAAAGCCATTAACCCATGATTCATTTCCTGGGCAGCTGCCAAGGGCGCATTGGCGAATAAACCACGCTAAAGCAATCACAGCACAACCTCCGCATTCTCGCTATTTGAAAACCTCATTTACCAGCACGAGCCTAATCGCGCCTGCTCGTAAGGAATTTCGTGTATTCGTAGCTTATGTAATACAAACTGGTCCGTGCGCATCTTTCTCCCACCTTCTTGCCTTCATCCGAAGTAGCTTCGCTTCCGCTAATCCCAACCTTCTTCCTCAACATAGGTAGTTTCCGCGATTTAAAGCCTCATGAAGCCTTCTACAGGTTCGTTATTGTAGAATCGCAGTGTACGAGATGTTGTGATACCCATAATCGAAAAATTGCACCCTAAAAGAAAACGGGCTGAAAGCACGAACTTTGCGCTACACCCCACATTTCCTTTCCTCATCACCTACCCTGGGGTTAACCGGGCGACATTGAAATTTATGAAAACCCTCATGCGAGGTTCGCACCCAGATCTTCATAGCTACAGTCGTAGAGCATAAATAAGCTGGGATTATCATCTACGTCATAAAGCCTTCAGGTAAACCGAGAATTCTGAGGAAATATTTAACAACAATGAAAACGCTTTGTCCATCACGTAAAATATTTCATTGCACGCGTTTGAAGAGGCTCATTACTAGTAGAAACGTGGCAAAGGCTGGGCATTGGAATTTCCTATCTAAGTTCAACTGATGGTCAAGCTCCTTAAGACAAGCGCTTCTGAGTGTGACAGAAAAGACAAACTCACGACCCGTGACTTCAACTCACCAGATATGACTTTTAATCGCAGGAGATTTCAAAGTACCACAGCATGGATTTATGTCTAAAGATTACATTTTTTGAACTAGTTTTTTTAGAGACTATAACTAGACGTTTCTAAGTTTAGTGGCTGATCATACGGTCTACGTAGGTCTTGGAGAGATAAAATGTCAAAGCCTTAGCCAAGGAGCTACACTGCTCACCCACGAGTATCTACCCTGAGCGTTCATAGCCTGTTCGCAATATCGACTTCCTAATCTTAGAAATGAAGACAATAGAAATGCGGCCGGGATTATTTATGGTAGGGCAAGAATCGAGGTTGGTTGTTGCAAATGCCATGGACACGCGCGCTGGGACGTCGAACCCAACATGACACATCCGTGCGATGATGAAGCATAAATCAAGCCACTAGGGTAGTACAGCAGGCTGCTGCCTACACAACATAACTCTAAAATTTCCCAAGTACATGCAGATTTGACGAAACTTTATGGCCATGAAGACCAGGCATCAATGTCTGGCTCTCTAAACGATGCCAATATTATTTTCTCGGGCTTCTCGTGGCGTTTATAGAGCTTACCTAATAGGCTTGTATTCATGGGTCTAGAAAGCTAAATCAACCTCTCAAGCCATAGCATTGAGATGTCAGGCGCAGGATCTTCAACATGAAAAAACTAATCGCGATTAACAGCCACACTAAATAGGAGTGCAAAAAAGAGAGTTTAATCTATAGAGTAAAAGACCCTAGCATACTCTGCAGGGTTCACGGTGCCTTGCGAGTAAAACACCTATATAAAGCCCCTGCTTACCTACCTTAGAAAAAACACCTTCTTCACAGCGTCAACACTCCCTACCCACAATCCTATACCCCGGTCCGTTCTGACGCTCAGTTCTGACGCTCCACACAAATCCTAAAACTGTGTACATTCATTACAATGGCTACTTTTCATTCTTTCTCAAAACTACCGGCTGAGCTAAGGCTTCAGATATGGGAGGCATCCGTTCGCCCATTACAGCCTGATCTGGTGGCAATGCACTATTGTTCCATGACATATTGGGCTAAAGAATACACGAAACCTAATTACTCTATTCCTGGAATCGACTATCACGATATGACGAATCGGTCGGCCTACATGTGGGACTTTGGACTCTGGACTGCTTGCTAGGAGTCTCGTCGGGTTGTCATAAAAGCTTTCGAAATGAGGTCTTGGGAGGGGAGGGTACGGCAGCTAGAATCGATGGCTGCACGATGTGAAAACTTATGGGAGCCAGAGGAGGGAGACCAATGCCTCCCACTTCTACAACGAGTTGCGCCTCGCCAAGTAGGGCCTAGAGCTACTAATGAGCCCTTTCACCTGATGGTCCAACCCTTTCAAGACATATGCTGTCTCGAAATCGACATCTACGGCTTTGAATCTCAGAAAAGATTTAGACAGATGACAGCGGATTTTTCAGACAAGTTTCTCGACTTCTCTTGCCCGTTCACCAACCTGGTTCCGATCCACACACCCAAGGCCCTCGTTTTCGAGTTTGACCCACGTTGGAATGCTTGCTTTCCGGAATCTTGGGTTTGTCTAATGCATGAGTTCAGTCCAAGGGGACTCATATCCAAGTTGGTATTTGACTTCAAGTCGCGTGCCGGACAGACTCCATATATATGGTTACTTGACCGCTGTGACCGCCGCGATCAGATGCTGCCAGAATCGTCCTTGTGCAAGTCATCGCAGCAGGTATTTTATGATTGCGAACATGAGTTCGTTGATATAGGGCTCGACTATCGTTCCAAGGATGGCTGCGAAACAGCCTCTACGCTTATAAAGATGCTGGCAGGCGCTTTTGGTTGGGAACAGGAGTTATTACCCGGTGAAGATGGTCATTCTGCGGATCCTCGTCGTCAATTAAACAACTGCATTGGCGTTCTTGTATACAGGTAATTAGAACAACCTTCAAAGTCCGGGCAATTGTTTAATAAGTCTTTTCAAATCACGCATCATGTGAGCCAATAACATCAACGCTGGAAGAAATTATGATTCTGTGAAATGGTGACAAGGAACGTCCCGTTTGATGAGTTCTAATCGATATGAAACGACTTTTTGTTTATTTTCGATTGCGGAAAGTAGCATATGTAGGCTGCCTGGAGGATTCATCTTGGCTGTAAAACACAGACACAATGTTTAGCTCGTCCCGGTAAAATGCTACCATGCAGAAAGTTCATCCATCTGGTGTCTTTATCAAAAGAATTCTTAGATTATTGATTGATTGAAAGTTGCGACCTTTTCGATAAACAACAGATCCGATTCGATTAAGCGTCATTGAATACGAGTCGTGTAGCAATGGTTCTATTCCTACCACCCATCTAGTTCAACCGTACTAAGTATGTTCTACCTCTGAGAAACAATCCTTATAAGTAGTCCTTAAGAAAGCTACTCCTGTTTTCTCGCACAAAGTCTTGAGGGAGACCAGGGTTCGGTTAATAAGTCACTTTTATGCCCATCGACCCCAAGTCTTTCTCTAGAGCTTCTATCCTGTCCCAAAATATATCGATCTCTGGGGCATCTTCTTTGTGCCATACTAGGAAGGAATTCATCTTATTGCGCTTGCCTAATAAGACTGGGACGTCGATGGCAATCTTTCGTAGTGGTATTTTCTGGCGAACTGCTGCCTTCGCAAAGCCTCGCAGCCAACTCCCTGCCTGGTCATCAAAATGATCATAGTTATCCTTGCAAATGCCAGTAATTATCAGTTTGAAAACGCTTAGATTGGGCGGTAAGAGAAGACCGTACTCTTTCTCGCCGAATTCCGCCGGCCAATGCGCTACGATCTGATACATAGCAAGCTCCAGTTCCTCCAGCGCTCGAAACGCGGAAAAGTCACATAGTTTCCCCCTACCTTCTTCACTTGAAAGGGTGTCAATCGAGAGTTTGACGAGAGTGTCCTTGTGCTTTTCCAGCATTGGCCCAAGCATCGGCAAGTCCATATATGTGCTTTTGAGATAGGAGTTCTTGATTGTGAGCCTCGTCAGGGGTTGCGGCCAATTACCGAGAAGGCAACCTGTGGCCTCTGGTCTCTCGTCATGCATTTTCAAGATTAGCTCGGTTATGCAGGAGGGCCCGAAGTCCTTGATACGGATCAGTGAGTACTTGTGACAGTCTTGCAATTTTTGAGTGGGTTTAGCGAAACATACCCGTGATGTCAATTCCTCTATAGACGAATTGGAAGACGCGTCTCCGTTCAGCGTAAGACGTCGAACTGATGTGCCTTTCAGAGCGTCCAAAACCTTATGAACTTCTAGTTCACCAGAAAAATGCCTGCGCAGAGACACTGTTCGGAGAGACGGCATAGAAGCCACACAAAAACGGAAGAGGTTCCAGGTATCCTTGTTTTTGGGGCAGTATGATTCTCCATCTATTTCAAGACATCCGTCTATTTCAAGAGAATTAACTTTGGGAAGATGCGATGCGATGTTTCGGAGAAATGGGAAGTTGTCAGGGTTGTAAGTGAGATCGATGTCGTTCGAGCCACTGTTGGGCCAAAAGTTGTCGTCCAAGTAGCTGTCGTCCGAGCCGCTGTCGACACGATCGCTGCTGTCAGTATCGGTCTCTTCCGTATCGTTGGAATAGATGCAAAGGTCACGGCAATACGGGCCCAGCGTGGGACCCTCCTGGAGCCTTCGCTCTAGCACCTTCATGCGGTCCTTCAAGGGGGACAACTCGCTGGAACTTAACTTCAGACGTTGGTGATGAATAGGTAGGCCAACTTGGTAGAAGCGGCGGCAGGTGAAGATCACCGGCATTGTGGGTTCCAGACTTGCCGCGTAGAGTTCCAGTATTTCTGTCAGGAGCTCGTTTGGAAGATCAAGAATCCAAGGTTTCTGAGGCTTCGCCGGTTCCTGAGGTTCCGTCGGGTTCTGATGTTCCGCCATGATCTGCTGCAGCGCGAGTAGAGAATTACTCGATTATGCGGGGAATTATAGTTTCGGTTGCGATATCAAGGGAAGGAATGGTTCAAAATTGGTAGGCAATAATTCATCTGATGAGTCCACCAAGTTATAGGTATCAATCTTGAGGCTGTAAATCAAACGAACAAACACACACAAACAAAATCCGGTTATTATTGAACGCTCTGGACTGCGTTTGTTTGTTCCACTTGAATGAATTTACCATTGTCTGATAGTTTATGAATACGCACAGTCAATAGCTGCCTTCTTGAATTAGGTCGTTCAAATGCGGATTTGTGTTTTTTTGAGTGCCTTTGTTCAGCTCTATCGGTTATGTACCAACTAAGGTAAAGCATTTTGATCGTCGTTATGTTTTGAATGAAAGAAGATCAAAAAGGTCCGTTAAAAAGAACTATTGACAATACCTACCTAAGAGAAGGAGAATAAAGTTCAACAGCGATGGAAGCTGCCAGAGCCCGACAACTCAACACAATGAATACGAAAACCTTAAAAAAGAGCCTTTTGCTAGCCCAAGGCTGTGGTCGTACGGAAAGAAAAGTCTGCAAACCTTCATGCCGATGACTCACTTGCCGTCAGGACGAGCGGCTCGATTGACAATACAGTTGTTTCATTTTTTCCACGTGTCAGGTTAGCATGGCTTCTTGATGACACAAGCCCTCTTGATGTTCCATTATTATTGCAGTCCAGGTAGATTGTTCATTAGGGTATATGTAGGATCCAACTAAACGTTCAAAGCGAATCTAAGTTCCTTAAGTGTATTCAAGTCTTCTTATTAGAACGTCTAGATATAATAAGGGCAATATAGCAACTTTCTTTTCTCCATCACCGCGATCACTCATAGGCCACTTACAAATCTTTAACGAGATATAAGCAGAAAGAGCGGGGTACTTATTGATTTTACATTTAGCATGGTATTTCTTTGGATTAGCAACTAATAATCAAACAATACCCTTAGTCTGAAACTAAACTCTCCTAAAACTCCTCGATAAGTATTTACAATTGGAATGACAAAGAGTTAGGTCTAGAGGTAGTTTTGTCATTGTATTATCACAGAGAGCAGGTAATTTTCAAAGGGATAGAGCAATAAAATGAGCTGGGACAATACTAAGAACCAAAAAGAAGGCAGCAAAGCAGAGAAATGCAGAGATCTATTCCCGTCGTCCTTTCCCCAGGTTGTGGATGGCTCTTGAAAAGATTGGGTATTAGCATACTTGGTGGATTTGAAACGATGGGTTTATAGTTTCGCAACAAATACACATCTTCAGAAGGAAATCCCATATCACATACATGTCACGTTGGGACGAACGATTTAATACATCAGCCCGCAGGCACATGAAATTTTGCACTATCAGCCCGTAGGCGCTTCTACGTCCCCATAATAGAGAAAACATGTTTCTGGTCCTTATTCTCTCCATTCACAATTAGTCCTTAACAAGCGTGATCACCCTCAGCACGCTTGGTATATGCGATCTTCCAACAGTCAGTAAGTCTATCACTGCCATGAATTGAGCGTCCATGTTCTCATTCGCCCCATCCTCAGAAACGGCGCTCAGTCATGGCGTGAAGGTCATCGATGTCGCGCTTGACGAGACGGGCCGCTTCATGTGTAATCTGGCTCATCTTGGCCATCATCTTTCCCACGTCGGAATTCTCATCAGTCGAAGCCATTGTGCCGAGGATGGCTGCAGCTTTTCGAAGTGAGTTCCCAGACCAAATGTCCGGCTTGATTCTCTCCACGGTGACCATGGTGGTGTGTGTGATCTTGGCGTCATTCGCTTCATTGAGGATGGCGATAATGTCGGCAAGACCGAATCTTTGAGCAAAGAAGGAGATCTCAGCTTTGACATCAAGTGGTAGAACTGCAATCTCTCCCTCTTCCAGAGCTTTGACTTGCTCCGCGAGTCCTGAATCAGTTTCCTTCCGGATCGCCAGTTGATCGAAAAGGTCTTTGTGTTTTGTCAACACGATGTCGCGATGCCAGACCTGTTCCTCTTCCACGTCGATGAAGAATGGAGGTGGGCGAATGGGTTCAACCTGGTCCTGTCTCTTCACTCGGGAATCTACGGTCATGAGTTCGAGGCCGCCGTTGGGCTTGGTCGAAAACTCAACTCGAGGCAGGCAGTCGATCTCCCGGAGTTCTTCGATGCACGTGAAAGGTGTGATCGAGAGTGGGCCACTGACATCGCTGGGGCAATCTTGAATGATGAAGACGCCACTTCGACAACTCTTGTTGACCTGGAATGCCATAATAGCGGTCGGTATCTTGTCGAGGAGATGGTACCGCTCCACCATGTTCTCGACTGCCTCATCGCCCTCGGTCACCATTCGTGAACACAGCAACCAGAAGACAATCCCAACAGTTTCCCAAGATGTCATAGCGGGCAGTCCATAGTGGTCTTGGATGTAGGCAACCTGCATGATCTCCTCACGAGCATTCTCAAGCGCTGTCCAGGTCCAATCCGTGACGTGATGGCAGTTGTTGGATAAGAGGTTGTCGACTTGTGCCTTGTATGCTTTCTTGAAGTAGTTAGCTGGGCTGTTGGCATGTTCCATCATGCTTCGGATCATCGCTTCGACGAGGGGCTTCGCTTCGTCTTTGTTCATCGCAAGCCATTGTTCGCGGAGGTGGTCTTTCATGGGCCCGAGCCCGTATTCAGCCAGCATGGGAGCCAGTTGATCTAACTGACAGGAGGTGAATTCAGGCACTTCAAGTGGAACGCTGTCTGCTTGGAGTGCGCTAAAAACCCCTCCAGTCGATGTTGGAGGCATCTTGAAACGCAGTTGCTTTGTCTTGTGTGCGGAAGACCGGCCGATCGTTGGTCCCTTGGAGAAGAGGAGCGGGCGTGTGATGACTGAAAAGCGAGTTTCGGGTAGTCAAGACAAGTTATGTATAGTGTAGCAGATAGGAAGCGGCTATGCCGGCGTATATGACTGAAGAGATGTCTGTGGTGAAGCGAAAGAAGTTGCGTTGAACTTCCTTGAAAAAAGAAAAACAAAGAAGGAAAACAGGAGAGAGAAGGCGAGTGAGTGGTCTAAGACGGTGGATGCACAAAGCGGGGCACGGAGGTGGGAGAAGGGTGAGAATAGGCCTAGTCACTCCTTGTATCACTGGGAGAACGCGCGTGTAAGTTCCTCCTGGTTTGCTTGTACACCTGCTGCGAGTGCTGGAGAATGGATGTAACAAGGAAAGAGTTTGATACTTCGGCTTCACTTGCTGCTCTCTCTAGGTTTCGAAGACACAGCTGCCTTGAAATACGAGCATGAACCAATGAGCTTCGACCGGGTGAAACAGAGTTGCTGATACTAAAACGTAACTGCATGATTTCAAACTCTGTGGGTATCCGTTTCATTCCTAGAGAGCCAGCTGATTCCTCACTCAGTCAATTTCAGTCAGATTTGTCACCAAGTTATCACTTAGTACAGACTATTTCGACCTTTATACAGTGGCACACTTGACTTTCGAACTTCATCTTGATACGTTGACCATAGATTCTGCTTTCTATACCTACACCAAGACCAGACACTCTGCCTGTGTCTCGTCTGTCCAAGCAGCCGGATCAAACGGCTCGTACATAAACCTAAAGCTATAAGTAGACATGTCTGCCCTCCCTATGAAGATGGCATTTGACCCCTCACGAATTCTCAGAACGAGCGGGACCCTAGATCCTTCGACGGTACATACAATATCTCCCGTTTGCACATCACCTGGGCTTTGAACAGGGCATAACTCATCCATGGTCCCCAAAAGGAACCTACTCTCAAAAGAACACATAGATCCCAAGCCCCCCCTGGCTTTTAGCACGCGGACAGCCTCAGAGACCCGCCTCGCACGTATTTTCAACTTCTTCTCCTCTCGCAAGATCTCAGTAGCAAGCTTACCAGGGCCTGGCTTCCACCCGTCATACCGGTTCCAGTCGAAGCGCAAATAATCAGGATTCTGGGCTGTAGCCAGATGGCCAGACCCTCGGAGATCCAAGATCCATGATGTTGCCGTGCCTATGCCAAATTCTGGCGCTCCGACTACTAGCTCCAGGGGCCAGAGGGAACTCGACGCCACAATGATCGCCCGCGTAAAGTTCTCATATATTTGCATGGCGGAGAGCGAGTAATCGATGGCTGGAAACTGGATATCTGGCCATTTACTCTCTACAAACGCCGAAATGCCATACACCTTGTCCCGTGGGTCTGTCGCGTTGTTCTGTTCTATCAGGCGAATAATGTGGTTCATGAAGCTTTGGAACGCGGTCTCGCCTTGCTTGGGTCCAAAGTCGAAGAACTTGTGCCTCAGCCGATAATGTTCGAAATCCGCATGACGAAGAGGCACAAGGTATTTCAGGTAGATGTACAAGTCACGCGGAGGACATTGCGCGTTTCCCATGAGGAATATCGAGGACTTTGATAGGAGAAACTCTTGAATTGTCCAAACCCTGCGGAACCATGGATTTGAGCAGAGCTCTTTGGCCTTCTCCGTACGAGCTTTTGGTTTCATTAGCCAGATGAGAAAAGTATATCAAAATTCGAAGCCCTTCACCTACCAGTGTCAGCCTCAAAAGAACCATAGGCTTCCCTGTCTCCATCGCTATAATAGTCTTCGCCTGGCTCACCACAAGGGATTCAGAGGCTCGCGATTTATAATTCGAGATAACTTGCGTAGTTTCTTGGACGCTTTGGCACGGCGAGACTGTCGGCCTTGAAGGGGACACGCTTCTCGCAAGAGGCTCGAAATCTCCTTGCCCGTGTCTTGACCAAGCCAGATGATGGTACGGATGGCACACTGGTAGATTAATGTCATAAGGGACACCTGCTCATTTTTTTCTTCTGTTGAATTTTGGTTAATGCAGATAGCATCAACCCATAATTTTCGTGGTGCTTTCTTTCCACGTAGCTGAATAAGTGCCTGTTCGCAGTTTGGGGTGATGAGAAGTGTCTTTCCATGGCAGAGGACAGGACGTGTTCCTTGGGGTTCTCCCCACGTGTAAGATAGAGCTTCGTAGGCCTGAGGTGAATCTGAGCAGCCTCTCCAGAGAGGAGTTTCGCGGAATGAGCATTCAATCACTTCCTTGTCTGTAGCGGCAGGGTAGAGGAGAAGTACGCGGATGATTTCGTGTCCGGCCAAGGGCGTGTATTCATACTGTGGCGTTTGTTGCGGCATGATGTAGCGCCGTATCCTGCTCACCGAGGCAATGTTGTTGATCCAGGCTGGGAGATGGAGATGTGGAAACTCAAGCAGGCGCAGGATTTATTGAAGATCAAAGCCACATGCAGGGGGAGCACGACGCGGGCTGTATCTAGCCAATCACACGAAGCTGTCATACGACAACAAACCCATGGCTGGTAGTCTTGGCAACTGCTTCGCCTTCTGCGCCGCATTTTCTCTAGACTGGCAGTCGGTTCGCTTTACCCAGAGACAGGAACTTTTCGCTGGGGTTTGAAATCCACAATCTCCTTACTTATAGGCAGATTGTACTAAGATTTTTAGATGAAAGCTTATTCAGTACTCGCCCTTATTACTATGTGAAATCTATGATTATAAAACGTGAGAGATTCCGTTGAAGATAATAAGATGATAGATAGAGTAAGATGTATTTTAAATATTGCTGACATCCTAAGGCAAGAGAACAGAGAATGAGTCTTATCAATTATGGTTGAATATCAAGTTGGCCAGCCGTTGGACGAGTTTTTTTTTCAATCGATTATGAAATGTAATATACAATATGCAATACACCTTTAATCCCAAGAACCTAATCGTATATAACATGGGGATCGACATTTGGAGACACACGGCCCCAGGATGGGTGCAGAGCTATAGCCACTAACCTCCACCTCTCATCCATGATACCAAACTCCATATACCTAAATAATCAGTGTATTTGGGTTGGGCCTGAGTTTCGACCTTGGAATTCTGCTCATCTATGGTCGAAAAGATCGACGCAACCAGTCGGGCCGGAAACCTTCGCTCTAATTTCCTTCTTTGTGATGATGTTAACTCGAAACCATGCGGAATCATCAGACAGCAAATCTCCGTGACAAACTCAAGTCGTGCGGCGTTATCTTCCACTCCCTCGTTAAAATCATCAAACACGATATAATGTAACGCATCGGACACGCTCCAGCCTCGGCCGGAGAAGCTAACGCTAGCCGAGAGGACCAGTTTGAGACTCTGGAGCATGGGCTGGTATACTGAAGGAGGAATACTCCGGGATGCGCAGGTCGCGAGAAGGCGGTACCAGGCGGGGATGGAGCCATGTGAGAGAGTGTTTGGGTTGGCGCCACGGGCCAGCAAAAGTTCTGTTATTCCTTGTCTGTGCTTCACCATGTCGGAAATGTTAGGAAAAGAGTCCGCATGTTCAACAACGTAAGCAAATGTTGTCATGAATGTGTTCCAAAGGTCATCTATCGAGTGTGACGTTGCCAACATCCGGGTGTCGAGAAGAAGACGGATCATGTCACTCAGGTCTGGTTCTTCTATTGTATAACGGGGTAAATGGGCGACTGCGCAGAGGGGCAGGGGCTGTTTAACGTCGAGAGGCTCTCTTTTTTGTCCAAGTTGCTCCTTAACATATAAGCATAACCCATTCTGCACCGCAAATTCCAAGAATGTTTGACAAGGACGGTATCCGCGCTCTCTGTTAGGCATCGAATAGCACCCACGATACCAAGGGATGGGCTTCCCCGTTGTAGTAGCATAGAATCGCAGTGCACGAGAAAGGTCCTCGAGGAGCTCCGTCTGAGGTTTGCCGGACTCCTGTTCAGCCTTGTAGGCGTAGTGCATTGCATCCATTAGGATGATGGACAAGGGGCCACCCGATGACATTTCCATCTCCTCCCAGGGCATCGATTTGATTAAGGGAACAAAGCCCTTGAAAATCAGCGCGTTCGGCCCATCGTCCGTAGGCCCAGCCTTTAGGAACTCACTCATTTCCTTAGTCCGAAGGAAATCTCGGACTGTCCGGTGAAGGAAGTCGACGCGGTAGCCCAAGTACTTGCCCTCGCCCGCATTCTTATACACCTCCAGAAGCCCCTTACATCTTCCGTTCAGCCGTCTACGCAATTGCGCTTGTCGGCGCTCCACCTCAGGTATTGGCATTTGCTTAACGGGCATGTGTAGGCCGAAGTTGTACTGTTCGTACTCCTCATCCAAAAAGCAGTAAATCATCAGCGGAAGCGGACTGGATGAGGCCATTGCCACTTGAAAGGTCTGAACCATCTGCGCATGGTAGAATGAATCCACAGAGTTGAGCATGTGCTTAAAGTATGGCTCCAAGTCCGCTGGCAGTCTGCGGATCCTTCGTTCTAGTGCAGGCAATGAATCTCCGTTGGTGAGGCCTTCATATAGCGAGCGGATGACGAGATACACCCACAGGAAGACCCCCTGCGCTTTCGTAGTTACTTCTGTCACTATACTGCGATAAATATCTTGCTCCTCTGGTAGAACCTGCCAGTTTGGATGCTCCTCGAGTTTCTTCCGTACATAAAGCCGTATGTCGTTGTTGGTCAGATGTTGAAGGTATAGCTTTCCAGTATCGGTATTCCCGAAAGCATCTTCAAAGACATTCCACGGCCTGCTTGAGACGCACAGCTTGATATTTGGGCAAGTGGCTAACGATCTTAGAACAGTAATCATCTCCGGATGGTCGCCCTCGTATTCATCAAGCCCATCAATGAAGAAACAAAATTTGAATGGGAGGCCAGAGCACGTTGCGAGAGAAATCAGTGTTCGGCGCAGCTCTGATAGGGTCCAGGGCCCCAAATCGCCTTCCCCTCTTCTGCCTGCCTCCCATCGTTGAGGGCAGACAGCCTTCATGATTTCGGGTGATTTCCGAAACACGTCATACAGAAGGGACTTGAACAGGCCTTCCTGGGATTTCTGCATAGCGGTTCCCGAGCTCCAGAAGAAATGCGTCGACATGACTGGATCCAGTGGTTTTGCCCACTCTACCAAGGCTTCTTCGGTTCGGACGTGATCGCAGAGAAACTTCATCAGAGTCGACTTGCCTGAGCCCGGCTTGCCCGATACCCAGAATATGCCGTCTTTCTTTAGCAGCCACTCGGAAAAATACACTTTGATGTTCTTCTTGGCCCTTGCTCGCGGCGTCTTGAATATCCACTCATAAGTGTTCGCATATGCTTCGGCAACGCTCTCCATCCGCATCATCATGGTCTTGTAATGGAGACCGGCGAGTACCCTCTGAGCTATCGCAACCTTGGACGCCGTTGCGGTTAAGAGCGAGAGGGCTTCGGCCAGGTAGCGAAGGTCTTGTGCGCTCTCGTCGTAGCTTACGATATCACTCTGCTCCGGTGACTTCTTCTTTTTTGAAGAGTTTTGTGGGATTATATGCAGATTAAACAGATTGAACGTCTTTCCATCGTTGCCGTCCTTGTCGTTAGTTTCTTGATAATAGGCCGACGGGTTCTTCCGCCTAATGTCTGACTCTTTCCCGGCCTGGTCTTGAATCAATTTGAAGGATTTGGTGATACCATCCAAGTGCTCTGTATAGGCTGACCCGAGACGATTGCTCGCGTCTCGCAACGTGCGAAGCTCTCTAACCACGCTGGATTGCTGGTCACTGCGTCCAACACATTAACGACGTGAACACTATAAACAGTGCCATACACCTACCTCATAACCACCACCAGGTGAAGGATCAAGTCGCTTCTTCTCTTGTCGAGCGCTTTTTCCATCTCGTTTATCTTCTTCTCGCTCCATGTTCTCAGGAAGGCTTGGCGAAAGCTAACAAGCGTCCGAAATTTCTGGTTCTTGGGGTCTGCGCGCATCTTCTGCAGTGTGGTTTCGATCTTCTTGGCCATCTCGCTGCACCCGGCCGCAACTGCTTGCATGCCTTTTTCTTGCTCGCTGCGTTGCGTGTCTTCAGGAACGAAAGCAGCCGCGGTAGATTGCATTCTGGATCTCAATTTCTGGAGCTTCCGGCACGCCTGTTCAACCCCAAGGGCGTTATTCGACCCAACTGGCATAGCCTCGTCATCGGGCCCGAGGCCAGTAAACTCAGTGTCAGTCCTCCCCATTTCGTGATACCTGGAAGAAGTATCTCCATCTTGTGCGGCATTTGTTTCCGCTTGGGGACCAGCGAGCGGATCAGCAATGTGCGCCGAGCCATCCAAATCAATCGAAGCCGGGGCCCTTTCTACAGCTAGACCATCAACTGGTTTTGAAGTCCTGTCGACAGCAGTTGATGAGGTTCGCCCCGTCAAGGTGGAGGCCAGTTTACGAAGAACAGTCGCCCTTTCCTTGAGCTCCCGGTCATCGTCGATGTGGCCATCAACGGAGTGATAAATTTGATAAGAGCCGGAGAGCAATCTTGAACTGAAATCAATTACTTGGACAACGGATGTCGCCAGGCTAAGTGAAGAAAACGGATCCATGATATGGGCGGTTTATCGCTCACAAAGTCAACATGTAGACATGATGACATTCCAGCGTGGTTGGTATCTTAAGGTGGCTTCCAGCACCGTGGATCATTGTGGCTTAGCCCGCGCACATATGTGCAGTCAGGCAGTCATGCAGCAGGTGATCACGGTTATTGGTGGCTATGGCTGCAGTGCGGTCAGCTCATTTCGGTGACCGATGTAACTGTCGCAGAGCTGACATGGTGGGCAGCTTTTCAGCTGAACATCGCACCCCTGGGCACTGCTCGTTTTCAGTTAACTACCCGATGCTTAGGACTCTCCAAAATAGTGAATAGTTAGCATGTACTATCTATTACAAAGAACTCTTGTGCTTGAATCGAACTTTGCGTCTTAAATCTGATCCTTGCCTCCTAGTAGAGCTATGATTAAGCACTAGACTTCACCAATCGCCTTTCAGAGGAGATATCAATGCCTCCTGTTGGGCAAGAAAGTGCAATATCCCTTAAACCATCTATGCCACTGTTTTATTGTTCGATTACTCAAGGCTGTCCACGGAACACTTCCACCGCGAGCAGCAAACAGCGGAATAAATATCATTAGACTACGCAACTTAGTCCTTATGCTGTTGAAATTCTTGTGCCCATTGTTGTCAATGAACACATGCCGCTGCACCACTTTTTATATCATCTGGATGCGCCGTCACTTGTCCAAAGAGGAGTGCCGGGTTTTGCAATAGCAGCATCACCCAACAGAAGATATCATCCGTCTATCCACGGCTGAAGCCAAAGCCGATGTGTTTTCTGGCAAGTCAGACTCAAGTGACTCATCCCAGCCTTGGCGCTGATCTTTTGGCATCCGAACGAAAGCAAAATTCAGGATCAATGCCACCACGCCCAAAGCCATGCCAAAATACAATGCTGCGCGATACCCCAAGACTATGTCCCCAATCTCAAGGCCATTGGACACCTGCGCTTCAATTGTGCCAGCGAATCCAAGACCCAAGCTGTTTCCGTATAGGTTGAGCGTGCCAATAAGACTGCCTGCCACACCTTGATGGCGACGTCCTACGCTATTGCTCGCGATCAACTGGGCTGCAACGTAAGCCAGATCGGGGCAGAAGCTGGACAGCAGCACGGCGGGGAAGATTCCCGCCCAGTACGTCTGCTGGATGGGCATAGTCGCCAGCAAAAGATTGCTCACAATGACCGTGCCTATGCCAATGGCCAGGATCCATTGCGCTGCCACCCGGGAGATGAGCCAGGCCGCGAGAGCAACAGCAATCACTGCGCCTCCTCCGAAAGGGATAAAGTGAATGCCGGTCTTCAGGATAGGATGGATATATCTCTGAGAATCTGCTGCCAAGATACCGAATACCAGAGCGTGATGGAGAAGCCCATGTAAGTGAGTAGAACAACAAAGATGAGAGCGGTGAATGTAGGAGCCCGGAAGACTTGCACGGGCATGATCGGATCTTTGGCGAAGGACTTCTCCCAAACAATAAATGCCGCGAAAGAAAGTACGGACAGGATCAGACATGCGATCTCGTATGGTGTGTCCCATCCCACACTCGGCGCCTGGCTGTTTTTCTGTATTAGTTTCGCTGACATTTGTACAATCAGGGGCCGCAATACTCACTTCCAGACAACATTGAAAAGGAGAAGGCCAAAGAGGCCCAGGCAGGCTCCAACAAAGTCGATTTTGCCATTCCGGTCAATAGGCTGCTCCCGGGGAAATACCCAGGCGAGAAAGGCTGTGACGACAACAGAACACCCAGCGCTTGAAGAGATTAGCACAAGCCACCAAAAAGCACATATACCTGGATAAATCTCACATTAGGATGAAAAGCCACTTCCAGCCAACAATTTCGATAAACAGGCCAGCAAGAAGGGCACCGATCACGCCCCCAATGGGAGGCGCGGCGGAGAAGAAACCCAGAGCAAGGTTACGAGATCGGCCTGGGGGGATGACCGTAGTCATTATCGCAACGGCGTTGGGCATGAACATACCGCCTCCGACACCAGCGAGAGCTCGGATAGCTACGAATGAGATGTAGTCGCGGCAGAAGGCGTTGGCAAGAACAAAGACGGAGAAGACGGCACAGCCAGCGAGCACCAGGTTCTGGTGTCCGTAGATGGAGCCCAGGCGGCCGGTGACCAAGACGAAGGCACCCTGGGTTAGTCTGCAACAAGGCATCAGCTATGACCGGATAGTCCTCTTGATTGGTGAATGGACGCTCTCCTTGAATGCAACTTACGAATACGAGGCTGCCATCCAATTCGCTTGGCCAACACCGGTTTCTCGGCCAAGATCCACGCTCAGCGTCAGACCGCCGACGATGGTGATGAAGTTGTACAAGAACTTGACAGCCTCCCATTAGTCAAGTTCCAAGAGAATTAGAGTAAATACTGGTCAGAATTCTTTACCTGTATCATATTCAGGGTTACTAGAAGGGTGGTAATAACGAGTCTTGGGTGAGAGTCCCCGGATGACACAGGCTCAATGGTGAAGAGCCGGGCAGCTGGCTCCGATGGCTCAGTCCCAAGCCCGCCATCGCCCTGGCGAGAAACGGGACACGAGTCCTTGCTCTGGAAGGACACGTTAATCACTTCCGTGGCTTGAGGTGGTGCTTCGATGGTGGTGGTTATCCCCATGGTTATCGCGTTTCGATGCCCGACTTCCAAAGTCGAAACCCAGCTGGGAGAAAAAGTCGATGTGGACGAAGAGGGGAAGAGGCCGATATGTCGGTCTGGACGTAACCGTGAGACGTCTTTCATTGGCAGACAAGGGTATCGACCCTCCATGATTATGCGGCCTGAACCCGGAGAATGCAACAATTGGCTGCAGGTTGGCTCCGAAGGTCGGCTGGGGAGTCACCTGGTCCGACGAATTTGGACCGGGTTGGTCGCATTCCATGTCAGGCAAAAAACTAGATCTGTTGAATGTCGATGGAATGATGTCGATGGAAGGAAATCGATTGACGATCATACAACTGCTTAAGTCTACCCTACCCCTTGCAGCTATCCCTACTGAAAGAACTAGGGTTCCTCGCTATGTCCCAGTAATATCACACAGGATGAATGTTTTATGATAAAAATGGCTTTTTGTTTCCGAATCGATTGAAATCTTCGTCAGATATGGCCAGTTAGCACGCGGATATAAGAGTGCGCTATGAGTGGTCAAATTGGCTGTCTTATATCATCTCCAAAGCAACATGGCAGATCTTCATCCGTATTCACAATACAGTCTGCTCTTCCATTTTAAGTATTTTTTCCGTTTAGAAAAAACTGAGCATACTCTAGACTTCCAAACGAAATGACTACAGTGGCTGCACAGGCACTCTTGCTATATCGTTCCCCCCACACTGACCATTTCACTCGCCTCCCACAAGTGTATCCGGTACAACATATCCCTGTTCCTATGCACGGTAGATCCCGCCGCTACAAACTACGCGAGCTTTAATTTAGTTCTTGCGTCGTGTCATTGAATATATGTGGATACTCGAGAACGAGTAATTTGATCTTCCCTTCGGTTTCAGGAATAACATGAACATCAGCCATTTCCGGTTCAATCTTGAAGCCTTCATGCTTGGCTATTGTTTAACCCCGGACAAATGTGGCAATTCAGGATCAGATTTGATCATATTAAATTCATCTTTCAATTCTACCCTCCTATTTCATAACAGTCGTAATCAATGGAGCTTGAGCACTGCCTTGCCAAAGTTCCCACCGGTCAGCATATCAATGAACCCATGAGCGGCCTTGTCGATACCCTCTGTAATATGCAGCTTGGCCTTCACGCTACCCTCATTGAACCACTGCTGCATCTTTTCCTGGTGCTCCTGTGTATGGGCAGGTCCATACTCGGGGTTGGATTGGATGAAGCCCTGTAGCGTCAGCTGCTTGGTGACGATCTGGAAGAGACCCTTGACGCCTCGCTGCTGGTCCCTGGGTGTGTTATAACTGGCAATCTAGAACGCGGGTTATTAGTTTCGGCCATCGCACTAGCTTGATATGGTCCAGTCAAATGCTCAAACTTACCATTCCGCATACAGGGATTCTGCCGTGGGCATTCAAGCTGATGAGGGCAGCCTCAAGATGGTCGTCGCCGACATTCTCAAAGTAAATATCAATGCCCTCGGGTGCCAATCGGGGCAGCGCGTCATGAGGCTTCTCCTTCTTGTAGTTGAAGCCAGCATCAAACCCAAGCTCCTTGACGATAAAATCCAGCTTCTCGTCCGAGCCCACAGAGCCAATGACGCGGAGTCCCTCGCGCTTGGCGATCTGTCCCACGACCTGGCCAACAGCGCCAGCAGCGGAGCTGATGAAGATGGTCTCGCCCTTCTTGGGCTTTCCAATCTTGTACAGGCCCGACCAGGCGGTCAGCCCGGGCATCCCCAGGGGACCGAGGAACAGCCCGAGGTCGAGGTTGAAGGGGTTTTGGATCTTGCGGGCGAAGGCGAGATGGGCCTTTTCGACGCGGGTGTACTCGGCAATGGGGACAAAGGCCTTGATCAGGTCGCCTTCTTTGAAATCAGGGGTGTCGCTCTTCAGGACCTTGGCGACGGTGCTGTTGGCGATGGGGTGCTCCACTTCGAAGGCGGGAGTGTAGGACTTGACGGCAGGGTCGCGCATCTTCCCGCGCAGATATGGGTCGAAGGAGGCATAGAGGTTCTGGATGACAAGTCCGCCTTCGGGTGCCTTGGTGAGATCAATGGGGCGATCCTCGACTACCAGGTGCTCTCCCTCCACCGGGAGACCGGTGGGGATCTTCTTGAAGATGAGGGTTTTATTTTGAGTCATTATTGCGTGATTGTGCTGGGGAGGATGATGCTGTGAGGATGATGAGGGTTATTTGTTTGTGATGGCGTGGTGAGGTAATTGACTTTCTTAAATAACAGAAACGGCCATGCAATCAAGCCACCGATAAAATACCTGGACGGAGACGGGGACGGAGTTCCGGAATGGCGGATCAAGCTGGATGATCAGAACGAAGAGTGGAATGCATGCATTTCTAAGCACGGCAGCTCCTGTAATGATGATGACATCCCTTCATAGGGTCTTGTCTCGGAGAAATGACGAATTAGGCCTTCTCCCCGCTGCGGCAGATACGGCAGACGGGAGACAAGGAAAAAGTGTGCCGGATACTGGATACATTGTCTAAGTTAGTGGCGAGCATGTCATCGTCACTGGAGAAAATTATTTGCATGTTCCTGGCAATGAACTGGGTCAGCCAAGGCTCAAGGGTCATGTTCTCTTTCGTGCCAGATTTGAGAACAATAAGCACCTAATCTCAGCGCTAGCAAGGAACCGAGGTTCTCTTGGCAGTAGGTTTGCCGCCATAAGGCTATGAGCATGCCAGTATTCAGCCTCTTAAATGGAATTGTTACCTATCAGAATCGGATGTATTGGATAGCAGTAATTCAAGATAGGCCATCGGTCATCAGAGAATACTTCAGATATCTTCAGGTTATTAACAATTACTTCGCCACCTACTACGAAAAGTCTGCAGGGCATTTCGTCTGACGTGAACCAACTCTCCACTTCGGCAGTCCCTGGAAATAGAAGTGCCTCGGCATCTTCCAGCGGCTCTCCACAATTTCTCCACCATCAATTGACAAAGCACTGTTTATCGGCTCAACAAAAACACCGAGTCAACCACCAGCTTCACAAGGCTGAGCCCTCAAGTCTCAGCCTGTTCGCATTGTCATCATTTCGGAGAAGGACTATGAGTTGCACCGTGATCTGCCAGTCTGAAACTCTAAATGATACAGACCCCAGCGTCCAAACGCCCCCTCCCAATGGACAACCGCAGGCTACTTCTTCAGATCTTCGATGTTCTCCAGACACCACTGTTTCAAGTCAGAAAATATCAGAGAATTTAACTGGAGTTCATCACTCACCTTAACACTCCTCTTCAGGCTGTCCTCATAGCCTACAGGAGGATTGTAGCCCAACACCTTCCTGGCCTTGTCATTCCTAGCCGTGTAGTCGTTGACTGAGAACAGGAGTGACTCGCGTGTCAGCGTCGGGTGCCTTCCAATGGCCCAGGCAAGGAACTCCTCCACTAGGGCAACAAGAATGATGAGAGCGTAAGGGATTCGGATAACTTGGTTTGGCTTGACGTCAGTCCCGGCGGCTCGGAATACTGCACGCGCATGGTCCCAGAACTTGGGAGACCCATCGCTGATAGTGATGGCTTCGCCAGCCACACCCTCAGCTCCGGCAAGAAGCTTCTCCGCTGCAAGAATGTGGGCGTGTGCTACGTTTCCTGAATCTGAGTAAAATATTAGCTAACTATAGTCAAAATAAAGAGCTTTCCATGAGAACAGCTTCGCCTCGGGAAAAGTTCTAGGCCGGAGACTCACATGCTACGGATATCCTGTTCTCCCCGTTTCCGATTTGCATACGGTGCTGATTTGACTGGAGGACGTTGAGGTATCCTGGGAGCTGCTCCGTGTCAAACTCTCCGTAAATTGCGGCGATCCTCAGCGAACAGGTCCTCAAGCCGTTGTCCTCATTGGCAGCACGAACTATGCGGTCTGCCTCAGCCTAGATCCAGGTGAGCGGGACGATCGAGCTATGAGGGTGGGATATGTACCTTGGACTTATTGTATGAATTTGTTTTGGAGTTTTCGTTAACTTCTGGGCCCGATTCCAGAGCATCCGTCATGGGCTTGGATTGGTCTATGTGCATCACAGAGGTGCTACTTGTGTACACGAGCGCCTTCACCCCAAAGCTCTTGCTGGTTTCGATGACCTTGAGAGTTCCATCGACATTGACGGCCTTAATTAACGCGTCGGGCTGTTTCTTTCTGAACGCCACGATCAATGCCGCAGTGTGAAACACAACCAGGGGCTTGCAGATGTCAAAGACGCGTCGGAGATCGTCAGAGGACGTCACATCGCCCTTCCTACCGCGGACTACAGGTGAGCACACCCCCAGAACAGAAGGCAGCGTATTATATGTGGGCACTTACAGATATTGTGCTCCCGGGAAGGTGTGCACGTTTGGGTTCCGGCTCATGACAGCGACCTTGGCCTTGGGATACTTCTCGAGGAGGACCCTCACGATGTGGGCGCCTTGGTGGCCGCATCCGCCAATGACGAGATAAGAAGCAGTTTCCATCGCGTAGAATTAGGCGTCCCCTCGGCAGGCAGTCAGCAATTGACGGGGGTCGAAGCTGTGAACTGGAACTCAGATCTCGTAAGCCGTTTATTTGGGAATTGAGGGATTGTGCACACCGACAGACTGATTTGCTAGCCCCTGTGAATCAGTGGGTATTTTTTTTGCTCGACCACTAAAACTCGGTCCAAGCCCCACAGCCCAATGCGTGTCCGGGCACGTGCTGATAAGCTGAAGCAACAGGCCAGATAAGTACATACATGTGCATGTAGCCAAGTGCTCCTCAACAAACGGCACAAAAGTTTAATTAAGATGTGAGTCTCTGTGAACTGCGTTGTGTTCTCCGATGGGGAATCCTTTGGTGAGTTTAGTAAAGGGCTCCCTTTGGCTAGAGTAGTGGCTCAAAACCTTGATTCTGTACTATGCACAAAACCAGCTTGTTCTTCCAGAACCAACTCATTGATATGGATCATGTACGATAACAACCACAGACCCTCACTCAAATCCCGACACCGAGCCATCACCGGGCGCTCGTGTCTGTTAATGAATTTGAAGAGTCAAAATTACAAAATAGAGAATTATTCATTGTTTAAGCCCAGTTAGGAACCGAGAAATGTGTAAAAGGGAAGAGGTCTAGGGTAGTGAATTCTGGCGACGGAGTCTCGGCTGGAGGTTCATCCGTGCCGCTCTGTCCCAATACAGGCACCCAACTTCACAATTAATTGTCTTAACTGGTGTTGAAGGTTCGGGTATGGACCGCGATTTGTGTTTAAAAAAAAGGTGCGAAACAAAGTCGCGTTTGGCCTGATATTGAGATACACCCCTTGCTTACGGCGAAAAAAAAACAAATTAATTGTCTTACATCATCGCATCTTCGCCGCACCACATCCATGCACCTCATTCGCACGCGCGCGGGAATAGAGCCTTTCGAAGAAAAAAGATGGGGCAGCCAAGGGCGTATAAGGAGGATTGTACTGCTCATTTCTCCCAAGCATGCGGGTGAATAAAGCTTCGGTTTGTACCTGTCTTTGGCCCTTGAGGTTGCATTTAGCATGTCTTCTTGTCATACATAGTTCTGGGTAATTTGAGCTAATCCCACGCTCCATTAATATGATAACTACTTCATTTTGTGCACGCAGGTGAGATTTCTGACGTATACAACTTCCCCTTAACACTACGGGTGTATGTTCATAGATGGTGCCATATGGTGAAACGAGATCAAACTTGCCTCACGTGAATGTGTTCATCCGAGTTTGTTACATCTTAGTTTAGTGACTGCATATGGCTGAGTGGTTGCTAGCTATGTGCTTTGGAAGCTGAAAGCTTTCCGGCAAACGGCTGCCCAAAAAGCTGTCACCTGATGCGCCTTGAAAGGATGTTGGTCTAGAAACTCGTCACCATGCAAACCTTTCAGTTAATCTTGTGGGGACCTTTGTGGAAAGTAATGATCTTGGCTAATATGAATAGCTTGTCCAATCACCATCAACTGCCTTTTGTACGGGGTGCATGTCTAGCTTCCGCCTTACTTGTGACGAATGTTTCTTAAAGCTGCAGATAGAACGCCGTCATGAAAGGCAGCAAACAAAACAAATAAAAGCCTGGAGAATGTGGTGAATGGCTCGCGGTGTAACCAAACGATATTGGAGAGCTCATGAAGAAGTGTCCAGCTCCTGACTATATCTGCATCTGCAACCTTCCTCCCGCCTCCAGGAAACCTCATCGTTCACGACCAAAGAATACTTAGCACCACCAGCGGCTTTCAAACCCAGTGGTATGCTCTCTTAGAGTACCCCCCAACGTATGATCTTGTACTGAGCATCCTTTATCTAGCCATCCCGCTTCGCCGCTCCAGTTCCAACATGACCGATAGTGGCGGCTTCATCAAGGTCCCTACCATAGAGGAAGAAGAGCGCATGCGCAAGGCAGCTGAAGAAGCTCAACGAAAACGTGAAGAAGCTCGAAAGAAAGTAGAGATGGAAGAGGCGATGAAAAAAGCAGGGGAAGAAAGCCGGAACCGCAGACGTGGCGGCGGTGAGGGAGGCAGCGGTACTGCTGCTTAGGACTAGAAAGTACCTTGAATCTCCTCTTTTGGCTCTTGCCTCACCTCGAGCCAGGCTGCTATCTGTCATGGACAGGATCAAAATAGTTCAGTCTAAATATTAGGCAAGAGAAATGTAGCAGGTAGATAAAAGAGCCTTATACCTGCCAAATCAAAGATTAATCAAGCCAAACAAGTGCTAGTTCAAAGAACCGTTCCTCAACAGTAATGAGAATAGATAATACTGTCTTAGGTGGTGAATCTTTTTGTGTTAGCCGTTTTTAGAGGCCGTGCTCTGCAAATATCCTCGCAGTCGAGAACTCGTTCTTGCGTCAACAATGGCTGATCATTACTAACACATCAGGTTTATCTTGGGATTTCAACCAAGACCAAAGCGCAGCCCGACGGGCAATTTCCGATGACCACATGACCGACCCATGAATTAGCCAGTATATACTGCTGTGTGTGGGGACTGCTCTGGGTGAGAATCCCGTCGGGCTTTGGTGAGCGGCTTCAAAGTCCGTCAGACCCTGTCAGTTGACAACTTTGGTACAATGCATTGCCGATCATCTCGAATAATCCACTCTTACGGCCAATCTAAGGATCGGGGATAGAATTAACTACCAGGATATATCATCAGTTTGGCTTTAGTAGGTGAGGAGATCGCTCAGTCAACCAAGGAAAATCGAGGCATGTAACCCATAACCGATTGACCCATCTCCCACCTTCTAGATGCATAAGGCGGGCCAACCCATAACCCGAGAAAGTCTAGTTGTTGCCTACAATTATATTGGTACCTCACCGCCGAGAACATATGTATAAATAATCCCACCCCGCATCAACTCCCATACCTTGGCTTCAAATTTTACCACTGGTATTTTCTCTGTCAAATCAAGCAACATGAAGCTCAATATTACTCTAAGTCTTGCTTTTCTTAGTTCGATAACATTGGCCTCGATCCCCCCGGGGATGGAGGATGCCTTGACAACATCCAATGTCCCTGCAGAATACCTCGAATATGTATACCTTCTCGGGGGTTTCCCAACCATCCAGTCGAGATCTGACCCTCGAGTATCATATGGAGTATATGTACCTAAGGATCACTACAATGAGGTGTCCAATTCGACCCAAGGCAAGCTGCCACTTCTTGTCAATATCCACGGAACAAGTCGTCGTATGACCGCTCTCCAGGTAGCCGACCAGCTACCCAAATTTGCGGATGAGATAGGCTGTGCGGTCTTGGCACCACTATTTCCGGCAGGAGTAAAGGGGCCTAATGATTTGAGTTCATTCAAGACTCTTCACACGGCCAGCCTTCGATCTGACCTCGCACTCCTGGACATCCTCGACGAGGTTGCATACCGCTGGCCCGGCGTTGATACCACACAAATCTATCTGTCTGGCTTTTCAGGTGGAGGTCAATTCGTCCATAGATTCCTCTATCTGCACCCTGATCGAGTTGCTGCGGCCAGCATTGGAGCCCCGGGTCGAGTGACGTATCCTGATCCGAGCAAGCCCTGGCCTCAAGGGATTTCGGACGTGGGAGAGATATTCGATACTACCGTCAACATGACAAACTTGAATGAGGTTTCTCTCCAATTTGTCGTTGGAGAAAAAGACACCGAGATCCACGGGAGCTCGGAATTTTGGGAATGGTTAGAGGAAGTGATGGGCAGCGCGGACGATCTACCACCTATGAACGCGTCTAGGCTTGACACGGTTAAGAAGCTGCGCGATACGTGGACTGCAGCCGGGGTGGATTCTCTGCTGAACATTGTCCCCGGAGTAGCTCATGACTCCGAAGACCCGGCTGTGCGCCAGGCTTTGTGGGAATTTCTAGGAGACCAGATGAACACTCATTAGAATGAATCCCACAGCTTGTGATTCGTTGCTCAGGCTGCTGGCATTACAGACAACCGTATAATTTGTTGGCTGTACTTAAAGAACTAAGTCTAACAGAGATACTTTCTCAGGTAGAAGCTAAAACTTAGTGATAGAACCTAGTTGCATTGTCCCAAATATATCAGATGCAAAGAAGCGAAAATCAGCTAGCACACAATGTGTTGGGTTCCTCATAACTTATTGTCGTTTTGTCGAGACTTGTTGTTGTTTTGTCGAGACTAAACCTCTCCTTCTCGGCTGAAAGCGCAGCTCTGGATTTAGTTAGTGCTTTGACTGGTTTCTTTTTTTTAATTCCACGAGGCTGAAGGGTGATCGCGGATTACTTCACGAGCTTGGTCCCATTGAAGGCCCGCTAGTTATGGATTAATACACATTGAGTACGAACATATAACCTTGCTAACCTTTCGTATACGCGTAAACTATTGCCATACCCATAAGACCCCCTTTCCCTCCTTTTTTTACGATTTCTCATTAAATTTTGTCCATAAACCGTGAATAGCGGAAATGTCTGATGTGGAAAGGGAGTATTGAGAACTCTCCGCAGCAAATTGATAGTGGGAATGTTCTGTGTTATTGTCGTGCTCTTGGACTTTTGGCCTGCTACTCGTAGCCGAGGGGGAACTGTTTGGTAAAGAATTAACATTCTCTCCTAGATCATGCTCGCTCTTAAGTACTTGCATCGTAGCTGCCGCTGATCTATTCGCAACGGGAGAAGTCATAGCTGAAGCACGACTTCCAAGGTCCATTGATGCTTCTGGAGCTTTATATACTGGTGGCACTGTCTGCTCCTGTTGAGGGGCTGCTTCATTCATATCTATTTCTGGCGGTATGTAAAAGTGAGGGCTTGGAAATCTCTCTGCATTCGAGATATTCGGGGCTGAAGTATCTGAGCCATTGGCTTCCCCATCGATTTGTTTGTGTGGATCCAGATTTGTTGGATGCGCAGGTGCCTGAGTGCCAGGACTGGAGTCGAAAGGAATTTGTTCCGCTTCAGGTAACGAGGTATCAGGCCCGTGATTCGAAACTTCGTCGTCCTCAATGACAATAGGAGGCTCTGACGTCGGATTAGTTGGACGGTTACTCTCCCGATCTCCATTGACAACTCTAGAACTCTGTCCATGGCCGGAGTTAACTAATGGCAATTCTTCTTTTGAAAGCTCTGCCCGGATGAGTGTGTTAGGATCATGGCTTCAACCGCAGTGAGAGATCGTACTAATCAAACATAACGTACCACAGCTAAAAGGTTTGATGCCGTTGCTACACTGGTAGTACTTAGTATATTCCTGAACAGGTTTGTCGTACCCAGGCGCGACTTTAGCAAGATCGAAGAGCTCAAGGTCGACAGCAGAGGCCCATCTCACATGCCCCATCGCAACACTGGGACCGTCGAGGTAGAAGACTGGAAACTTTCGCATTGTGACATTCCCACCTCCATCTTCGTACCCTTCTGCCCAGAAGAACTTCCTTTGGCCCGGATGGAAGAGGTAACAATCCGGCAGAGCTTTGGACGATTCTGGGTCGTATATGCAACCTCGAATACCCACTCGAGAACGAAAGTCCCCCAATGGAAGGACGATAGCCCCAAATATGGCACCATCCCGCCCATGAGCCAGATAAAGTATCCCGACGCTCGGGTCAGTGATTATCGGCGGCTCATTTGATTCCCTTGTCGGTACCGTCACCTTCATCAACTTGCTCCGTTTATTCCTTTTTCGATAGGCTGGTTCATAGGACTTGTCCACAAGCGCTTGCTTGACCTCATCATTGTTTTTCGAGAAGAGGTCCTGATTGCAGTTTAGGACGAGAACTCCAAGCGCATCGATGACTGAGGCGTCTCCAGTTATCTTAAGCTGGGGAAAGCACTTCTCAGCATGAACCGAGCCGTCGTATAGGGTCCGGACCGTCTTGTTCACTCCGTGCCAGTTGCATTTGACACACCGCAATATCCACCACTGGCCGCTGATAGTTGGGTTGGTTGAAAGAGTGTGCTCACGATCAATTATTATATATCTTAGGAGTCCGTTACCATCCTGATACACCTCTTGGAAGTCGATGGTAGGCCCCAGGATCGGTGTTGGGGTTTCGTCTAGCGCGGTGACAAATCGTCGTTTACTCGACACGGGTGATTGGCTTGGCCCAGGAGTAGGAGCGCATGGACCGGACTCGTTATGTACTGGCTCTGATTCCTGATGTACTTCGCTTTGGCCTTGTGGTTCGGAGAGAGGTGGATGTTCGTTGTCGACCGAGTCTTGCGGAGAGGCTGGGGGTTGGTGGCGGGCTTCAGGTTCAGTGATCGGGCGAAGCAGCGAATCCAAGAAGGCACAAACCCTCTCTAAAGATTGTTTGGATCTGTGAATTAGATCGTTAAAATACTTATCGTCCTCTCTCGCCAACGCGTCCTTGCCGCGCTGGTCATCGTAGTCTTGCCACTGTGCGCCGATGTTGAGGACTTTCTTGAGTTCTGCATACTTTTCTTCGCCGGGAAGCTGATCAAAAGCTTTGAAATTGTCGAGCACGGAACGGTACTGCTTTTTGCTCTCCTCTTTGTGGAGGAGTGTCGGTGACTTGGTGCTGTCGACGAACTGAGCAACTTCAGCGGTGGCAGCATTAAAGGCTGACACTATGCGGTACTTATCAATATCGATGGATGAGCTCTCCATGATGTAGGCAGATGAAATGGTGCATCGAAGGCAGGAACTAGCGCTTCCCGCGGGGGGGGACAGATAACTGATGTTCCCCTCAAACAGCAGCGGCACAAACATGGGCGCCAACAGACATTTTATAATTGCATAGTCCTCTGGGCCAAGACACGGCCGCAGAAGCCTTAGAACCAACAAATCTCACATACCCTGCCCAGCTCAGAGACGTGCATAGTTAGCTTTTCGTGTCGAGCTCAGCTACCTGCACTAAGCCAAATCCGTGCGCGGCAATGGGTGTAATGGAGGTCTGGCCAGGATGTTGGGAGGAGAGGAAAGATGAGAGGTGACGAGATAAGGGGGAACAGTAACGTCAAAGCTCGAGATCAGCAAGGTGTGATTGGGCAGACGTTTGCTCCGTTGCCAACCAACAGCATCAGCTCATTTCTGCTTTTGGCGACCTGCGTTGTGGCGCAATTCACTGGTTCTTGTGTCATCTCACCTGTCGCAGCCTTGTTTGTTTCGGTCGCCAGCATTAATTTCCCAGCCACCCGCCTGCAGCAAGTGCAACCCTCACTAGAGTGAAGAATCTTCCCGTTTTCAAAAGAGGAGGTAAATAAAGGCCTGGTAGGTGTCCCTATCGCCTTGACGACTGCTGTTTCAGAGAACTACCAACCACCACCATGCATGCGTCACTGACCTTGGGGGGGCGAAAGAGACTGTGTCCCCACCTATGAGATCCGGCCCGGGATTAGTTCCTTGGTTAAAAAAAGAAAAAAGGGCCTTTTGCGTCGAAAGGGGGTGTTGTGTATGCAGTTGGCTCCCATAGTGCCGATTTATATTGCCGATTCTGGCCGCTTGAGGTCCCGCATAAACGCGGGACTCCCCTCCCCCGTCGCTGACACCGAAGATACATGCCGGGTAAGTTGTGGGGGAAGGGTGTTGGTCCGATGTTGTTTTCTGGGCAAGTCGGACAACCAACAGAGAAAGCGATAGCTAATGATCTCGCATCCTAATGCCCAGTGACATACTCTGGCACATCATAAAACAAAGACTAACTAAGCAAAATACATGGGGGGACACATTTCACCCGCTCCAAGGATCACACTATAAATCATCCACCCAGGCCCAGTGAAGCAGGCAATTAAGGCCCGGCAAAAACCACACACGACAGTGATCACGAAGGCTGTGTGACGACTGGTTCGTCCACTGACGTGTTGAATTCGGGAAGAGAAGAACGCACTTGAAGAAGTGTAATATAGATGGATTATATTGAAAGGAAGTTCCTTAGGCTTCCGGATTATCTAGTTTATATTTTGATTGCTAGGTATTCTATTGGAGAGGCTGCAGCTAGCTTAAGCGAGGATATTCTGTTGGGAAGGGCGAAAGAATCTCCTATAGTTAACATCCTAATAATGGAAATAATAGCTTACTTCACGATAATAAAGGCACACTTCGGCTATAGAGAGAAAGATAACTATAGCACATATAGCGAAGAGTATAAGTCAGGTAAAAATGGAGGAATTCGCGTATAAGGACTAGCGGGAGGCCACTGCTCCCTAAACCCTCATAACTATTTGATAGTTCTGACTTGACCGCATTATCTCGACCTATGTCCCTCCGGCTCACCAGACATTTGAGAAATAGCTTTGCTATAGTTTGATTTGAACGTTATCCGCTAGTCTACAGACAATGAACCTGAGCTTTATTTTTCGATCAATCTCTTGTGAGAACATTGATCAAGAGGGTAGGCCTTTAGCAGCTATCCAAGAAGAACAGTCTCCCATCGGGGACCCAGCTTTGTCCATGCTCCAGGGTTCACTGCCCCAAGAGCCAGGCGACGATATACCCCTTCATGTCTCCCAAGAATGATAACAATAAATCCCCAAGGCTCACTACCCCGTATTGTGTTAGAGAGGCAGGCGCCGACAACAGCAACTCGGTGCGTATCACCACTCCTCGACGTCCTGAGAACCATTTCACGACAGTTGGCAAAGACCTGGCCAAGTACAGTACTATCGCCGGTGACGAGACTGAACTTCGTATGCATTACATTAGCTGGTACATTTCCGCTCGCTCCATGACCGTTATTCACCACGGGAGTAGGGTATTCCCGCACTTCAAGCGCAGCCACTGTTGTATTGAATACCAACTTTCCGGGGAAGTTTCTGTGCAACGAGCCATCCTCATCTCAAATCTTGGCATGATTGATCGCATTCCATGGGCTTTGGATGCTGTTTCTCCACGTTTTTACGGATGGATGATAATTCTGCATCCAACCCTTGGAAGTCGCATGAAAGGCGGCGTCTTCTTGTGCGACTTCTGATGATCTTTTCATATCGAGTCTGCAGGTCATGGCTATCACCGCTGTCCTCGAAGCTTTCCCTCTTAAACCACAACTTGTTATCCTGTATCCGCCTTAATCCTCTCAACGGGTCTACATAGTAAAAGGTGACGAGACTGCCCAGATAAGGGGCTGAGCCTGAATTGAAGGCATAGGCATGGTTGTTATAGAGCCACTCCTGTGTTTCATACGAGACTGGGCCTTCCCATGCCGCCCAACTCCAGCTGGGTATGTTTACATCGGCTGCAAGGTTTCTTGACCTCCATGTCCCCGCATGGTGCCAGAGTATAGACTCAAAAAAGTACTTTTCAGGCAGCCCGAACAACAAGTCTGTGTTATGCTGAGAGGTGAACAAGTTTCCTACCCCGGTGAAAGCATTTAGCGTATCCTGATCAAAGGTCAGCCTTCGTGTTGTGTATCCAGTAACGACAGCCCGATATGTCCATACGGCTGAGGGGTCACGTATTCCAGCAAAATTTCCAATCCCTTTCTCGTAGCCATTGTCCCGTCTGACCAACCTATTAGACCAATCTTGATCTCGTTCTACGTGATAGTGGCGTTCCCACCCGCCATCCGATTCTAATGTTGTGTGGAAACAGTTGCAGTAACCGTCATTTTCGCCCACAAATAAGTGTCGTCGGGACAAGATTCGCTCTTGATAGGTCCAGCCTCGTTGATCCCACTTCGAAGCATAGACTTCATAGTGTACTGAGGTTGGAAAAGCATGCGAGTATTTTCCATCAATGAAAAGGCCCCATCGCTTGAATTGCTCTCTCGTATCTCGAGGGCGAGAAGATACCCCTGGGAGCCCATCACTTGAGGATCCTCCAAGGGAGACTATTGTGAGCGTAGCCATGTGGTATATGGAATCCATTGCGTTAATTTGACTCTGCTTGTGCTTGCCCTCATCCTGAATAATGCACAGCCGGTCTACCTAAAGATACTGGTAGCCGAGATCAGCGCAGAAATTAATAGCATTCAGGATGACTTCTGGGATAGAGTATTTGTGTAATGAATCCATCTGCTCCAATTCTGTGAGAGTTGCTGTATCGAGTTGAAGAAGTTTAATATCCGTCTGGCTGTGTATTCCCAATGGCACCCCCCAGACGAAACTGAGGGCGAGATACTCAAACCGCTCTTCTGGAGCTAATTGAATGCACCAATTCTTTGTATCAATTACTCGGAAGAACTGAGGGATCTTCGCAGCCCAAAGAGGCTCGTTGCAATGGCTGCCATGGTGTTCTCGACAGTTCTCAATGAACTTCTTGACAATGCTAGGATCAAGCAGGCTACGGTCCCATCTGGTGATGCCTTCCAATTCATACCCGCAGTGAACATAGTGGAACTCTAATCCAACCAGCAATGTCTGGAAGGGCATCTCTGATGTTCCTGTAGCCTGAGGTTTAGCACAAACTGGCAATATCAATCGGAATGATTGCTTGTCCCCATTCTCCAAGCCCTCAGTTTTCATAGTTGATCGCATCGGAAGCAGGTACCCTAATCTCCTTTTAACATCCTGGCGATGCGGGTTTTGATAATTTTGTGTGGGAGGGAAAGGCCACCACACGCCAACTTCAATGTGCGATTGAGTGCCAATGGAGATCCGGATCGCTTCATCAACCCTACAACACAGCATGCAGGCTGTAGAAGACGAATACTGATCCAAGGGCCGATAGTTTAGGCTTCCAAGGTCTTGATCGTAATCCCCCATGCTCATGGGCCAATCACTGTTTGTGTCCTCATCTGCGCCGAATTTACAGCCGAAGCAGTGCGGGTCAATATTCGGATATTCGGGTTCCAGGCAGTCCATCACATGTATAAGATCATCCCAGCCCTTGCAGCTGTCGCAGAGCCGTGGGTTAAGTGGGAGATCTCTCTCACGTCGGCAGAGTGTGCAACCATTTGATTGTCGCGGCTGCCGGGTTGCTTGACGTCCTTCGTTTGAAACACGCCGAGGATCCCAGAGCTGTGTGGAGGAATTGGCAACAGGACTAGAATCTGTTTGACAACGGAAGACAGCCCTGATGTCAAGCAGCTCATTTACCAAAGATAAAAGGGGGGGGGGTTGTTATTTGAACATCAGGCAGCAACCGCTAAGCCACGCATGTAACATTGTGCCCAACATCATCAGGTCCAATCACAATACGAAGAATTATGCAGAAATTTTGCAACAAATTGGGTATGCAACCCTTATAGCTGCAATGCTCACACGTGGCACCGCTAAAAGAAGAATACAAGAAATGATATTGTGAAAATATTGCTTGGCTTAATCTTTCAAAGTTATTAAGCCAAATATGTTGGCCTGATGGCCAATGAAGGACAATTCTAATTCAGGCAGTATGTATAGCGGATGGAAGAGATTTATTACCACCGTGATTTCACATTTGCGGTGCTGGGCGACAATCAATTTGAGACACTCGAATATTACACTGTTCATCTTTATTCTACAATTACCATCATCAGAATATTATTAAGCGATAATATGATATAATGAAAAGGCGATACTGTCGAGATTGTCAATTTATGTTGTTCTATACTGCTGTACTATTTTAGTTAATGTAGAAAGTAGTCTACTCATTACTACCGTTCAAACGGGGGTCTCATTTCTCCTGTCACCCAGCTAGCTGTACATGCGCAAACACCGCGATTTTGGGCAAATGGTGCAATCACACTGGCGCATGCTTTATGGTTGGCTGGTTAGTCCTGGGTCTCAACAGTGTCTTCGCAGGACGCCTCCAGCTATGACTGACAAGTAGCCGAGCAAAATTATGAGAATATAGTGAAGCTGCTAATGTAAACAGACTCCACATTCATTGTGATGAGATGTCGGGTCTGGCATCTTCCATTGTTGTTTAACTTTATGCTCGAACTCTCTTCGTAAACAGACTCTGCAGTGGTTGGAGACTTGATTTCTATACCACATCCAAGATGCCGTAAATTTATTACCCGTGTAGTCAAATATGGCTCCCAAGTAACACCATGACGGCAATTAAAGAGGAAAAACAAGCTGTTCAAGTGCGAAGCTCTTCTTCATGCGGCACTTGTTGCCAATTTTTACCCAAAAACTGCTTTGGAAATGGATTTTGCCAATTAACTCGTCAAGACCTGACCAAATTTTCTAAAACATGTACCGCAGAAAAGACGATACCAAGTGGTATGGCGGTCGTATATCATCGCATAGACTAACCAGATGTTAGATAAAACCAATCTCTGCTGCAAGAAATAGCCTCAGGAACTCGGTCAAGTATGTTGCAGAGGCTCCGTCACGCTCGTTACAGCGATTCAGCGACAGGGAAACACCAGACGGTCTCTCTATAAAACAGTAGGCTTCTGCATCACTCCTCATCGCACGAGAATCAACTTTTCAATAAAACTTTTGTACCCAACAGCTTATTCATCGTGTTGAGATGTCGGGTCTGGCATCTTTAATTGCTCTTTTCAACTTTATACTCAAACTCTCTCCCCATACTTGATGGCGTTGGACTCACCTCCCGGCTCGAATTTATACTACATTATGTTTACTATATAGGATTATTTCGAGCCTTTCGAGTAGAAGTACTTTGAGTGTTGTGGCGGGATTGGTGGTTCTTTGGTCTTACAATTACATTCTTTTCATTGCATTGTCTATATACACAAGTACTCTACAATGACTCCATATATCTCCGTCTATTTCGAAGTCATCTTGATACGGCTAGCAGAAGACTCATCCCAGGGAGTTTCAGCCTCGAACCTCTTGATCAGCTCCTGGTGCACCTTGCTTCTTGGGGTGATCTTGAACTGGAAGTCCGAAGGCGTGTTGGTTGTGCCGGCAGATGGCTTCACGTGGTCCACGCTAATCTTCTTGCCGTCCTTGTCAAGAGCATGTGAGATGTTATAGGTAGCCAGCAAGCTGGCGATGTTGACCCAGACGGTGGATTCTGCCAAGAGTCTGCCGGGGCAGATTCTGCGCCCGTAGCCAAAGGCCTCGGGCGAAGGGTCAGGCTCGTTGCGAGGCTCGAGGAAGCGATCAGGGTCAAAGGCCTCGGGGTCGGCGTAGGTATCAGGGTCGTGCATGAGAGACCAGATGTTGGCGATGAGGAACGATCCCTTGGGGATGAACATGCCCTCGTACTCAAACGCTTCGGTGGCCACGTGGGGAATACCAAGGGGCAGAACGGCCCAATAACGCAGAGCCTCGAGGAATACAGCCTGGACATAAGGGAGCTTCTCACGATCCTCGAATGAGGGCAGTCGGTGGGTTCCGATGACGCGATCGATCTCTTCCTGGGCCTTGCGTTGAACTTCGCGGAACCTGATCATGGCCAGGGTGAAGCCAGCCAGGGTGAGTGCTTGGGTGTCCACCCCGGCGGCGTAAAGACTGCCTGCAGACCACACAATATCACGCTCGACCTCAGGGCTCAGGGTGACAGGCCCGGCGCCCTTCTCGTCGCCATCAGGGTTCTGGAGCAGCTTGGAAATGTAACACTCCTGGTAGTTCTTGTTGGAGGTCATCTCACTCTGGACGAATCGGAAAGGGGTATGGACAATTGTGCGGAGGCACTCGCTCCACTCCTTTCCCTTTGCCTTGAAGGAGGCCCCGGGGAAGCCATCCGGGAGATAACGAAGGGCAGGGAAGAGATCCACCGCCCAAGACATGGGAGTGACGGCAAGGATAAATTGTTGCATGACTCGTTCGTTGAGGCTGACCAATGGGTCGGCCTTGTGTGGCTCAATTGTGTATCCGTACGCCAGTTTCAGGATAGTTGCCCCCACAGCTCTAGTTGAAGACAGGGTCGCTTAGTTGTCGCGCCATCGATATGGGGAGGCAAGGAGGAGGGGGGGAAGCAGATGGGGTTGGGAGACAGATGTGTACGTACGTCTTGAAGTGCTCGAGCAGCTTGTCAGAGTCATCACGGACTCGGAGGAGCATTCGCCGGGCCTCGAGCTCCTGGATGTTCTGATAGCGAGCGGCCTTGGCCTTGGTGCCCAGTTCCTGGTGGAGCAGCTTGCGGTAGTGGCGGAAGGTTTTGTCGTATTTGTGGCCGACCACGGTGTGCTCATATCCACAAATCTCACTCACAAAGGTCGCAGCGGGGCGATCGGAGGTTTTCATCGAGGTCTTCTCAAGCAGATCGCGGGCCTCCTTCCTGCCGTGGATGAGGACAAAGCTCTGGCCGAAGACGGTCACGGAGCTGACGGGCCCGTAGAGGGCCTTGTGCTTGTGCCAAAAGAGAAACTCGGGCTCTCCTGGGGGCGGCATGTCCTTGACATTGCCCATGAGCGCGGCCGGCTTGGGGCCTGGTGGAAGCTTCCCCTGGGGCTTCTGGCTTGCAGACAGCCAGAGGTAGCCGCCCACCAGCAGGGCCACGACGGCCAATGCAGGAAGTAGATTCGACATAATTTCGTGAGAGCCAGACCAGATACGGTTCGAGATTTGAAGATCAGATCTCCGAAAAATAAATGAAGGGAGGGGATACTGAAGGGGGCGGGCCGACGGCTGTGGCCCAGGTATTCATATATAGGCGGGCCACTCCGTAATTGCTGCCCACACATTGAACTGAACAATCCCCCTGGACTATCACGAGCTAGCTCCTGCCAGCCTGCGTTAGTGTCAGCATAAGCTGAGCTGAAGCAGTGAAGAGGATGGCATAATAACGCATTGGTAGCTGCAACGGAGGACCAACGATGCATTGAGCTAGCTGGGGCCTTTTAGCGGCGTGCAAATAGTTTAGTTGCCAAGAAAGGAATGCCAATTCTCCTAGCCCAGACACACGTTTTAGGGAGCTCCGTTGTGGGTGGCTCGAAATAGCTCGCCAATTACGAATTAACCGTTCCTTATTAGCCATCGTCCGGGCCTCACCGTCGAGCACGTCCATGCAGGATACGACGCTGTTGGTGAGGGCATCTTAAGATAAGCTTTAAGACCCACAGACCTGGCAGCTTTTCGGCGGCATAATAAAACAATGGAACGATGGAAGATCGCAGAGGAGAGGTCATCTTTGCCGTTGCATTGGCCCATTGCGCTTGGGCAAAACAGGAAAGTTACACGAAACCCCCCCGAATGCCAGAATTAATTGACAGGTGTCAGGAGCCGAGTCCCTGACATTGATTGACAAACGCGTGCAGAGACTTCCTATACAAGCAGAGCACCAGGACCAAGTAGGAAATAGACAGACCAGCCATTACGATGCAGAACGAATTTGTTGATCGTCGTTCTCCTTGAGCTATTCGTCATCACAATTCCACTATTGGATCATCCTGCGTAGCCATTGAAGTAGTCTGGCGATCATTCAGGATCGCCCCCATTTCGAATCCATTCCTTCACCAGCATCCATAACAGCTTACAGCCACCGTTGCTTCTTGAACCAATGAGCCTAGGTTCTTCACAACATGGCAATGTCTTAGATTTGAATAAAGATGACTGCAATTGAGATTTCGTACATCCATCGATTTCAAGAGCCCTCATTACACTTCCCTCTCAGACCCCCCTGA